GCTGTTTCGTCGGTGTTTTGAAGCAAGCCAATTCTCCTCAACAATGACTTCAAAAAAGTTTTGGAAAGAAAAATTTGACATTCTTGAAGCTATTCGTATCATTCAAAAGGCGTGGTCAGAAGTTACACAGCGACAGTTGATTTCTGCTTGGCGGAAGCTGTGTCCATCCTTCGTTCAAGGTGATCAGGGAGACACCCCTGAAATTATAGATGAAATTTTGACAACTGTTAGAGATCTGGAATTGGAGGTGAAGAGCTCATAATGGGACATGTAGATTAACTGACAACAGAAGAACTCCAAGAAATTTTGAATGAAGAACACCAAGAAACACAGCGAAATGTGCTTCCTTCTGAACAAAAGGAAGATGAAAGAGGATACAAATGCCGACATCTGCAGTTAAAGATCTTTTGAAAAAGTGGGAGGATGTCAGAGCAATAGTCTTAGAATGGCACCCAAACTAAGCTGATATCAGTAGGGTTGGAGATTTTTACAACGACAATGCTATTAATTACTTCTGGAAAATCCTGAAAAAAAGAGAAAAGCAATCGACATTGGACATGTTCTTTAACGCCCCATAAGCAAACAATGAAAAGGACTGATTAATAAGCAAGACTATATGTATGTATTATTTTTTAAAAAACTTAATAAGAAATTATACATTTTTTAAAATTTAATTTTTAGGGTCTCCAGAACGAATTAATCGATTTCACATAGAAGTCTATGGTGAATCGATTATTGGTTTACGAACAATTCGGATAGCGAACATAGTCTTGGAGCGGATTATGTTCGTTAACCGATCACCCACTGTATTAACACATTTACATAGTTTTACTTCACCATCTCACAATGTTACTTCAGCAATGGTCCCAATATCGTGTAACAAAAAAACATTTCATACAAATGATTTGCAACAATTCAAAAAAGAGTTCTAATGAATAAAAGAAGAAAAAAGAGACACAGAGTTAAAACAGAATTCAACACACACAGCAAATTCTGGGGAAAACATAGTAGTTTAAAACACAATACGTAACAAGACAAAATTTACTCGCCAGCCCTAAATATTTGGTCGCAAATGGCTTGCAGGCAAGTGAGACTTTCACATTCTGTATAATTGAATGAAATAAAAAATCACCTAAAATAAGATACTTCGTTGGAAAGTATCATTTTTTAAAAAAAAATGTAGCTCACAAAGAAATCAATTTTAAAGAAAACAATTGCAGATTACGAATACAAATTTTAGTGTTCAAAATAAAAAAATGTGAGAGCAAAGCTTCAGTTCTTAAAATAGTGATGGTAAAATAATAATTAAAACATATAAAGAAATAGTTAGAATATATATATATATATAGTTGTCACTTACAAAAGTCAGTATAGCTGATGTACACACATAGAATAGTAACAATCATAATTATTTATTTAGAGTTCAAAATAAAAAAATTTGAGAGCAAAGCTTCAGTTATTAAAATAGTGATGGTAAAATAAATAATTAAAATATATAAAGAAATAGTTAGAATATATATATAGTTGTCACTTACAAAAGTCAGTATAGCTGATGTACACACATAGAATAGTAACAATCATAATTATTTATTTAAATACTAAATGTAGATACATGCCTATTGCAATAACACCAATATTGATCCCGGAGATATTCTTTGTGACGATCTTCATCACCAAAAGAGGCTTTGCTTTCCACCCAGTTAATAATATGACCATCAATAACTAAAATGAATAGATACAGAGTTGAAAATTAAAGCAATAAAATAAGTAGTTATAGGTTTAGCTGTTAGAAAAGCTTAACTATATAATTAAAAAAAAATATATATAAAGAAAATATTTGAAGCTGGGCAAACTTTAGGGAGCTTGAAAGTGCAAAATTTTCAATTAATAACGTCAAATAATGTTCAATTAGTAATGTCAAATAATGTAACTTTCATTGAAAATTGTTCTTCAATTCATTGATTACTTTAATGTTTCATGAAAGTGAATGGACACATTATTCCTCTCTTAAAATCAAAGTATAGATTTCGATTTAATGAGCTATCACATTTCATATATAGAATGAAAAGGATCAAATGTATAAAATGAATATACAGACAAAAATAAAAATATGTTTTAAAATATTTTCATACCATAAGTATCTTTTTATTAATAAAGTCATTATTAATTTTTTAGCAGTTAAGGTTTTGAATAAAAATTTATAGATATGAATAAAAACTTAACAAGTTACAAAATAAGTTTTTAATAATTGAAATAAGATTTGAATTTAAATGTAAACTAACAATCCTTAATGTAAAAAACTATATCAACTATAACTACAACATCAATGTAAACCAACTATAGAAAAATACAATATCAAGAACATAAGAACATGAAAATTAATTTTTAAAATAATTTTAGTTATTTGATCAAAAAGAAGCATTTTAATAAATAAATATATTACATCTTTTAAAAAATTAATTAAAAATTTCCAAAAAAGCAAATTAACCAATGTTGACTACAGCTTTTCAAATTATAGAAAAAAAGTTACAGAAAAAAAAATTTACTTAGAAATTAATCATTTCAAACAGAGCACATCTGATTTGTTTACGCAAATATCACACCGTTTTTTTTTCTTATTGGCATAAATCAAAGAACAGTGCAGATGTATGCAATTAAATTGGCATAAATTAAAGAAATAAAAATGCAGATATACGAAAGAGTATATGCATGGTTTGTGACATTAAAATAATTTATTTATTATCATACTTAAAGAAAGGTAAGAGTTGATTTTTTATTAAGAGTAAACTTTGCTCCAGAATTTTTATCATCATCATACTATAGTATGGAAAAAAGTATATGTAAATATATAAGATATTAAAACTGAACTTTTCTTTTTTTGTCAAGTTAAGTTACATACATCCTTCATACACTCGTCTCTAACATTAGGAATAAAGAAACTTCAAAAAGAGCATTATAAGTATAACTATAATAAATTACCTATAGGTGTATCAAGCTTAATATCTGGTGTTTTATCATAGCCCTTTTCTCGTAACTGTTTTTCATCTAAAAAAAATGTTTAAATGAGATGGGTATGCAAGAAATAATATATTTCTTTTTCATGTATAATGAAATATTTAAAGGCATTATATAAAATAACAAAGACTTTACTTTAAATTACAAATTTAAAGTAAAGAACTTTTATTTGTAATAAATTATTAGTATAATACTAATTTTAAATTATTACAGTAATGCATTAGCATTTAATTTATGCAGTCTGCATTAAATTTCTCCCTATAAATTTTTAACAAAAATTGGAATAATAAGTAACTTTCAAACTATTCTTTATACAATGAAGTTGTTGCCACCCTATAATCAATTTTTGATGTTTATCTGTTCAATTTTGATTCTTTAGGCAATTTTTCAGAATTTTTTGTAATCTTTTTGAATTTAGTTATTTTTGAACGATGTTGCACTGAGCTCTGTGTAAGAAAGTCACTTTTACAAGTGCGTGTTTCTAGAACCACTTGCATAATTCATTCTAGAACATTAAAACACAAAAATTTGAAAGTTTTGGGTCCTTATGTTCCAAGGTTTAGTAGAATCACTGAATATGTAAAAAAGTAGTTTCTACAATGAAAAATTCAATCTAAACAACCGTAACTCGTTGCTTACAACATTTAGCATGGTGAAGTCTGTCATTCAGGTCCATTTGTTTTATAACTGGTAAATAAATGGTTAAACAACTAAAAAAGTAAATGAAAATATAGTAAAAAAGTAAATAATATAACAAACAACCATACTATTCTATTAAAGTCTCAAAAAATTACAACTTGCTTTTTTACCAATAACACACAAAATTGAGTTAAATTGAATCATATTAATTATAGGATGAAAGCAATTGATAATTTTGACCAGAGTTTAAATAAGGGGCAAAATTTCTTTACAAGTATGTTATATTTTTACTGAAAAATACATAAATTTGATTAAAAAGTACTAACCAATGAACGAAATTCCTAAATGTGTAAGTTCTTCTTTCAATTTTATCTCATACTCAAATCCTACAGTACTTAAAAAGAAAAAAAAATTGTATACTTCAAATTTTTTATTTAATTAAAGCAACATTGTAAAGCCTAACTTAAATTAAGTAAAATTTAAATTACACTTACGTTCTTATGACATCTGATATAGATCCATAAACTTCATCTGCTAATACACACTGAATAATAATATAAAATCAATGTAAACTTTATTAAAAACATATGCATAAAACAAGTTATAAAATAATAAAGACTAAATCAAAATATTTAAAACTGTATTGAAATTGTACCTTTATAGTATATCATTTTAAGAATATTTTCAAAATTTTTCAAACTTAATCATAAGAATATTTTTTAAATAATAAAATTTAACATACAAAGGGTAATATTATTTTATTTAAAAAAGTATTATATTGTGGTTTTGCCTTTACCTAATTGCAATTAGGTAAAGGCAAAACCATATTGCAATTAGGCATTAAGTGAATGAGTTTTTCCATGTTTAGAATAGTGAGTCTTGCGTTACTAATATATTAGTTTTATTCTTAGAAAATAATAATCTTAACTCAAGAAATGTTTATTTAACCATAATACCTAGAACTTTGTAAAGTGCATCCTAATAAAATGCACTTTTCTCATTACCTTCAACATTTTATTGGCATGTAGTTCAAGAGAAGTAAAAATATAATTTTGTATTTTATAGTTTATTGTTCTTTAATATGTGGGCAATTCCATGGAAGTGTCAACTTTTAAGTGATTTTTTTTTTTTTTTTGAATTGCATATTTTTATTTTAAAAATATGTTCAAAATAGCCAAACATTGCCATTTCATTTTTGATAATTTTAAATTTTTTGAATCAGGCAGCATTCTAAAGTAATCACATGGCTGACAAGAGAATTGTTCACATTTGTGCTGAAATTGTTTTCTTGAAAAATACTTATAAAATAAAAGAAATGTATCTTTCTTTTACAATATTTTGATAAAAATATGCATGCAGTACAAAATTTAAACATTTAAAACATTATCATTTTAAGTTTAATACATAAAATAAAAGTAACTTCTTTTACATCATTCCGTCACATGTCTTAATAATGCATAAATTTCCTGAGAACGAAGATAAGACGTGACATTGGTAAGTTAGATATAAAACCTCTTCAGAGACAACCTAATTTTCAAACTGTTGAAATTTTTACTAATTCTTACATAAATATTAATCCTGTTTATCTGTTACATTCTGTTGATCATTTACATATTAATAAAAAAAATTTTAAATGAAGACTTTCTTCTACTAAACTTTTTGTCATTCCGTCACAGCAAATAGATGTTAATAACTGCTAGCCAACCTGAGGTTAATTTTCCAAATTCACATTTTACATTGCTTACATTCTAAGTGGCATGCCAAAAGCTTGGTTGGCAAAATGTCATTCCGTCACGCAAATAAAAAGTTTGTAAAATTAAAAGTAAAAAAGATAAAAAATCCTGTTTTTTTTAGTTTATGAAGCGCATTATGCCAATAATAATGATACGCAAGAGGAAAAAAAATGTTTCTTTGAAATTAGATAGATAGAAACTTCAATTAATTGTTATTTTGCAAGTGAAAATGTCATTCTGTCACACATGGAATTGCCCATGTTAGAAATAATTAAAATAAGATTGTGTCTTGAATAATTTTGAACTAGCTTCTACACATACTCTAACATGATTCAGCTATGAATAATGTTAAGGGTACAATTTAGTTTTTAATTTAAGATGTATTTGAATTTTTTTCTTCACATTTAATGTAATAGTGGAAGCTACAAAAACTTTTATAAACTTTCAAATTGTGTTGAATCTTTAATTTTAAATTCTGCAAATCAAACACACCAATATTTTAAAACTCTTCAGTGAATATTGATTCAAAATGTCAAACTTAGAGTAAAACAACTAAAATAAAATATACTTACAGCTATTGATTTAACTTTTAGTGTAAGGAACCACCTTTTTTTTCTCTAATTATTGTGCTGGTGTATAAAAGCAGCCGTTTAATTGAATCTAATATCCCAGAATGAAGATGATTTTAATAATTGGCTAATTATACAAATTTTGTTACTGTTAAGTATAATTCAATTTCTTTTTTTTCTTAAATTTTAAAACATGACACAGGAAGTCAACTTAATTAAAATATCTGCTTCGTAGAAAATTTTATGAACACTTTGAGTATTGCGAATAAATATCTATAACTCATGAACCAATCGAATAAATTTAAAAACTTAGTTAAAAAGTGTAAAAAAATATTTGTTCTTATTATAATTTTTTAAACTAACTTTTCAGGTGTTTTTCAAATTTTAAAAATCTATGAAACTTATTGACTTACAGCAAAAAATTTACTTCTGCACATTTTTCTGACAGTTAGAAATAAAATAAATGAATAAATAAAAAAAATATGTTTACCAATCTTATTTCAGCAGCTAAACCTGGATCTGCTATGGTTGAAGAATCTTTCATCATAGAAGAAATTTTCATTCTCACTATATTTTCTGAAATACAAAATTCTGACTCAACTAATCAAAATTTTTCTTAAGTTGAATATTTATTATTAGCTGCACATTTGGATGTGTGCTCTGCTTTAAGTAGTTAGAAGTATTGCCGGCACTAAGTTGTTTTAACTAGTTGATTGTTTAATTTGCACTAATGGCTTTTACCACAGAAATGTATTTGCAGAGAAAGTGTTAGTAAGTGACAGCATGGAAATACATTTATAACTAAAACATAAATAATTAAGATTCTGAGAAGTTGTGCAGTGAAAATATTATTTTCTTAAGGCGGGAAAACATATAAATGGTCAGTAATTTATGCATTTATTTTTAAACTAGAAATCTGAAGACATAAAAAAGTTCAAATACTAAGAAATACGGAATTGATAAAAAAAAAATTTAAATTTTCTTTTTAGTCTCTGAAGTAAGAACAGAAAAATGCAGTTTGCTCTAAAAAGAAAAAAAATACAAAATTTGTATACTTATGACAGATATTTACATTGTTTATACAGCTTACACTATTTAGTACGACCCTCCCTTAATACAACCTTTGCATTATTACAATCTATACATGAAGTTCCATTTGTTCTTCCATAGCTCTATGTTATTTTACACCAATTAGAACATTTAGCCATTCATTCCAACAATGCATACGAAATTATGTTTAATTTTTTTTAATTCCAAGGAAATCATTGAAAAAAAGGTGTAACACATTTTTGTGTTTTAAAAACTAACATTGTTTTATTGACAGTAAGACAATGGGTAATAAAAGTCTGGAGGAAATAATTTAAACCACTATTTCTATCAGCATTCAAAAAATGTTAAACATCTTGAATTCTCTATGAATAACCACCTCTCTATGACAGGATCTTAGTTTCCATTATTGAAAATTAGAAATGTATATTGCATTCTTCTGGTGGAATCACCTTGGAGATTTCTGCATGCATTCTTTGTAAATTTCTTTTTAAAGGGTTCAATCAATTCATCAATCATGTTTTTTTGTTAGAGAATTGTGTTTTCTCTTTTTGTAAAGTGTTGTAGAGGTGGTTAAACAAGTGATATTTACATTCTTTTTGATTTTATTTTTTGCTAGGGAATTCAGAACGTATAATTCTAAGCAAAAATGGTTCTTCATAGACAGATAGTTGTAACCTTAGAACAGAAATTTAAATGTTTGAATGAGTGGATGGATGAATTACATCAAAACCACAAAGTGCTTAAAATATTCAAAATCCTGGAAAGCACTTTGTTTTTAATAGATATCATTTGAAAAAGTGAAATGTGTTTCTAAAACTTACATTAAAACTTGCAATTTGCTAAAAAGAAAACTGTGTTAATGTCAATTATTCCATCAAGTTTCATAATTCTTTTCAGCATTTAGCATGTTTTTCTCAAAATAAGTTCAATATTTAGGAATCATAAGAAAAGATTTGGTCTAATTTTGTGTCTTCACAATAAATCAATCTACCATTATAACGTCCGTTTTTGTTTGGATCACAGGGATGGATATTGAGCATTAACTGTATACAAATTACAAGGCAACAATTACGAAACAAATGTGAAAGGCAAAAGTCATTACAAAAGAATTTTTAACAATTACAATTTTTTAAACAATACATGAAGATAAAAATTAATATAAGAAAACACTAAGCTCTAATTTATTTATAATTTTAATTGCATACAGCATTTGTTGTAAACAATTGTATACAAAACATGTAACATTTGTAAGAAAGAAAAATATATTTATACCTTTTTCATCATTTTCTTCTTCAGTAGATTTCTTCTTATAGTGATAATTTAAAATCAGTTTAGCCATTAAAGCAGGACACAAATCAACCTACAAAAGATTCTATATTAAAACAGGCATGAGAATAACACTTTTTTCCTTACTTGAAAAAAAAAAAAAAAGAGAGAGAGAGAGAGAGAGAGAAAAAAGACTTTTTATATAAAATCTAAATAGTATTTGTTTAGGGTGATTCCACTCCAAATCAACCAATAGCCGTTAGTTAAGTTTTCATATTCAGTTTATCTTAGTCTAAATAAAGCTAGTTTCAGATTTTTTATATTGTTGGTTTTTGAAACTAAATATTTACAGTCTCTATAGTTCTATAATTTTTAAACAACTGTAGTTTGAGAACTATTTGACCTAGAGAGCTGAATTTTAAGTCAATTTGTTCAATTTTTAGTCATTTTATAAAATATCTAACATGGCAAATGTAATAAAAACTTTAAAAAAATAATAATTTAAAATATTATTTCAAAACTTTTTATTTTTTTACATCTAAAATGTGCCAAAAATTATTTATAAATAAAATGACATAATTTTTTTTTTAATAGCTGGTTGGTTATGGAACTTTTTTTTCATTAAAAAAATTGAAGGTAAATAAAACAGTTATAGTTCCTCAAAGACATTATTATATGCATCACTTAGCTATTTTTAATTTCTTTAACTGCCATATCAGAAAGTAGCAAAAAAATAAATAAATAAAAATTTAAAAAAAAACTGAAAAAAAAAAAAAAACTGAAAAAAAAAAGGCAGTTGAATACATGCAGTTTAAAAATAAGAAAATTGGGCACTTGACTTTTTACTTTTCTAACTTATTTCTTAAATGGATGCTAACCTATTACAGTAGCCACCGTCAATTAAAATCACGCTCCTTCTGAGAACATTTGATTTTATAAAGCCACTGATTTTATAAACCGGAGTGAAAACGAAGAGGAAAAAATATTTCAAAACTAAACTAAAAGCCAATCTAACTAAATATGAGTTACATTTTCTTTAAAAAAATAACACAAAGGTTTTAAAATATTGGCATTTTTATAATTAAGCAAATTTCTATTTTGCTAATTATGCAAAATTTAAATTAAAGATGCAACATAGTTTGGAAATTTATAAATTTTTTAATTTATTTATTTAAACTTTTATTAACTATATTTGCTTTGTTCTAAAGATCATTTTAAAATATAAAGCTGTTTCTTAATATGTATCTAGTTTTAAGTTACTAAACAAGCAATGATCATTCAAATTGAATGAGAAGAGGCATTCTATAACTTTTCTTAAACCACAAACAATTAGTATCCTTCAGATCCTACAGATTCCTTTACACTTTCTGTTTCACAATTTTTTTTAACTTTCTATCTCTTTAATTTTCCAAAGAAGTGCAATCCACACCGATAACTTAGTTCTTTTTGTTCGTTGGGAACATATTGAAATTTGTTTTTTATGTTCATTCAAACCTTGAGTTTAAAAAATTCTAATTATTCAGATAAGAAAAAGCAGAGTTTATATATATTTGAAATACATGCTCTACAAAAGTTTGAATTTAGAAAATGGGGATCATGATTTTATAAAAAAATAGTTTTAGCGTGTTATGACATTGTAATGATTCCATTCTTGCAGATTTGATTTTAAAAAGTAGCCAATTTCATACCAATTATTTTATTAGTGGTGGCCACTTTAATATTTTCAATGCATAAATAACAGAAATAGGAAGAATTTAGTTAATAATAGAGATATTAGTAAAAATAAAAAACTTTTTACAACAAAAAATTTAATAAACAAGAAACAATCAATGAAAATAAGTAGCAGATCTCAATGAAAATAATCACATCAATGAAAAGAAGTAGTAACTCAATTCCAATTCCTTAAGAGTTATGAAAATTTATAAACTAAAATTGAAATATTTGTTGCAGCTTAATGATGAGGGCTGAAAATATTACTTTTTGTTTTAAGAAAAAAAAGCTATTTTGAACAATAAGTTTTTGCTTAATATATATACATAGTAAACTCCACATTATCCGCTTTGCGGATCATCCGTGCTTCCTTTTTTTTGCAATGATAAACAACATAGCATTTTGAATTGAAAATAAATAAATTTGTAGGAATGGAACCATTTTAAGGGTTTTGAGAACATACTATGAAACACAGTTCACAATTACTCAAATAATGGTGGTCTACAATTTAATATTTCAGTTTCAAATGCCATACGTAAGTAAAAACAAACATTGAAAGGGTGAAAATGGCAAGGTCCTCATATAGAATCATGATATACAGCTGCCAAATTACAAATGCAAGATAAAGTTCAAATTTTAATGAATAGATTAGGCAGCAAGTAAAAGTAGATTTGATAGCAAGCAAAAAAATTTAATTTTTCCAGTCTTGCCATCATATGTTGAATGGGAATGAAAAATCCTCAGTCATTTATTTAGTTGATATGTAACTGATGACATGTAGCAACTCTAATCAGTTTTAAAATTGATAACCAACAAATGAGCTTGGTTCCCATACAAAACTTATACCCCTGAAAGAAAAAGAATGAAGCAGAGCTTTGAATATTTTTAGGGCCATATGCATGATTTCAGAATTGTTGTCAGTTGTTCATTTTTAGTTTTGTTACTGATAAGAGTATCTAAAAATCGTGTATGCACAGTAACTCTTTATGAGAACTAATTCAGGTGCTTTGAACATTGTTTTGTGCATTCTTTTATGAATAGTGTACGAACTCTCCAATTAAAAGTCTGCTTGTGCTTGTTTTATTTCAGCCTCCTGCCTTTCTAACATCAAGAAACAAAAAAAAAAGTTGACCTGCTTTTTCATACAGAAATATAAAATAAAAAAAAGTAAAAGAGAAAAATGTGAAGAAAACTGATAAAAGATATTAAAATTTATCATTTATATTAAAAAAATCGATGATTTGGGTCTTTTTTAAGCATTTTGCGGATTATGCATGAATTCACTTATCCGTGCTGCGTAAGCCACTCAATTCCGAAGATAATTGGGAGTTTACAGTGTATGTCATTTGCAATTTGTAAGTCATTGTATTGTTAAAAAAAAGTCCTTTTTAACATATATAATTCTCTAAATAATAAATATTGATAATAAAATTTAGATTTTTGAGAACCTTAAAACTTTAGAAAAGAAGACTTACCTCATCAGCCATTTTTAGTAAAAACCCACATTTTCCATAAGAGTTTTGGGACTCTTTTAAATACCTGAAATATTTAATTATTTTACAAACATGAAAGATATTTTCACATGCATGTTTAATCCATATGTATACATATATATTAAATCATGACATACCTTTCATAATAAGCAGCCACTTGATCAGTTGCTGAATGCAAATGATACGTTTTTCTTGTTTTTCTCTGTATTAAAAAATTAATATCATCAATTGAAATAACTTATGTAAAAAAAAGTCTATAAAGACAAATTTTAAAAGTAAGCTCAATATTACATACTTAAAATATGCAAACATGAGAAGAAAAAAAAATAAACAATGTAGCAGTTTAAATGTACTATGGTGATTAATTGCAATAATAAATAATACCTAGATCCAGCATATAAGATTATATTGATAAAAATATTAATCAACATTTTAATTCAGAAAGGTGTCATCCTAATTATCCAAATATTTAATAAAATTTATATTAATCACAAATTCTTCAAAATAGCTTTTAATAAAATGAAGCTATATAAGAACATAAAAACTCACCAATCATAAGACTTCAAGAGTAACATCGCAATTTTTTTGCAATTCATACATATTATTCTAAATTTGCTTTTTAAATCATAATATTTAATAAACCTTTAAAAAATCATCCTTCAGAAGTTTATAAAGAGTTTATATGCCATATTTATGATTGAAATTATAAATATTTTAAATTAACCCAAAATTTTTCATTTACACAAAGTAAGATTCCTGATATGATACATTAAAGATGAATAAAAATTAGTTTTCTAACTTCTAAACCACTTATCTTGTTATCAGGAATATTTATTATGGTACGGGATAATTTTTCTTTTTGAACAACAGCAATTCCACTTATGCAATATAGTGTGCATCAATGCATAAAAAATCTTAAGGAGGAAACAAAGAAAAAGTAATGATGTATTTCCAGGATATGTAATTCTCCATTGGGAAAAATAGAAAGAAAAAAAAAATAGCCCACCAGCAGAAAATTAAACAATTTTTTTTTTACAGAATTAAAAACAGAATTGATACAGAAATATTGGTTTTTATTCCTTATCGAATAATTATTGATGAAGCAAACAATATTTATTTTTTATGTATATATCTTTAAAATAGAGATTTGTATTATTTTAGATAGGGACCTTAGAAAAAAATGACTTAAATATTTGGAAGTCCTGGGCCTTAATAATCAATAGTTTTAAAAATCTAGTGGAATTACTGCACAAGATTCCAAAATTTATTATTTGAAATTACGTAATTGTGGAGTAACAAATTACTTTTAATTATAAAAAAGAACAATTAATTAATAAATATGTAACAATTAATTATAAAACATTAAATAAGTTTAACATTTAATAATATAAACATATAATTATTAATTATAAAACATTTTTTGCAACATTTAATTATAAAAAGCAAAATATCTACAATTGTAATCATAAATTTAGAAAAAGCAATGATTAATATTTCAATTAAAATTTTCAATAGAAGTTTTTTTCCAAATAAACATTTTAACAATAATATAAAAACATTAAAAAGTTATAGCTAGAATGTTCCTTTCTAAGTATAAAAAAGCAACTATACATCGTAAAAAGAAAAAAATTCTTTGTTAGCAAACAAAACCATCAGAAAAAATAATAGTCTGTACATTAAAAAGAACTTCTAGTATACTGTTACATACTAAAGATATTTTCTACGTCCTTTCTATGTATAATTCAATTTCCAAAGCAACAAAATACTATTTAAAACAGAGAAAATAAATAATATTTAATAAAGGGAAGGAAATGGTTGCATACTTGACGCTCTTGATAAATTATGCTTTGCAAAGTTTCAAAAGGCACACTAAAAATATAAATAAAAAAAATTACACAATTGAAACACAAACAAAAAAATTTGCATTCTAACTAAATATAATAAATAAAAATTGTTTTTTGTTTATTACATTTAATTATAATGCAAATAGCAATTTAAATAGCATTTGCAAAAAATTAGCAACTTTTCAATAACAATTTGATTTTTAAAAATAGGGTACTTATATATTATCAAGACTAATTTGTAAAATCTCAAAACCTTGCTTAGGCACCAATATTGGATTACCACATATTACGATGTCAGTACAGTATAAGCCTCACTAAATTTATTTATATAAAGCTGAAGGAAAATATGCTTTTCCTTTAGAAATTTTCTTATTGTATTGTATTTAGTCAATGTGAAAATAAATTTGGAAGTGGTTTCAATTTAAATATTTTCTCATTTTTGCTTATGTTTTAATGCTCGCTTTTTGTCTCTTTGTATTTTATAATTAAAAACTATGTGGAAATAAATTTGAAAGCCACCAAAATTAATCAGCACTAGCAGAAATAGTGGATGGGATAATATGTAAGTACGGAAAATATAGTCGAATAATTTTGACAAAACAGTAAAAATTATAAGAACTGGTGGTATTTACTTTAGACTGTTACATTATCATCCTACTATATTTTAGAATTATACATGAAAAATACTATCAAATGGATATAATATTTAAATTAATAAATTCAGAGATTAAAAATGTTATAATTTTTTTTTCATTAACAAAACGCAAAATTTAAGTTAGTTTGAGAAGTTGAAGTTCTAAATCTCGTCTCATGTGCACCATTAAATTTTTGTTACAGATTTAATTTTATCATACTTGTACAGAATCATCCTATTTAATGATGAAACAGCTTTAATGGTCTAACAGCTTTAAAGTACAAAAAATCCCAATTTAATAAGTTTAAGAACTATATCTCCTAAATTTGTAAAAGTATCTACTAATAAAGTTTAAAATTTACAAATAATTTAATTTAAGATATCAATGGAAACTACTGTCAAAAATCAATAAATAAATGAAAAAAAAAAAAAAAAAAAAAGAGCAATGAAATCAAACTTCTGAATAATTTTGAAAACAATCTTTAAAAAACTTTAACAATCAATAATTTCTCAAGTTATGAGACAAGTCGTTGAGAAATTTAGTTATGGAAAAACAAGTAGCATGGGTAAAAAAAATGTCAAATAGTACCTACTTTTACAAAAATATGTACTTATTGTAAAAAAATATATTTTTGATACAAAAGAAAGAGGAATAAACTAATTTATTTATTTAAAATATTTGGAACTTATAGTTTGATTTTCTTCTGATTACAAACAATAAATTTCGATATTTTCAATAGATTGCAGTTCATTTTCCTCAGTTTTGCACCTCTTCAGTTTTTGCAAATATTTCTAGGTGAGATTTCCATATTGTGATTTGTGGCATAATAATCACCAAGTCTTGGCAACTATCGGGCAGCGGCCCATGAGAAACTAAAAAAAAAAAAAAAACATCACAGAAAGGGACAAACTTGAAGGTAATAATTTGTAACCACTCCCAGGCAAATCTCTAAAAGTTTTTCTTTCTAAATTTTCCCAGTTTAAAATCGATTTGACGATCATAGTTGGTATGGTAGATCACAAAAAGGAAATATCTATTTCTGGAACCAACAACATCACCATTTCAATATTTTCATTAATTGAGTACTAAACATTGAAAGTGTTGTTTAATTTGAATTTTCTAACTATTACAAATTTTCTTTATCTTCTTCTTCATTAGCAACAAGAGTTAATGTTTTTCACTCAAAACTAAATAACATTTCAAACATAAAAATTTCTGATTTATAGACACGGATATTTAATAGCTTAAAAAACGGGAATTATTAACATTACAAGAAAACGCCGGTAAAACAAGACGATATATACGGGAATGATAAATCGAGGCTCGACCGTATCAAATTTATATTTAATTTAACTAAATTAATCGCAACCACATTTAGCTAAACACAGAAGAGAGAAAGAAATTTAAAAATATTAAAGAAAGGATGAAATAGGGACATAAAAAAAATAAACTGTCATGTAATTTACTTCGAAAAATAATTCGAAAGTTCTGCCAAACAATCTCGCTTTTTAAGCTCACGGTACTTTTCAATTATGAGATTATAATATTTTAATTTCATTTTGTATGAAATTAAAAATATGATATCAAGTTCTTTAAAGTTAAGTTTCTTTTCAAATATTGATTGATTGTTTAACAGTCTATTTCTGTCTAAATAAATAACTACAAATACTTGTATTAAAAGTTTCATATCAGTGACAAAAACAACTAAAAGATAAGCTGAATTGTTTTTTAATTCTTTTCATCAATAAATATTGCAATAAATTAAATTTTTTTGGAAATTTTTTCAAAATTAAGAGAAATAATTTGCTTCTTGAGCATATTTTGACAAGGAAAAGGTTATAGTAGCTATGTAAGTTATAAGCAACAATGCAATACCAAATTATGATGAGGAGATGAAGTTCTGCTAGCAACAATCCATGGAGTCACAACAGCACAAACAATTGAAATGTTAAATATCTGCTGTTTAAATCAGAGGCTATAATATTAATTTTCTTAGCTCGGTCTTAAAAATTTCCAATGTAATGTGAATCTTTATTGAATTTTTAATTAAATAAGTCGCGAGATAAGAGTAAGGCCATGCAACTTCTTTTGGAAACTGATTTCCAATTTTTTAAAAAAATATAATAACCTATATTTTTAGTTCTACTTTTTCTGCAATATGCATTTTTTTAATGATGAATTTATATTCCTATCAAAATGTTTAAAGTACTATTTATTAAATTGTGATTTTATTTTGAGAGATCATATTTAAATGCCACAAGTTACATTTTAATGCAGTAAAATGACTACTATTAACTTTTCTAAATTAAATTCTAACGAGATTAATCAAGATGAAACTTTCGATCCATGTTCTAAGCTTTATATCTCTCTCATTGGTAAACCAATTGAAATAGGCCATTTTTCAATTGATTCAAATAAAAGAATGCATTTTGATAAAAGACAAATGAAGTATCTACTTTCTGATTTAAAAATTGGAGAACTCGATTTAAATGCGGATTATTCTCCTGGTTTACTCCAGCAATATGTCACAATAGAAAAGCTACATACACTATTGAAATGGATATTACATTTCAAAGTTAAGTGAGTAAATTAATGTTTTGTTCAGGTAAAAATTTTCTAAATATTATTTGTATTTTAAATATTTTAGTGGTACATATTATTTAATGATTTTGTTAGTGTTTAATAAAATATTATGTTTGATTTCAAAGTTTTGTTCAGGTTTCTAACAATTGATTGAGGAGATTTCCGCATTAGTGCCTGCACCTAAAAAAGTTTCCAAATTTTGGCAATAACCAGGCAGAGGCATACAAGAAACTAAAAAGGAACATCACAGAAAGGAACCAACTCTAAAGATTTAACTTGTAGCCACTTTAGTCAAACCAAGATATATATTAATTTTTGCATATAGCAAAACTTTTAAATGCCTTGGCAATATTTACTGCCGTGAACAGGTACTGGTGCAGAAATAGTCTCAATTAGGTTGTTTTTAACACTTTCACTGTGATTAACATAGTGTATTCTGAGCTGACAATGTGTATTTTCTATTTCTGATAAGTTTTTTCAAATTCTTGTTGCTCTCTTTACTGTCTTCAAATAATTCATCTAATAATGTATCAGCAAGTTTTTCCCTTTATCTAAATCTGATCACCCAGACCAGCGATTGATGCAGAGGGATCATATGCTTACTTGGTTTTTAATTTTCAGCTTTGTGTTTTGATCTGTAATATTGTCACAAAATAGGATATTTCTTCATAATTATGAAAATTTTATATTCTTTGTATTATATTTTTTCCTTCAAATCCATTTTATTAATTTTTTGTTTAAAAATATCTAATAGAGACATGTAAACGGATCTGTAAAAAGGTGTTCAGACTAGCAATGTCTTGCGAAGCCAGTGTTATCGACAATGTCAACCTTCATCTATTAAAAGGTACCCCAAGATAAAATTGAGTTAACTTGTCTTATATACTAGTGAATTGTATTCTTGTAGTGGAAGTTGCACTACATTACTTCCCCACCAGAATTTTATATCACTAGTTAATTCATTGCCGTTTTGCAAAAGACCTAGAGAGCTGTATTAAGTTCACCAGATTTAGAGCTCTCTTGGTAAGAGCTGTATTAAGTTCACGGCTGTGTAGGTGGTTGCTTCTGTGTTGTTATTAGGAGTCGAGTGCGTAAAAGCTCGATTGGTGTGTGACCGAGACTGAGTAGTAACAGCGCGAGGAAGACAGTGTCGCAGTCACAAATATCAAGTCAACTGCTCAATGTGGAGCATCTATTGAAGTAGATGTGTTCAAACTAAAGTGGGCATGTCTGTTGAGGTAAGCGTGTTCAGATCACGTCCGTAGTTTACCAATGTTGAGGCTAGAATACAGACGATGTCAACCTTCATCTATCAAAAGGTACCTCAAGATAGAATCGAGTTGACACGTCTTATGTACTAGTGAATTGTAATTGTATTATTCTAGTGGAAGTTACATTACAATCTTTTATTTACTGGTCTGCGGACAAGTTATTACATTTTCCTAATTTTTACCTTTGCTTTCATGGTAAAAATCAAGCTGAACCATTGCAATTTTTAAATGTTTAATTCTTTTAATAACAGTATAAACTTTTGCTTGCTGCCTTATCCATGTTACTCACTTTTGTTTTTTGTGATATCAAATAAGGATGTTTCCATATTCTTTGTGTTGTTCTTTGTATAAATTTTCTCCCGAAGTAAGTAAGTAAGGGATACTTTTCTCTTTAGATAGAGCAGCAAATTACATTTTAGTAAGATGTTATTTTTACAAAGGGAATTTCAACCATTTTTGATTTTTGTTCTAATTTTATGTATTCCAAAATATATTAAAACAATGACTATATTAAAAATGAGCAACAAAATTATAATGAACAACAAAACCGGCTTTTAGGGATGAAAATATTCTTAACAACGAGTTTCGATTTTTAAAGTGTTATAAAATTGTTTGATTTTTTTAATATCTAAAGTTATATGCATTTGAAATCCCCAAATGTTAATCCCAAAATGGCAGTATTGTCTTGCAACAAAAAGCATATTCTCTTGTGTAAAGATATATATTTTTGTTCAATAAATTCATTAACTGATAAATAAAAATTTTATATTCTTCGTTATAATTTTAGGCTGAATGTAGATTTTGTCACAGTACGTGGAACTTTGTCCAGAATTATGTGTACTCCTTACTCAAGTAAAACATACCGGAATAACTGGGATATATGTGCAACAAAATTGAATGGAATTATCTATCTTACTGCTGTTGACACAGACAAAGAAATAGCTCGTATAGATGAATTTCCACAGCTGGTACGATATATGTCTTGGGGATACAAATTTGAGCAATATTTAACAACTGGTAAATTATAATACCATTTTATTCATATCTAAAAATGCATTCAAATCTGATACTTAGATTTTTCATAAAATCTTAAGGTAAAATTCTCTTTACATAGAGATATACAAAAGAGTTCCCATACCATAAGAAAATGCTATTTCAGTCTACACTCTTTAGAACGACCCAACATTTCAGCCTTCCTTTCATTATAATGTCCCGGCTGAAGTTCTGTTTGCTATTCCCAGTGTTCTCTCCAAGCGTTTTTTGAAGGGCTCTTTGATCCCAAAAAATGCGCCTTTTTTGTAAAAGTAAGATGCCATCCCTTAAAAACGCTGCCTTTTTATTCCGATTAATTGTTTTTAAATAATAATTACACTCTGGTAAAATTATCTGTGTTTATAGGATTAATTCTGATTACCACTACAAACATTTAGTTTGTTAGGATTATTCTCAACTAGTTAAATTATTATAAGTTTTTTTTTCAGGGAGGGGGTAAGGAATATTAATTAATTTTTTTAAGTGATTTTAAAACTATTTTTTTTTAAATGCATCATTAAATGTAGATTTTTTTCATAATTTTCTATTTAAATTATAGAAAAAAAACTTTAAAGTTGTTTATCAATTAATCATTTTTTGCAAGTTTACTTTTTAAAAAAATAAATAAATATGCACAGAGATTATTTTTATTAGCTACAAATTTTTCTATTATTTTGATTGTGAAAGAGAATTACCAATTGAAATATATTCATAAAATATTATGAGAAGGTAATCTAAAAATTGTTAATCATAAAATTCAATCATTATATTACACATTTTGATAAATATTTATGATAAGTGAGTGCCCTTTCAAAACTCAAAATACCCTGCTCATTTTTATTCCTAGGGAGAACTCTGTATTCCATAGGCATAATGTTCTTTTAAAGTCCATTAGAATGTCGCCTCTGAACTGTTATTCCAATATAAGGAACAAAATTTAGTCATTTCATTTAAAAATTATTTAAACTATTATTTCCTTTAATATTACCACACAATAAATAATTAAACACCATGGATCCCTTTGGAATGATGCATAACCCCTTAAATTCTTATCCTAAGTCTTAGGTGGTCATAATTTATGGTCATTCATAATTAGGACTGGGCGATAATTAGAAATTATATATCGTGATGCATCGTCAGTTTTGCATCGCGATATAGTATTTTTGAATTTCATTTACTTGTAAGGCACAGAAAGCCAGATTTCTATCAAAACTTCACACTCAGATTGATTTAAATCAATTTATTAATTTGAAGATATATATGTTTTGCTTAAAAAATATATTAAATAAATTGACTACAATATACAAATCTTACTTAAAATATTTATTGAAATGTTTGTTCAGAAATTCATAATCATAATTTTGCATCGCGATATAGTATTTTTGAATTTCATTTACTTGTAAGGCACAGAAAGCCAGATTTCTATCAAAACTTCACACTCAGATTGATTTAAATCAATTTATTAATTTGAAGATATATATGTTTTGCTTAAAANGTTTTCTTATATCCTTGCGTGTCTTATATCGCTATATCGTTTTGCGCTCGTTGTCTTTACTCGACGGCTTAAATCAGATTTCTGATGCATCCCCTTGAATGAAAGTCTCTGTATCGTCTCGCCGATATATGCGTTAAATCGATATGTCTCGATACATCGATTTATAGCCCAGTCCTATTCATAATATTCGTAATCAAAGGATATAATAAATTTATGAATCACACTTTTTTTGTTTGAAAATTGTATTCTCTTCTTATGGGAAATGTCATTCTCCTTCTGTGGATTATTTTCTGGTTAAAACATGTGTCTTCTCAATTATCTTGACATATGTTATTTGTAAAAAATGACTGCCTGTTAGTTACCAAATTCTTATTGTTTTGATTAAAATTGGTCTAGTATTTATATTAGTTGCGAGTTAATATTTATGGTATTTTTGTACACTCACATTATGTCTGTTTTCATCCGGACCAAAAGGGTCGTTATATTGAGCATCGACTGTATTATTATTTTTTATGTTATTTCTTTCATTATAAAGGTCTGTTTAATTTCATATTTTATTTCCTTCTGAAATAGAGAAAAATTATTATGGTTAGCAAATGAAACTTATTGTTTGTTAATTTAAAATTTTTGATAAATATTCTAGTAATTTTTTTATTCAAATGCTGTTGTTGTTGTAAAGGTCTGGTTTCTTAGGACAAGCGCCCTTTTTTGTTAGCTCAGCGTGAGCAGTCGGTCCAACGCAGACATTATCTCTCNGATCCGAAGACATGCCATCACAATTTTGATCCTCTACGGAGGGGATGGCACCCCCGCTTCGGTAGCCCGACGACAATACGATAGCACAGTTTAACGAGGACCAATACGATTCAAATAATGAAGTGTTAAGAAAGAAATTTTCTGTTAATACTAATTTAATATGTCATTATGTGACACAGCCAATGATAGTTAGCAAATGAAACTTATTGTTTGTTAATTTAAAATTTTCAATAAATACTCTAATATTTTTTTTTACTCAAATAATGAAGTGTAAAGAAAGAAATTTTCTGTTAATACTAACTTAATAGTATGCATTATTATATTTTTTTTATTATTACATATGGATTTTTGATTATTATCCTAGGATATAATGCAAAGTTGTATGGCATTCCAAAGTTGATAAGACTAAAGTAAGACTAACATTATTGCTTTGCACAGTTTTAGTTAATTTCAAAAATGTAAGAAATGTTTATTTAAATTTTCTCCGATGTAATGAAATTTATTTGAAAAAATTCAAAATATCAAAACAATTATAGTAGAAATAAAGTAAATGAACCACTTTTAAATCTCTATACTTATGTCAGTGACGGAAAAATTGAATTTATTTTGTGATAAAAAAAAAAGCTAAAGAAAGGATAATATACCTAAAAGAAGGGAAAAAATCATATTTAACTTGCAAATATATAAAATTCAAATAATAATAAGGAGTTCTAAATTTTGAAAAAAATTAAGTTTTCAGTCAGGAAGTTGGACATGGTTACCAAAATACGTATACAGAAAAGGTTAAAGGGTCAAGTACTGATATGAAAGAATATCTTCTATATTAAGAGTAAATAAAAAGTAATTTTTTTCTTAGTTTTTTTTAATGATATTTATTCTGATGCCAGTTCCAACCTCAAGAAGGAGTAGGTTAAAGACTTTAGGTGATAAATAGAAAAAACTTGTATAAAATGTTTTGATAAATGTTTTTCTTAGCTGCATGCATACTATATAAAGCATAACATAAAAGGTAAAACAATACCCATATGTTAAAGAAATTCCAAATTATATAGGTATAGAGAAATCATTGAAATCAAATATAATGCAGAAAGTTTTTTGCTACTAACATTTCATATTTTTAATGGTGACATAGACTATGCATGCATTTGTATTAAATTATTACTATTAATTATAGTATATTGTTTTATTTTCAGCTCAAGTCGATGGTGAGGTTGACTTAACTTCTAGAAACAATCATGAGGAATATTGCATTGTTTTGAAAAATAAGTTTAATGATTTTTCTTTACTATACCAAGCAGAAATTGATGCAGTTATACCTCATCAATTTTCTCAGACTGGGTCAGGTGATACTTCATGCTATATTGAACTGAAGACCTCCCAAATTTTAAAAAGAACCACTGATGTTTTTAATTTTTGCAGGTATCAATTTCTGTAACAAAATTTATGAAGTGTACAATGAAAGAATTCTTTGAAAGATTTAAAAATGTAAAGATAACTTAAAAATTAATAGTTAACAAGATTGTTCAGATTGTATTAATGTCCTGGTATAATTAATATTATTTTTGTGTATCTTTCCCATTGTAATGTGTTGCAGTGATTCCTATAGACATTTTTCTCTATAATTAGTATTAAGCACTGATATACAAAATGATAAGCAGAAATTACTTGTTGTCTATTTTGGTAATATGTGCAAAGTAATTTGCTTGTTTCTTAAAAAAAATTACAACTTAATTACAAAACTGTACAAAGATTTGAGCATTTAGGGCAGCATATCGTCAATGCCTGGGAACTGCAAGATGTTCCTGTAAAGTGCTTGCTGAATTTTATTTCAGCCATAGGGCTTTCATGCTAATCATGATTTTAGGGTTTGAGTACTATAGACCTCTGGTCGATGTGCCCTGCTCGTCAGAGCTGCCCAACCTCTAAGTCTACAAAACTGTAGCAAAATATTGGAAGAATTTTAAAAGTTTATAAAACGTATGGAACTTTTTATTGAAGGGAAGAAAAACTAGTGTAAATTTATCAATGCAATTTAAATATAGCTTTATGTATGCGAACTTTTGGAAAAAAATAAATATCGAAAAAATATCTTATATTTTAATTTCTATCCTTAAATTAAAATATTTTATTGTTTTATCATAAAAATAAACCTTTAAAACAGCACTTTTAACATTTAATTTTTTTTTAAATTTTCAGTTTTTTTCTTTTTAAGACAATATTCAACTTATAAAATGTAAAATATTAATAATTCAATGGTTTGCTTTGTTATATTCCTTTGTCGTCAATAAGCTTTAAGTTTAATTATCGGTCGATGTGTATATAGAATTGTTTAAATTGGGGTTGAATCTTTCATATATTTTCTCAAACAAGTTTTATACTCACTTATTAACTCCATAAATATTGTAATTTAATATAAAGTAATTAGAGTGTATTTTTAATGAATGTTTATTTTCAGTGGTAAATTAAATACATGGTGGGCGCAGTCCTATTTAACTGGTATAACTGAGATCATATGTGGCAGAAGAAATGAGAATGGTATTGTTAAGTATTTAGACTTCTACAAAATTAGTGATATCCAAGACATGGCTTACGTAAATAAAATTTCATTGTCAAATTTTATTATAATGAATTTTTTGCTGCAACACACTTTAATTATAAAATATTTTATTTTCACAGGGGCTATGGTCGCCAGAAGTATGCCTAAATTTCTGTGATAAATTTTTGAAACTAGTCAAACGAACAGCAACTGAAGATAATCCTAAGTAATTTGAATTAATTTATTAAAATATTATACTACTGCTACTTCAGGAAATACTTAATTTTTCAAGCTTTATAGTCAGATAGTTTTTTTTATTTATTTTTATTGTATATGTAGGTACAGGCGCAGGGAAAAATTAGGAAACTTTACTACTGGCCAGTTGTAGCATTTTTAATAGTGGACCCGTTTTCTCGAATTGCAAATTTTAAATGATTAAAAAAAAACTTAATATTAATAATGTCAGGTAGCATTATCAAGATAAATAGATTAAGATTATAGCAAGCCTTTGAAGCATTTATCATAACGTGGTAAACATTATAAGGTAATTTCTAAAATGAAGAAAAATTTTGAGATACAAGTGTGAAATAAAGTAATTTTCAGATATTTATAATAATTCTATATTTGTTTAAAAAAATGCTCATTTTCAATGAAATAAGTGGTAATTGGCAGACAATTTTTAATAACTATTTGTTATATTTAATTCCTCCTTAAATGAAAGGTTTTCTTAATTTTTTGCATACATTTTGATAGCCTTATATCGTAAAAAGTCAATCAAATTGTTTAAATATGAAATTCAAAATAAAAATATATTACATATTTACTTTTATTAAAAAGATATTACATATTTTACTTTTACATATTCAATAAAAAGCTTTATTGTATTAAATCAGCTTTCAAAATTAAAAATTTGCAATTTTATATAAATTTTTTTCAGATTGGACAATTATTATAATAATTTTTTTTAATATACAAAACTGGACAGAAGTATACTGCATACTTTTAAATATTACCAGATAATTTTAAAACTCGTAAATTAGTTTTCATATTATACAATAGAAAATATTTTTGCAGCATCGTCTACAAATTTTCCTATACCGGTGATGGAATAGTTCATATAGAAAAATTAGCAAATCCAGAAGACAAATACAAGGTTTTACCTGGCTGGTACAAGACTGCTATGGAGTAAATTGGTATGTTTATAGAATATTTAAAAATCACTTGTTTATTTAACACTTATTTATTTTTTAATTCCTTATTTCTGTAGTAACAGACATTATAGCTAAGTATCGTTTATAAAATTGAACTAAGCATAGGGTTGCTTGAACTAAGCTTTGTGTTAAAATTCAGACTTTCCTTATCAACAATTATATTATTATATCTTTTATCCAGTTGAACTAAGTGCATGGTTGAAAAAGTTTTTACTTTTCTGACTTAAAATGCAGTTCCGTTTTTTTTAAAAATAAAACAAATTAAATTTAAAGTAGTTTATGGTAATGTTTTAGATCTGATATAGTTCTCAAAAGCTTTATCACTAAGACCAAAAGAAGTTGAAACATTATGAGTCATATAATGTTGGGACAAATCTTTTGATCGATACATTTTTGCTTTCAGCTCAGTGTATTACTTAATCCAATCAAAGTATAAAATTGATTTAAGCAACTTTTAAGAAAAAAAACATTTCAAATATCAAGTCAAACTGGGAAAGTGCTATAAGCAGCTAACACCGAATTTTTCTTATGTAAACAATTTAAATAAAAAGTTAGAAACTAAAAACGAAATTCTAAAGATACAAGGAGTGATCAAATGAAAAGGTACAAAACGACATAAAAACGTAACAGTTAAATATTTTCATATTCCGCCATGGGAGAACGTAGCGAGCCATCTCGGGATGTGATTGGAGTCTCTGACTGGGAAAGCACCATGCGCAGGTGCCCGCAGAGGCTCTTATCAAAAGCGGCGTCCAAATGATGCGGCAGTCCGTATGAGGACAGGATGGCGTTCGCGTTGCAAAATTCGACGATTGAGGAGCAGCGAGGTGTTATCCGATTTCCTCGAGCACAGAAAAATCATTAACTCCGATGTGTACTGTGAGACACTCTGACGCCTACACAGGTCCATCAAGAATCAAATATTGAAATAAAGATGAAAATTCAATGATACATAAAACGGAAGTCTAAATTACCCTGAGAAAATACAAGGACATGTTTACATATAAGAAATATAAATAAAGATAAAGTTACAGTTAGAATAACCAAATCAATTTTGATTTGGTGATGAAACGCTGTTTTTGATAACATACATATCTTTAGAGTTTCGTTTTTGGTTTCTAACTTTATATTTAAATTGTATTGCTTAATGTAATTCTGCTAGAATGGTTTATCTTTAAAATTTCCCTAATTTAGTAAAATTTATCGAAAAATTGGAAATAAATTAACTTTTTATCTATTCTACATAGAATAAGCTTTATTTTTATATGTATTATAAGTTCAAAGCCCTCAGGAAGGTTTGATGTTTTAAGCTAGATCATACAAAGTTTAGATTGCATGTTCTTATTTCTTGCTCAAATATTTAATAGATTTTCGCTATTTATAATTCAAAGGGATTTTTCAAAGTTATTTTTTATTGATTAATGTCATTGTAGTGTTTGTTATTAATCATTCAAGAAAATAATACATCAGCAATTAGAAAAATTTATCAGAGATTATAAACCTTCTGGAAAAGAAAAATATGAATAATGATGAATTAAAAAGTTTATTTTATGAAATTACAATAAAAAGTATTGTTACTTTTGTTCATATTTATAATATCCATTATTTTGCAGGTTTACAGTATATAAATGAACAAAATTTATTACAGGATAAATAAGCAAGAAAGTTATTGGAATGATATCATGATATTAATCAAGTCACATTGAATTCAATCATTTTTTATGTTAATGTTTTAAATTTATATGACTTCAAAGTTACAGTTCTTTTGCTGTTACAATTCTTTTATATTTTTCTAACTAAAATGACTTATAAAAAAAAAAGTTGTATATTTTAATAAACTGTTGGTAAAAGGCTTTGCATTGCTGTCACTTCATCTTTGTTTAGAGGCTTCAAATTAAACTTTGATGGAGGCTTTCCTTCTAGGTTTCTCATATTTTCAACTTTAGGTTTTAGATTGTCTCGAATTTTGTTAATTTCTTCATTGATCACAGTTTCATCTGAAACAAGTTACAGATTGTTATTTTAATTTAACAAGAATATATCTAAAGTATATTTAGTCACTTTTAGTAAGTTAGAAAGTCCATAGAATTTCACTGCAATTTACTTAGACTTAATATTTTCTGCAAATTAAACATAAATGTTACTAAAGTTATCTTTAGCTCCACACTAAATAATACTTTTTCTCCCAACAATATCTTAATATATGAAGAGCTTACATAATGTAGTGATACGCCACATTTTTTTTTAAACTAAAATTTTTTACATGAAATCCTTTCTTAGTATTTCCCCAGATAAATACTTTACAAGTTTTGAAATTTTTTCCCATATAAGACAAAAATAAGCAGAAATATCTTAATCCCTACATGAAAGTCTTGGTGTTCCTTTACCAAAAATGCTTCCCTGAACAATTTGAAAATGTGGCTTATTATTATATTGCCCTAAGCCTTTTATATACAATGGTAATATATTGTTGCCAAATTACAATGGCATACCTGCCAAAACCCATTTTTTAAAATACTGAAGATTTACAACAAAATTGCTGATGAAATTACTTTAATTGCAGAAGATTTTATGAACAATCAATTTTTCAAGTTATCAATTGTGCAGTTATTGAAATATAGTTTTAACACAACTCAAATAAATCTAAAAAATAAGAAAATATGATCCATTTTTTTGTATTATTTAGATACTTAAAATTTTATATTTTGAATTAATTAATGACCTAGAATACTGACCAGGCTGAGGGACTACAAAATTAAACGGCACTACTGCCTGAGAAAAACAGAAATTAATTATTTTCTAAAAATTCTTATGTACATTTTTAAAATATAGATTTGAGTGTCAAAGCAGAAAGGCAGAAAATGGGATATAAATGCAAAAAGCTTCTGTAGAATGTAGAAGAGTTAGCAACTATGCAATGAGCAATTTTTTTTCCATTCAATTAATAAAAGTTTTCATTAGGGGATGCTAATTATTGGCTAAATATATCATAAATTTCAGAGAAATAATCCTTTAAGTAAAAATTATTTCTCTTGAAACAATTCAATTTTGCAGTGATAAAATTTTTTTCCTCCTATACAGAATTTGGTTTTAATAAAATTCTAAGGAAAGCTTAACTTCTAATAGTTAAAAATTTCAAAGGATAACCAAAACACTGTGTTAGATTTAAGATTTCTAAGATAACATTCAAGCTTTTAGAGGGATCATTGTTAGAATATACAGAGTGAAGTGGTCCAGTTTTGTTAAAAGTTATCATTGATTACATGAACTTTTTAATTAAATTTTTGAACAATGGAATAAATGACTTGACATTGTATTAAAAAACAATGTAAATTTTAACTAAGTTGCAATAAAAATATAAAAAGTATAGATATTAAAAGTAGGAATTGAATATTAAAGTGTATAATTAATTGTTTAATCAAGACATAAATAAATCAAACATAAGATAAGTTAATTTCAGGATAAAGTTTTAAGAAATTTATAAAAAAACTTTTCAAATAATATCTAGGCTTAATATACAAGTAGAATGAATCACATAATGTGATTGGTTTACAGAATAGTCAAAAACCTTAATACCAAACAATTTTGTAACTGCATATATATACCTTTTTCTACAATTGTTAGAGCTTTTGGAGTAGGACATTTTATAAACATATTTCCAAAACACAGCCATGTTTTTGATGTAGGTTTTTCTTTTTTCAGTTCAGCTTGCAGAGCTCTAAAAATAGAATTAAGTAATGAGAAAATTGTGTAAATTTGAAATAATGACTAAATAGATGTTGTTATAAATTATTTTTATTTCTATTATATTTTTGCTTGTGAAATTATTTGTAACTGATGTAACTTTTATATCAAAACTACTCTACTCTTTGTAGTTATAAAATGTGTTTTTTTTTTATTACTTCCAAATTTAGTTTTTTAGTCTTGAAATGAACACTAAAATAAGCTAAAATTAGTTTGTTTACATAAAGACGAAGAATAATGTACAGTGCGAAAAACGCCCTGAATAACTTCTAATCTAATAATGGGATTTTCATGTTACTAGGACTAAAACTTAATGGTTTAATGGGGGTGACCTCTAACAGGCTAATTAATTTATACAGACAATATTTTAAGTTACGGAATCAGACTTAAATACATACTTTCTATGAACAAACATTAACTTTTTTTGTTGTTGATGGATTTGGATTTCTAACCCTCAACGTATAAGTGGTACCTGCAATCTGGAAAAATAAGGTCAGGAGGGCGGTCAAAATTTTGAACACCTTAAAGTTAATTTTACTTTTAACCTATTTTGTTATATCTAGAGTTAATAATCTAGTTTATAAAGTTTTTCACCAATATGAAATTTTTTTCCATGCAATTGCAAAATTTGTTGATGCAAAGTTCCCAATAGTTCTTGAAAAAATCAAGTTTCAATAGAAGTTGTATGTTTATTGTTGTATGTCAGGAACTATACAATGTTTTGTTTCTTGCCTTATAAAACTACATTCTTAACAATGATTATAAAAAAAATTGTATACCTATGAATTCACAATTTTTCGACTACTATGAAATAAAATAATAATAAATAATTATTAAAAATTATTTTTTTTACATAGAATTATCTTTGGATTAAAAAGTTTTATGATTATGTGCAAAATTTTTTCAAATAGCTTAAAAATTTCTCAAAATACAGTAAAGTATGCTGAAAGTAAAATTAAGGTTCAAAACTTTCAATCACTCTCCCGACACAAACTATTGGGATCATATTTTTCAGATTGCGTCTACCCCACATATTCAGGGTCAGGGATCCGAATTCATCAAAATGTTCTTTCAGAGTTCATTATGCAGGTGATATAATGAACTCTGAATGAACATCAAATATACAGGTAATAGTGAAAAATGTGTGGCACTAATTTTTTTTTATAGAAAATGAAATATTAAAATAGAATTTCAATATAATAAAAACTATTGAAACACTAAAATATCTTTTGTATATTGTTTAGCTTAAAATTAAAAAATATTAATTTTTAAACAATTGTTAAGTATGCCTTCAAATTTTTTAATTGAATTATGGTCAATCATATCAGTTTATTTTTCTAGAACAATGTAAAACAGAAGCAGTAAAAAAATTTTTTTTTTCAAATATCACTAACTTCAAATAGATGATAAAAAAACATTATTCATTGAAATATGAATTTAAATAATAGGTTCTAAAACATGAAAAAAAGCTTCAGTAACCAGACATGTGATTGCTGGTAGAAGAAATTATCTGAAAATTTTTCTCAATGTGTTAGTTTTCTTTCCTTAATTTTTTTCTCTTCTGCTTAGAAGGTATTTAAAAGACAGTTATTTTTATGGACAAAAGTAACATTTACAAAATTTAATAATAAGATTGAAACATGGATTTACGATAGTATTAAGTGCGTTGGAAAGTGATTACTGAAATACGAGATTTCCATGTCGTAATATCTGATTAATAGTTAATTCGATCCAATTGTAGCCCAATTGAAAAGCGAGCAAATATATCACATTGATTAAATAATTCTTCCCTTAGAAATTGGAATTTTCAACGAAATTACTACTCGTGAAAACTATAAATTTAAAAAAATGAGAAAAACACCATTTTTTTCTAGTAAATAATCTTTTAAATTCTTGCCACTTCAGAATTAATATTAACATTACCAATTTTATCCTTTTGTGTTTGCCTTAGTAGTTCATTAATTCCAGCCAAAGTCATTATGAACTTTTTTGTTCTCAAAGTTTATCTGAAATTTCGTTTTTCTCTAACAAATCTGCGTAAAAAAGGCATCATTGTACGCCAATAAGAACTTAGAAAAAAATAAAGGGTGGAATAAATACCTCATTAATGTGATTTTGCATAAGTAGCAAAAATTGAATTTTAGATTAGTGGCGCTCTGAGAAATTTTTTTCTGAATATAAATTATTGGTTCGTCAAAGTCCGCGAATCAACAGTTTTGAGATTCGTGGAATTCCGCAAAGAATCTACATTCTTGGTATACCTAATTTGCATGATTGTGAACAGTGAAGCTTTATAAACAATTGGGAAGATTAACTTTTTTATAGATTAAAATATCAATCGGTGTTGTGCAAAGAACTAAACTAGTAGTGTTGTTACAAATTGTTGAAACTGCTGAAATTTATAAAAATATAATTCATTATCAATTTAAATGGCACCACTAGATCCACTTTTTAGTCTAGACTACACCTAATAATATCTATTCATTCCTACATAATGAATGAGAATTTCCTGGACAAGAAAAGATGTCACTGATTCTAAATTGTGGATAAAAAAAATTACAACCCACTTAATTGTTAGGTTAAAATTAACTTAAGTATCGTTAATTTAAATGAAGTTAAAATCTATATTATTTTTATTTCAGCTCTTGACTCCATTTTTCATTCTTTCAGGGAAATTAATCATATTAGTTTAATCCTAAACAAGAAAAAAAAGAAAGAAATTTTCTGAAAAAAAAAAGTTGGAAAAACATTGTTAATTTTTAATCCAGACTTAACAATGAATCAAATGTTTACTTATGCTGTATCTTTTTTCCTACTTATAGTTTGTCTAAAATAAGAACTCCTTCAGACATCCGTCTGGACCTGTGGCGGTGACCATGGTAGCAAGGTATGACTATTTCCAGTGGGGGTGCTGTATTGGAGTGGTTTCGGCTCGGGTCGGCGAGAGAAAGGGAATCTCTTTCTTCGTTCCTTTGTGTTGGTCCTAGAGAGAAGCTACCCTCCCTGAAATGCGCCATTCTTGTTTCCATAGCACCAGACAACCCCAGACTTAGTGGCGGGAGGAGTTCTTAGCTTAGACAGACTATAGATAAGCTTTATTAAGTTGCATCATAGCAACGAAAAGAACAATAAAAAAATTATATAACAATTTGGATTTAAAATTTAGGTGAATTGAATGTTAATATATAAAATACATATTTTTTTAAAAACTCGTTTTCTACAAAAACATTTAAAATTAGCAGCTTAATTGGTAAATTAAAACCTATGTAGCGATTCATATTCATGCAAGTTTAAAATTAATGTTTTGATTTGCTCATGCGGTTTATAATATCAAACTTTGATTTTTGTATTTATACATAATTTTAAAATAAGGCATTGGGATTCGCATTCACGCATTCTAAAAATTATGCATCATAATTCTTNATATATATATTAAATTCGTTTTCAGCAAAAACATTTATAATTAGCAGCTTAATTGGTGAATTAAAACCAATATAACATGAAGTGTAATAAGGAGTTTCATTTCAATCAAAGCTTAAATGTAATTTTCTCAATTGTGAATTTTCCATACTAAAAAGCAAATGTTCTCTTCAACAAGGAGATATATTTTGATAGTAAAAATGGGTAAATTTAGAGGTTTTCATAGTTGTGTAACTTTCTTACATTATAGATCACTTTATTTTAAGAAGTACAAGTTTACAATCATTTAAACATATCTTACAGCTGGAAATAAAACTGGATGAATAAAACTTTTACAGGCAAGCAGCTGAATAATTTTCATGTGAAAAAATAATCTTGTGAATAATTTTAAAAATATAAAAGATAGTATTTTTTAAACCTATTTATTAAATTTAATTCTTAACTCCTTAAGGATTACAATTAGGGTTCTATATAGATTATAATTAGGGTAGATGTTCTACAAATGTCACAAAAATAATACCAGGGGTTTGCCTAGGTTTTTCTGAGAGGTACCTATTTTGTGAAAATGTAGGCATAATTTGTGAAAAATTATATTAAAAGATCAATACAAAAATGCAGTAAAAATATGGATTTATTGTTTATTAAGGGATACAAAAATAAAATTTTAAGAAAGAGTATTTTGTGAAACTACCGTTTTTCCTAAAGTTGAATTTGTGAAGGTACTGCTAAACGGTAGTAAATTTTGCCTGGACAGACCCCTGAATACGCATAGGCGAAAAAATTTTCAGGTTGAAATATGTTCGAAGAAAAATACTTTCTTGCTTTGAATGCCACGCACTTAAAAAAATTTTTGTGCTAATTTTATTGTTCTAGGCGTAGGTTAGATTTTAGTTTTAAAATTTTTCAAATGGAAAAATTGAAAGTATCAAGCACAAAAGTTTTTAAATGCAAATGTTGATATTTCTTATTTACATGTTATGCTGTGCTTTGTATTCATGTACTGACAGTATAAATGTTCATCAATAAAAAATTGTTTTATTTATAATTTTTAGATTACCTTATTTATAATTTTTAGATAATTAATTTCTAATAGAATATTTTGTTAGTTCTTATTTTCTTTTTCTTTTTTTATTTGGTCTAAGCATTTTAATCTATATGATGAATCTGTTTATTACCTATTATTTTAGCTTTTTCTTTTATTTAATTTTAAAAATACTGATCTTTAATGATTATGGGGTAATGGACCTAATTAGTTTTAGGGTGGGTGTAATAGATGGTAACTACTAATTTTGATGTGTATCATAACATTAATTATGCAACTCTGTAAAATTGATATTTTTTTCTCAAATTTGTTTATCATATTAAGGTTTTGGACCATTAAATTTTCATGATTGGTGTGCGAACCCTAATTGTAATAATAATAAATAAATAAAAATAATAAAAAAAATAGTCTTGTAAAAAATAAATAAGAATAAATTAAGACAAAAGTGAATAAATGTAGCAAAAAAAAATCTCTGTTATATTTCCTGAAGATATTAAGAAGATAAATGATTCTGTTAAATAAAAGAGTTAATAAAAGATAATTAAAATATGTTATTACAACAAATGCATACCGAAGGTATGCTGTTTTGGTTTTTTGATTATCAGTTTCATATTTTGGTCTGTTTTATTTTCACAAAATAGCAAATTTATTAATAATTGTGAACAATACCCATTCTTTATATTCTAATTTTACATTAATATTCTCTTAAACTTTTTTCTTTAATANAAAAAAAAAAAAAAAAAAAAAAAAAAAAAAAAAAAAAAAAAAAAAAAAAAAAAAAAATCTCTGTTATATTTCCTGAAGAAGATATTTAGAAGATAAATGATTCTGCTAAATAAAAGAGTTAATAAAAGATAATTAAAATATGTTATTACAACAAATGCATACCGAAGGTATGCTGTTTTGGTTTTTTGATTATCAGTTTCATATTTTGGTCTGTTTTATTTTCACAAAATAGCAAATTGATGAATAATTGTGAACAATACCCATTCTTTATATTCTAATTTTACATTAATATTCTCTTAAACTTTTTTCTTTAATAGAAAAAAAAACAACAAAAAATGAATAGAGACATGTAAACAAACCACAGAAAAGTATATGGACTAGCAATATCTTTTAGTAGTTAATGGACAAGTGACTAAATATTTATAATTTCTAGCTCTGAAGACTATTATTCTGTTAATTCAAAATCTTGGTTTTTAAAAACTTATTTACAAAAAGGTTTAAATTTATCCAACAGTGCCCAAGTTAAATTTTTTAAAAAAAAAAAAAAAAAAAATTGTTACATGTTATGAAATCAACTCAAATTATGGAAAAAATTATACTGAATTAGTACACCAATAATAACTTTAATTTGAAAGTTCATAAATAAAATTTAGAAATATACCTCTTTGCTTCTCTTAGAGTATTGCTCCGCCTGTTAAGATTTACAATTTGTTCTTTGTCTATTAGTATGTCTTGTGCAGTTTCTTCGAGTTTAGACAAATAATCTAAACACTGTGCTGTATTTTGAGCCATTCTAGTGCTGAAAGATTGCATACATATTAAAATAAGAACAAAATTTAATAACTTCAATAAGGTAGTTATGATTATCTTAATGAAGAAAATATAGATTTTTGATTTAAAAGAAATTAAATAGAGATTTAATAGTAATTAAATACAGTCCAGATAATGTAAACAAGAGGAATTATATAAGCATACAGATTGAATACATAAAATACAGATTAGCACGTCTGTTCTGAATCACCAGATATAACACGACGAAATTCTTTCCCACAGATTATGTCAATAAAGCAGATTAAGTTATAGTTAGATGTATATTATCATCTAACTATATTTCTAGAAAATATTTCTCATGAAAACAACATATTAATAATTAACAAACTAATGTAAAATTTAAAATGGTTGCTAAAATAAGAAAATTTATCTTCATCGATTTTCACCTTTCAGTAACATAGCATAACCATCTGTACTTGGCTGGCAATGGACTGGTTAAATCCCTCCCCCTGAATTTAGTTTAAAAATCTCTGAGTAGTATAATAACCAATAAAACAGAATAAAGCAGAATTAAATTATTCATATGGCTTATTTTCTATTGCAATCCTTTTTTTCTGAATGATTACAATCACATCAGTAAAAATATAAGTAAAAAGTGGAACTAAGTAGTAAGTAAAAATATAAAGTAATACTTATCATTCAATTACAAATTTAAAGATTGATAATTTACTTAATACCTCCAAATTTTTAATAATTAGATTACTGTATGTAAACAATATGTTTCTTGAAGTTTTCACTGAAATAAGAAAATTGTTAGAATTAAAAACTTTAATTAAAGATGCTGCTGCTATTAGTTAAATGATGTCTTAGTTTGTGGAGAACTGCACAGAATTGCATAGGTATGCTTTAGAATATTCCGTTAATTTTCACACAAAAAGATTAAAGTCACTTATCTACCTTAGACCTCTTACATTTACAAGTAGGTATTTTCACAAAGCTAAAATTTATTAGAAAGATGGAGATGCAAATAAAAGGATTTAATAAACATGAATTATTTGTAACGTACAAAGCAAAAGAATATTAAATTGAAAATACTTTGGATTATCTACCTTAGAGCATTTTATAAAACCTCTTACATTTACAAGTAGGTATTTTCACACAGTTAAAATTGATTAGAAAGATGGAGATACAAATAAAAGGATTCAATAAACATGAATTATTTGCAAATAAAAATAACGTACAAAGCAAAAGAATATTAAATTCAAAATACTTTGGATTAACATTTCTTATAAAAAGAAAAGTAAAAGTACCGAATTCAGTATTTGACAAGAGATAAATTTTCAATGCACAGTGTTTCAAATTAAAGCAAATTTAAGAAGCTTTTAATTCAGTCAACTAAGTCAGGCGTGAAACTATCCACATCTAAGTACATATTTTTGTTCAATTGTAATGAAATTTTAAAAATGTATTACACATGAAAAATCTTTACAAAAAAAAATACTTCGTTCTTCGTTGTTTACTTTTGTTGATTGATTAAGAGAACTGCTTAAAAGTTTTGACGTAAATACTGAATTCGCTTATAGCTTTACATTATTTGAAATTAGAGCGTTATTTATTTTTAACTACTATAATTTCTTGACAAGCATTTCAACAAAGTGATTTAAATTTAAATATTTTTTGTTTTGTATTATTTGAAATATTGTTTTAGTTTTTTTAGATTTAATTATTGATCTTCAGCATCTCGGCTAACATAGCGTTGATGGAAGTTGGCTAATCAATCAATCAGAATTGACCAATATAAACAAATACAGACAATATAAGTGTTTATTATTTATAATTTAACCCTAAAGAATTATTACACTTTTTTGATGAAACATGTCAACGTATTGTGCATTTGTCTTGTGAAATATAAACAAGGGATTGTAAATTAAGGTAAATCTGATCCCAACAAAATTGAACCTAAAGAAATTTTGACATGGCTTCAACAAATTCCAGCAAATTTTCTGCTCGAGACTATTATACTTTGGAGTTTATACCTTTTGTAACTTCTTCTGGAGAACAAAGATTTGTCCCAGAAAACACCAAAAAACCTCAACGTACCATTAACAACTTAAGTGGTAAGGAAGCTAGCGATTTCTATAAAGACATCTTAGCAATCCCATCAACGTCGGAAGTTAAACACTCAACATTCTTACCAAAAGTTTGTAAGAAACTGCCATCGATTAAAAAGAGAAATAAATATCGTCCCAACGATATTTTTCGATATGCTCAAGAAGGAACTTTAGAAGTCATTAAGGAATGTATAAACAAAGACGATAAAAGTTTAATTAATAAACAAGACGTATATGGATGGACTCCATTGATGTGTGCAACCTGTGAAGGTCATTTAAATGTCGTTAAATATCTTTTACAATGTGGTGCAGATGTGAACGTAAAGTGTAAACAAGGTAAAACTGCTTTGGACATAGCTAGAGCCAAGCAGCATATTGACATACTTAATCTTTTTGAGTGTGGCTTGGAGCTAGAGCATAAAGAATGTATAAACGTAAAAGACGAAAAGGAAAAATATTGTAACGATTGTAAAATATTTTATACAGAATCCACATTTACTCATAACAAAAGCATTGCTCATTTATTTGCTTCAAGAAAGGCAGAGTCTACAACTTTTTATCATATACCAGAAAACAATAAAGGGTTTCAAATCATGATTAAAAAAGGTTGGAACCAAAATAAAGGTTTAGGTTCTAAAGAAGAAGGTAGGAAGTTTCCAATCAAAACTGTGTTGAAAAAAGATAGGAGCTGTATTGGTAAATATAAAGAAGTTGCACGTGTTACTCATTTTAATGCAAATGACTCTACAGCAGTTAAAAGGATTTGTGATCCTCCATCTGTAAAAATTGTTCGAGAAAGAACTCTAAAGAAGTGGCAGCTGGTAAAACTTGAAAGAAAAAATCGACAAAAAGAAATAGAATTTAGAAGACAGTTTATTGGTGATACATAAAAGCTAACTGTGATGCTAAGTTATTTAAATAATATAATTTGTTATAAAAGTGTGAGTTTTTAATAATAATTTTATTTCTGTAGAACATTGTTTTATCTATTTATTGTTTAAAACTAAAACTTGAATAGTTTATTGAAAAAATATAACTATAGACTTTTCCCAATTGGTCTTTGAAACCCTTGGTTGGTATGTAGAGTTAATGCCAGAACATGAAAAATGTTTAACCCCTTAACAATCGATTAATTTTCAAGAAAACGGTCATAAAAGTGCCTATTATGCCGAATACACGTATTCGATTATTGCTGACATCTAGTTTAAAATAAACTAACTATCTTCAATTACCTTAATATACTGGTATTGCCATCTGATGTGTAAAAGGAGAAATAAAATGTTTTCCGTGCAAAAGAAATGAATTAGTTTTATTCTTATTGGTGTGTTACTACTGAACACTCCAGTCCGAGAAATAGAGGGCGAAACCTCACCCCGGCATTTTCAGGGGAGCGAGAAGAAAGGGGTTAAATACCAATGCTAGATGCTTTTTATCTCTTGTAAAAGTTTTTAAAAAAGAACTTTTGAAAGAATATGTGCAGCATCCATTAACATTACTAATTTTATTTTTGAGGGCAGATTGTGAAGTTGATTGTAACTTGAATGTTAAGGTAACAAAATTTCTTAGAAACAAAATAAATGAAATATTTCTTATGAAAATATTACCTTTATGGAAAAATTATAATAGTCAATTTCATGGAACTATGTAATCCTCATTAATAGAATTAATGTCAATCGGCTAAAATATTTTTATAGGTTGGTTATCAGTATTTGTGATTTCATGAATTTAGCTAAATTTAGTATTTTAATTAATAAAAAAAATTATTTAGCTAATATGTTTTGAATTACCTAAAAAATGCAATAATAAAGCAAACATATTTTTTTCCCTTTAAACTACCAATTATTTCATTGTAGTTTGGTTTCTTAATTTTCTGAAATCATTCTCTGATATTTCCATAGTTGAAATATATTTGATTTTAGTATTTTGTAGCAACGATAATACATAATAATTTGTTCAAGCTTTTCAATCAGGAGAATGCCCATTAACTTCCTCATTTGTTTGATTCTATTATCAAGTCATGCTAACATATTTTATTGATAATAATTTTTTAAACTGTTTTTTATGTGCATCGATTTCATCCTTTTATTTGTCTATAAACTATGTAGTGTTTTGTAACAAAGTGAGCAAGTTTGTGCATGCATTTCTCTTTTCTCACTGAATAAGAAAAAAGGAAAACAGGTTTTTTGGCAGGAAAAAAGATAGATAAAAGAATGTCTGTAGGCATTGCAAATATTCAATCATTTAAAAATAACATTATCAATATGTTTATAAATAAACTACATTGATATTTAGTTTTCTTAACTAAGATTTTAAAAACTCATGGATCAGTAATTCTGCTTATGTACTATAGCTTGTAAAATACACAAAAAAAAAAATCACAGAGAAGATGCAAATAAAAGTTGTGACACATAATTCTTTAAGAAAATTAAAACAACATGAAACGGCTTATTGGAAGATTGTGCTTGCAGAATTTAACCAAACTTGAAAAGAAAAAAAATTCTATATATATTCCACCCTTTTTTTTTCATTAATTGCAATACATTAAATGTGATAGATAATAATGAGATAGATATGACCAGTGTTTTCATTACAAAAAAAAAGTGGGAGAGAATTTCTCACCCTTTCTCAAAAACAGGGTGAGATTTCAAAAAGTTAGTGAGATTTCTAAAAATTAAAAAAACATGAATAGACTTGGAAAAAAAATATTTTTTTAATTATAATACTTTTTTAACATCTTCTAATTGAATATTTTTGCTGCATCATCATTTGGAAAATGTTCTATATCTACTTTTCCATCAGTTATTATATTTATATGACTGAAAAATATCCATATTTGTTTCGTTTTGACCGTTTCTACCGACATTTGTTTCATTTTCATTTGTCCGTTACGGAGTAGAAGATGTCGTCTTAACAAGGTATTTGTTCATCTTACATTCATGCACAAGAAATTTAAACGTCTTACATGAAGAAACCTTACCTACAGTGAACACGTGGTTGTAGAGAAATGTGTTCTGAAAGGGGTTCGGGGGGTGGCTGTTCGNGGGTTCGGGGGGGGGGGGAGTGTTCTGCTGTTCGCACCAGTTTTGAACGATACTGGTGAATAGGGAAGCTAGATAACAAGGACCGATGTTCAAAATAATGAAGTCCCGCTGTGGACTGATCGTTAAGACACGGTTCCGAGCAGATTACCGAAGTCAAGCATCACTGGCTGCGGTCAGTGTGTGGGTGGGTGAACACTTGGATCAGTCTGCGTAGGGACCGAGGGTGTGCGGTATTGGTCCTTGTTAAACTGTTCTACCGTAAAGTGCTCGACTTTGCGTGCAGGTCGTTGGGCTACCGAAGCGGGGGTGCCATCCCCTCTGCGGAGGATCAAAATTGTGATGGCATGTCTTTGGATCCTCCTCAGGGATGTTTCCAAGACCGTCGCCAATAGCCCATTGTGCAGCTCTAGTGCGACGTAAATAAACAAATCAATCAAAATAATGAAAGATTAAGGAAGAAAAGTGGAACGGATTTTATTCAAAATGACACAAGACGAAATTTTTTCCAAAATTCGCGCATTTTGAAATTGATTAATAGAGTGTGCTAACTTATCGCGTTAATAATTTTTTATTGCAAGAAAAAAAAAACATGCGAGATTCTCGCGCTGTAGTGAAAACGCTGATGACTAACTTTGTATCAATTTATTCTTTTAAAAAACTATTTTTAATGTAATATAAAATTTTGTATTTTCTCTTATCGCATTTTCTTTGAGTATAAGGTTTTTTTTTTGTGGGAAACACTGCTTTGAATTACGCCCGAGAAAAATTAAGAATAACAAATAGTTAAGGTATTTTATTGAAGAGTATTTTGAAAAATTTTAAAACATGCCATAAAGCTCCAAATTTAAAAATTCCAGAACATCATCTTTGTTGGAGTCAATTGTTGTTATACGGATCCCACACTGCAATAGACTATACTTCATCCTTATCTGCTTAGTCCCACGGAAAATTGTCTTCACCAATCATCCAAAAGAATTTGAAATTTTACAATAAAATAGAATGTTTTTTTATGTATATATTTTTTCTCAGCAGTCTACCTAAACACCAGGCATACAAGAAATTTTTGATTTTATAATCAAAAATAGGGGGTCAACTTATATGCAAGGATATACAGTAAATGGTTTATATTATTTTAAATTGGGACCTGCTAGTAGTAAAAAACAATATAAAAATTTCCTTAGTCTAGCAGAATCATTGTCGATTTAAAATGGAATAAAATTTTTTTATATACAGTAGAGTCCCAATCATCCTGGAAGTGTATCCTTGAACTCAAATAATTTTAAATTATTTATTTTTCTTCAAGGTTTTATGAAATGTTCGAAGAAATTATCAAAATAAAATACATTCTATGATGTCATAATAAATTAAAGTGAAAAAATTCATTTGGTATTTTTTTAGAAATTGCAGTATTTCTATAGAAATTATTATCTTGTAGAAATTATACTTGAAGATGATGTAATTTAACTTTTGGGCGACAAATGGAGAAAAAAATTAGGATTATCAAATTATTTTGCTAAAAATTGGCCTAAAAAATGAGAGGCTTCGTTTTGAAAAAAAATGTGTGAGGTTATGATGGGAAATTTTTTTTTTTAGCACACTTATTTTCAATGTGATGAGTTTTAATAATCAGATAAATCACAGTTAAAATTCTTTAATTACATAAATTAAAAAAATCGGATCTAGTCCACCATCTGTCTTCATGTTCAATTTTATATCTGCAAAATTATTTTATTTGCCTAAATCACTCTGGACATATAGTTTGTCTACCTTAAGAACTCCCTCCGCCACAAAGTCTGAGGCCAACTGCTGCTATGAAAACAGGAATAGTTCATTTCAGGGAGGGTAGTTTCTCTTCATTCTAGGGCTAACACAATAGACCAGAGAAAAAGATTCCCTTTCTCTCACCCACCTTACATCCCTACATGAAATAGTTATACCACGTTACCATAGTCACCGCCACTAGTCCAGACAAATGGTTAGGAGAGTTCTTATTTTAGACACACTATACAGACACTTTTATGTCCATTGATAGCATGAATTGCAATGAAAGAAATTACTTTTGTCTAATAATATTGTTATTCTTATGTTACTTGCACACTTCAAGATTTCCTATTTAATGACGATTTAATTTGCTTGTAGATTCTCTATGTCTTATCTTTGTTTGATAGAAATAATATTTCACCAGTGTTTCACAGTAGACATTTTTCTTACGAACTAAAGTTGAACACTATATTCCATGATAAAGATTTAGAAATAATTATGGATGAATCAATCCATGACCATTTGTTGCAGAATTAATTCTTAAGGAAATAATTCTGCACTATGGAATGACTCAGCATGGTATAAAAGCAGTTTTAACTTAAAAATATTTTGCTAACTAAAAAAAAAAAAAAAAATTAAAAGGAAAGAAAAATGAAATGAAATAGGGAGAACTTGGAAGTTTTGAGTCTTAATTCACAATTAAAAGTAATTAGAGTCCATTTTTAAATAGCTTAAGATAATAAGCTATTTTTTATAGCATAATAAAAAAAAGTCAAATAATTTTTCTTTCTCAATATTACAAGTTTGTAATGTTGACTCCATTAAGTTTATAATATACTCAGCAAAGCATACGTCTGCAAAAAATTATATTTGTTTCTATAAAATCATAATGAATATAAAGCTTTTGTCGTGAAATAATTAAGAAAGTAAATCTACAGTGTGAAATATACTAATGTCAGAAAAGTCTACAGCACTCTACTTGAATTCTTAATGGAATAATAGGCACTAAACATTGTTAAAATTCATTGTAAAAATAATAATGCAATAAATACACAGGGATATGCAATTTTATTTTATTAGTTTTTTGAAGGATATGAATACTTATGTTAACAAATAATTCCAAAGACAAGTAATATTTAATTATATTACAATTTTAATAACTATATGTATAATAAAAGGGAAACATATCATTATAACATTTTTTAAAAACATTTTTATAACATTTTTTTTAAGAATCATACATCTCAAAAATATTTTTATTTTAAAATAATATAAATAAACAACAATAGAAAGAAAAACAAATTTATCAACATTAAAACAAATTAACAATTCATTAAATCACAATCATGAAAAATTTCCAATTGTTATCTATTGTACTTAATGTATGCAATAGATAAGAAAATATTTTTGAAATATACATACATATAAAGACTTATAATTTATTCCTAGAACAAGCTAAAATACTGAGCATTTAATATATACACCAACAATATTCTTGCCTCACAATATTCATAATAAGTTAAAAACTATCCATTTATAATAATAAAAATTCACAACATAATTAAAAATTAATATCACATTAAAGAGATATGTTGTCAATAGGAATTTTACTTGGCACCTTAACAATTTTCGTTCTTCTAATACTTATTAGTATTATTTATAAGGTACAGTTTCTTTGGGTTTTAATTTCAGTGAATTTGTATCCAACCATTTTCTGCAAATACGTTGAATTGAATCTTGTCCACATTGCTCAGCTGCAACCATTATACGTCTTATGTCCAATGCTGAGTTCAATTTTAAAGCAAGAAGATAAGCAGACTTCAATTTTCCACACATCAAGTATGCATTTATCTAAAATAATTATGAAAAAATTACACTTTAGGGCAAAACAGTTTTTTTGTTTTAAAGAATGATAAGGAATCGGAAATCAAAAATTTTTATAATTAAAAATCTAATATAATTATTAAGAATAATTGGAAAAGTTTTTATTAATTTTAAAAGTTTGCTAAAAGTACATGTATTGCAAATTAATTTAAAAGCCTGATAAGAAGCTTCATTCCCTTTAAAAATACATAAAAAGGAAAGAAGCGGTTGACATGTTCCAAGCACTTCAAAATAGGCTCCCATTTTCAAAGCTTGCCACACGGGAATTAGAAGAAACGAAAGGGATTAGAAATAAAATACATAAAGTTTCCAACAGGAAATAGAAAAATAACGAGGAGAAACAAAAATAAAAACATCACAATAGCCAAGAGAAAAAATAAACAGTGGCAGAAAGCAGCAAATTGGGGTAAAATGCATATGTGCAAAATATGGAAGGGTGCTTAGGAACTAATGTTTTCTTTCCATAGCATGTGGAAATGCATTTGGCACTAACTTGCTAGTCTCGGCCACTATGGTTTTCTAATTTTGTTTCTCATCTTTATTTTTCCATTTATCATGGGCAATTTTACGTTTGTGATTTCAAATCACTTATGTTTCTTCTCATTCATTTCTGGCAAATCTTGAAAATATCTGCCTATTTTTGAAGTTCTGGAAACATGTCGACTGTTTTTTTTCAAAAACTTTTTATGTATTTTTTGAAGTGAATGAAGTTTTTATCCAGATAATTTCCTGGCTTCAGTTTCTTGAGATTATTTATTTAATATGAAATGTGTTTACTTAAACTTGTTTAAATATTTTTTTTTTAGAAAAATAAAATTAATTTGTTTTATAAAAATAAAAACCAGACTATATAAATATTAAACAGCCATTAAGTGTAAAGGTTTACATTAACAGATTTTTAAATTTTTCTACTAGTTCATCACTCAAATGCTATGCTAAAATAAAAACAGCAATGAAATTTCACTATATGTATATCAGTGTTTTTATTAACAAATCATGCAAAAAACTTATAATGATTAGTTTTGTTTTCAAAAGCAAATATTTTCTTTTTAAAAAAAATTTGTTTCTAGAAGGAAATATATTTTGGAAGAGAAATCTTGATAACGTGCAATATGAATATAAATGTTGCAATTTATTGCACCATCTATAAAAATATAAATGACACAATAAATTAGATGCATAAAAGTTACCTATTTCATTTTAAGTAATATCTTCCTGATTTGTTATACACAAAAACTATTTCACAAATTTCTTACTCTTTTGTAACTATTCTACTCAAAAATTGTTTATGAATTAAGTGTAAGAGATTTTATATTTAATACAGCATTAAATCACGAACAGACACTATTTGAGATGAACATTTATTTCATCTCAAAATGTTTATTCCTCCTACTTCTTAAAACAAGGTGTTAAAATATTAGACTAAAACTTGTACACATTCGAGTTTTTCTCATTCTTTTATTACAAGTTTTCTCTTTCTGTGCACTTTACACAGCAGATAACTCCCTACTTTTTTTAGTATGATTTTAATTTGAGCATAAATAAAAGATATTTTTTTAAACACTTTTTGACAAAACAAAATTTAAAAATTTTGTTATAAGTTTTTTTTTTGTTTAGTAAAAAATAAAATAAAAATATGTATAAAAATTCATATTAATACAAAGAATATTTTTAAACCCCTAAATAAAATAAAAGAATATTTATTTATTTAATAATGTTATTATTTTTTGATTTACTAAAGAAATAATGTATGTTTTTTAAAGAAATTATTACAATTTTGAATGTGAATGCTTAATGTAATTAAGTTTTATTTCTAAAAAGTTAATTTGTTGTGCATTTTTGACAGCAAAATAATAATAATTAAATAATCAAAATATAAGAAAACATTTTCGTAAATAAAAATAAAAAACAAATACCTTGTTGGAGTCTGACATTAGCATTTTAATAATGTCTTCAACATCACCTCCCTATTAAAAAAAAATCATAAATAACTATTATTATTTCTGGAAGGAATGAAATGGTTTTTAAAATAAATAAAAAATGATTTTAATATATGATTCAACTTCAGAAGAAATAATCTTTTATACAATTTTTGGATGATTAACTAAAATAATGAACATATGCTATAGAACAATGGTTACCAACTGGCGGCTCGTGGGCCACATACGGCCCACTAAGCCTTTTTTTGTGGCCCGCGAACTAAAATATATTTGTTGTCATTTTTTTGAGGACAATTTTCGTAAAAAATCTATATGGGTTTTAAATATTTTTAAGTTTTATATCTTATTAATTTGATATCTGTTGCACATTAATTGTTTAATACATAGGTGCACAATTAAAATTATTGTAGCCAGAATTTTCTAATATGCAATTAAATATTTTTAAAAATCTACTTCTTATTTTAATTGTAATTCAATACTTTTGTTTTGTACTACTTGATAAAAATCTGGCTGTAATATTTAATGTTCCTTCAAACATAAGAGTCCTACATAAAATTTTGATAAAGTTGCGGCCCGCCATTTGACTGGTGTTTTTAATTGCGGCCCCCGGCCTCATGTAAGTTGGAAACCCCTGCTATAAAAGAATTAAAAGTAATAATAAAATAATATAGGTAATTGATGAAAGGAAATAGCACAAAATATAACTATATATTTAATTCTATCAAAAATCAGATTTAATTAGAGATTTTATATCTCAATATAGTTAGGAGAATTAAGACAAATAGATGAGTCGGTGATTTTCTTAGAACCAAAATTTATCAAAATGAAATGATAGAATTAACATGCAGTGCATTGGCAAAATATCTATCTGGTGGAATCTCAGAATTTATAGACATGCATTCTATTCACAGTATCTATTATATGCAATACTAGCATTAAACATCTATACATTTTGTGAAATAATTAGCTTTTCAAAACAGCAACACTTGATACTTTTATTCAGCTATTTATGTTATTAGGTAAAAAAAAAAAAGATTTTTATGATAAAATGCTTTTACATTAAAAGAATCAATTAATAAACAATTAATTATTAATTTATAAAACTTTAGAGTAGTTACATGCTTCTTATCTGGTAAAAAAATAAACGTAACTTGATAGAGCTAACATGATTTGTAAGAAAGCAAGATATGAGGGAAATTAAAGTACAGGGTGTTTATAAAGTTCCGAACCCATTTTGATGTTTAATAACTCATAAAATAATAAAGATAGATTAAAATTAATAACATAAATGGTTAGATAGACTCAAAAAGTTTCATGACCCTTGTCAATGAACTTCCACGTGTGCCCCCTTCGTCGCACGGAGAATATCAAGTCGATAGTCAATTTCACGCCAGGTAGCAGCAAGCATGTCGGTGTATGCATTCTCCATAATATCCGCTCGAATAAAACATCACATAGAAAAGTACTACATAGAACAAACACATCAAAAGTAAACATAACATTGCAATAGTTGCCAAAAACAAAAGAGAGAAAAATGCGACAATATTTAGAAAAGTACAAATATTTAGACTGGAAAATGAAATTATCTGAAATTAACCACACGTGCAGTCGATATATACAAAAGTAAAGATATTCAAACCTGAAAAGGAAAATATATGAGCTATTCCATCAATAAATGCCATAAGTTTGTTTATATCTTCATTATTTTTTGAGTTATTAAACATCAAAATGGGTCCGGGAATTTAAAAACACCCTGTATTATAATCATTTAATATATCTTTCTTTTTTGCAACCCTAAATCTGGATAAGTTTGAAATTACTTATCAAATTATAAGTACCTAAGGATATGGAAAGACAAGGTTTATTGAAATAGGCTATCTATAAAAGAAAAAAACCTTTCTCATAATGGAACAATTTAGCCAATTAATGTGAAGTCTAGAAGAAATCTTAAAATACACATACTACATTTTATTAATACGGTAAAAATTTCTAGTTTTAAAAATTTACATTTCATATTAAATGCATTTAAACTAATTACCTGTTTGTGAACTGTTGACACACACTCTAAAATAATATCATCCACCTTTGTAAGTTTTGAAAAGAGGCATTTTACACTAGCTAAATAATGAGGCACTTGTTGTTTTTGTTTCGTCCTTACTATTTCTCGGCCAGCTTTACATAAAATTGCAGTTGCATTCAAGTTAAATATCTATAAATAGAATTTTGAATTATGAATGCTTTAAAATTTGAACATGAAATTAGAAATAATAAGTATCAGTAAAAACAATAAAAACTATTTCATTTTAAAAAGCTTATTTTGGTTGCATTAATTAAATAAGAAATCAAATAAAATAGGAGAAAATATATGCTACAATTAAATGATAAATACAAAAAATAGTAAGATGCCCGAGTAAGTGATGTATTACTTTAATTAAAAATAATATTTTAGACTGATTTTAAAAACAAAATCGAGAGTCTATCTTCTTCATAGTCAGCATTACAGCCTGGTGTAGGCTAGAGTTGTCCCAACAATTCAGTTTGTTTTACATGAAGTTAAGTTTCTCCATGATGTCAATGATATGAAGGTCTTTTTCTTAAGTACCTTTATGTAATTTGTTTTCTTTTTTTGGGTAATATGTTCAAAAATAAGTTCACTAAAAGTCAATTAATTATTTAGGTCAGCAACAACTCTTGTAAAATTGTTAATCAACCATTTTATTCAATAGTAAATAACTGCAATGGTATTTATTTTTTTTTTCTATATAATTCATGATTGTACTGAATTATCCAGAGCCCATTCCATAGTAAAATATATGCAAAATTACATATTGAGATTTTTGTCACATTAATTAATCCATAAAAAGAAATAAAATTATGAGAGTCTTATAAAAAAGTAGAACAAGCAAAAGAAATATATATATATACTAAAATTGCTACTCACAGAATAGCAAATTTAGATTTAGTAGCAAATATCGAGTCGAAGAAAGTTCAAATTTTAACTTACAAATTAAAATAGTTTGAATACATTTCTTTTTATCAATGCAAAATATAAAACATTATTTATAAATAACATTTTCCAAAATAAATAACTTGAACTGCCTCATATTCTGATAATAACTGAAATTTTTAAATTCAACAGCAATATAGCACACACACATATATATATATAAACACAGTCGGATCTCTATTTAACGAAGTCGCTCAATCCTGATAATAAGTTCGTTATATGGTAAATTCATTAAACAGAAAATCACCTTTTGAATTACTGAAACACAAAACAGGTTTTAAATTCATAAACACTAGACATAATCAAAATAGCAATTGATACACCTTTATCTTGTAAACTAGTATCTACTATTTATTTTATAAACCTTAGCCATAAAAGGGAAATCTGCATGGAAAGCAAGAATAGAGCAAAACATTATCCAGTGTTACACTATCGAGCTACATACATTTTTAACTAAAAAAGGCTGAATTTATGTATAAAATTACAGCTGCATTTATTATAAAAGTAATTTTAAACATGCATTACCATATGCGTTCTTAAGTTTAATTGCAACTGATAAAATCCGTTTTGTCTCAGTTTTTCGTTTGAAATGCAAACAAAAGGGGAAAGAGATTTTAGTGCTTTCTCTGAAAGTTAAGACGATGGGAAAATTAATTCAAAGTCATTTCCCCCATAAAATGTGTTAAAGTTTGAAATGTTCTGAAATATTTTGGGAAATAGGAAAAATGGATCTAAAAAAAAAGTTCGTTAAATCGCTTAGCTATAAATCGCTTAGCTATTTAGAAGTTATTTTATGAAGAAATTTCCAAAATGATCTTGGTTCCTTGAAAAAAATTGCAAAATGGAAGTTCATTAAATAGAAGTCCAACTGTATTTCACACTTTAAAAAAAAAAATCAGATTGGTAACTTTTTTTGCAATAAAATGGAAATCTGAATGAAACGTACAATTAAATATGATGGCGAAGTAAGTTACTAACAGGCACACTTATATATTTTTATATAAATATATATTTTTTAAAACTCTAACATAAATTTCGTTTTAGAGGAATCATACAGAACTCATTCTATCAAAATTAGGATAGTGATAAGAAAGGAATAATATTAACAATAAAATTAAAATATACATTTGATACACCACAAATTTTTTATTTATTAGAATATTTCATTAGCAGAATAAAAAAAATGTAGGCATACTAATTTATCAATTGAAGAATATTTAGCAACATATAAATATGTAAATACCTGAATTATTTTTGCAGCTAATTCAAACCCATCATCTATATTTACAGCGTTAATGAGTATCTGTATGAAAAATTATTGAAACATAAATCAATTTTTTAAGAACACAAATATTTTCATGTAAAATATACATCGAAGAATTGTAAGGCTCTCTAATGAATAAACTTATAATTCCCTAAAACTTTTATAATTTTCTGGAGCTTCAAATAAATTTTAATAAAAAAACAAAAAAATTAATTTTGTGAGAGAGAGGGGGAAGAGAGGTAATAAATGAAAAAAAAAATCCATAAGTTAAACTTATATAATAGGTTATACACATTTTGAAATGATTTCTGAAACATTTCTTTGATATTAAAAGACAAAAACAAAAAGTTCATAAAAGCTTTCAAACTCTTTTTATATAACAATTCCTTTAAAAAAAAAAAAAAAATCCATTTTAGAAATAGCAACATGTTTTAGTAATTTACAAACAACAGAAATTAAACAAAGATTAGTTTTTAACTCCCAAATAATCCTATAAGAATTTGTGAGATATTATACAGTTGCACAGTGAATGCTACCTTTTCAAATAATCTGATTTAATAATTTTATGAAGTCTTCTATATCTTACATTGCATCTTATCAACTTTATGAACCATATAAATATTATTTTTTATAAAACATTTAAGCAATTGTTGTCATTCATAAAAATGTAAAAAAGGTATGTAAAATTAAGTAGATAAAAAAAGGTACAATTTAAAATCCAAAGCTCATAATAATAATAATAAAAAATAGATAGAATGTAGCAGAAATAAACAAAAACTTGTTTGAATTTAAACAAATCTATACCAGCAGGCAATAAAACTGTATCTTTATAAACAAAATAAGAATGATCAAAAATTGATTTATAGATTTGAAATAAATTAGGTAATTAAAAATACAAAACATAAATATGAGTTTATTGGAGAAACATATTGCGTTATATTTTAGTGAATTTGAGAATTTAAAGAAATGTAAAACTAAGTTATTCAATTGTTATTTAATTCAGCATGAACTAGTTTCATACTACTTATTTAACAGAAATTGTGGTAGTAAAATCATTACCATAGTTGCAACTTCACTTTTCATTTGAGAATTGCCAAACAGGTTAGGTGGACAATGTGTCTCAATTTTATTGACAGCAGTATCAATCTCATGCAGATAACCATGACCTTGAGTTTCACATAACTGAAAGTAGTTGGAAACTTCTTCTTGAAGACTGATTATCTGAATGTAACTGAAAAATACATGCAGTGTATTGTTAATAATTTACAAAACTTAGGATAATAATGCATAAACTACAAAGTTACAAAATATCTATACAATATATTTAAATTTAAAAAAAATTATAGAAAAAATTTATAAAGTTTGGCACTTATATAGTGTTTTATAGGTTAACATGAGAAATGGAGAATGCTTATTCTGATAGTTGACAATTTATATTTCTGCTGTCCATTACTTATTCTCAAACTTAAGACAGATGGTCAATTTATAGAAGGGCATGAGTAATTATTTTTTCTATAATTTTTTACATCATGTTATTTTTATACACATCACATCATTGAAGTTTTTCATGTTGCTCTTATATGTTGCAAATTAAAATAAAGATAAAAGATTTTAATGTGACTTGAAGTTTTTATTTATCATCATAAAAATTTATACCAAATTACCAGATTGAATTATTTGTTATGTAAATTGAATATTAAACTGATCAGTTAAAAAAAAAAACAAATATGCATATTGCGTTAGAGATGTAGGGGAGGTAATTATCATAAATAACTTTTTTAAAATATCAGTACACAAGAACATCTAAGCAATTAAAAAACATAAGAATATATTCATTTCAACATTTCAAAATTGATTTTGTTACAGGTACTTACAAATCTATTTCTTACAAAAGCTGTTAAAAAGTACTTTTTAAAAGTGCTACGCAACCTGTCAATAATGATGCTCGACAAATTAATTAGACTTATTTCAGCAGTCAACATAAAAGACAGACAAAAGCCAGGCTACTAAGATTTTGCTCTTTTTTATTAAATAAGATTAAATTGGCTCATGATAGTAAGGTCAATTTAGACAGTTGATTAACTTGATAAATTTTAATGTACAATCAAAAAATTTAGTTACAAAGAAAAATAGAAAATAGTTTAAAACTTACCTTTCAACTTCTTTTATGTTAAGAATTTTAATATTTTTCCTCTTTCTCCAAATATCATTCACAGGGTCAGATTGTTTTAAATTATTCAGATACTTTTCATAGTGCTTCTTTGCATTGTGCAGAAAACGACTTCGATCAAAAAGAACTTTGTAAGAAGGAGCAGGTGTGAGATAAAAATTAATGGCACTTTTAGCTGCTCGTGCATAGTCCTGTATTTAAAAAAAGTTATTATAATTAGTTATTTGTCTATTAGAAGAAAAAAAATATCATCAAGCTTTATTTTTAAAGAGGACACAAAAATGAAATACGACTATAATGAGAAATTTTCTTCTGTTATATTAAAAAAGATTCATTTAAGAAATTTAAGCATTGTAAAAAAAAAAAAAATANTTAACAAAAAAAAAAAAAAAAAAAAAAAGTCTAAATACATAAAATGTGGTAGCTGAAATAATTATTTTATATCAATATGTGTTCAGGTTAATGCTTGTTTTAAATGTAGATATATCTAAAATGGCCTTAAATAATTTTACTTATAAAATGATCACACACAAATGTAATTATATAAAAGCATTACATTTCTTTAAATTTTTATTATTTCCAAATCTATTTAACTGATTCCAAATGAATTGTCTTCATGCCACCAAGTTCAAATCAAATCTGATTGAATTTCCCATCTGAAAGGGAAGAAGATTTCCCTAACAGCCTTTTTGTAGGGATTAAAGCAGATTCACAGTTGGAGTTGCTACAAAATGCATCGAAAAACATAACTGGGAGGGTGGATTTTAAAAATAATATCCTAGTTTACTTTGACGAAAATAAATATGATTATGATTAAAAACGTTACTTTTTATTATTATTATTAAAATTTTCAGGATAATTCACATGAAAATGTCTTTGGAACATAATAAGTGTTTGTTGATTGTTGTAGAATAGCATTTACTTTCTTTCTTTGATAACATTTTTTAACAAATTAAATTCTTGTGGAAATACATAGAAGCTATAGTTATGAGTTATTGAAAAATATATAAAAGTTCATAAAAATTATAATACATTGTTTTTATACTATTGCATAGTAAACACTAGAAAAAGTAAATAAAATTTGTGAAAAGAAGAGAGAGAGCTATTTTAATCCTCACGGATGGAAAAAAGAGAAACTTTTTTATTATTTATGTAGAAATTTTTTTTAACACCAGAATAAGCAGTATGAGATTCTATTAGTTGACAGTACTAGGAATATTAAAAGTAGTCAATTTCATTTATTGATTTTTAAATATTAAATGGTTTTTAATGATATTGTATCGTGAAAACATATATGATCATTCAAAAAGCAACTATGAAATTTAACTATAGTCAAATCTCCATTTAAGACCATTTTTAAACAAAGGTGACCTCTGAAGGAAGGTCATATTTTCATGGAACTGAACTTCTTCCATAGGATTTACATTAGGCAGATCCTCTAACAAAGAATTTCTGAACAACAGCCACCCAAAAATTTGATGAATAGCTAGTTATGATAAACTGATCACCGTAATGAATAGCTAGTAAAAATTATATTTCAAAGTGTATTATAGTTAATTTTTTTCACTTATTCCTCTCTAATTTGCAATTATATTATTTGATCATAACTAAATGTATTGTTCCTTAATGGTTATTACAGTAGTTATTTAAAAAAAAATGTAAGCATTCTTACAGAAGCCAATCGTAGAAGCAATTTGACAATTTCATTCCACTTACTACAGATAACCAGCATTGTTTTTTGATGTCAGCATGAATCAAGTCAGTCTTGTTCAGGCATTCATAACGAGCAAAAATTTTTAGTGCTCACTGGTAAACTTTTATAAACAATACAGAGAAATTATTCACACATGCGAGATAGTAGTAATTTTTTCATGCATGTAATCAATATTTGTCTATGTGATTTCCTTTTTTTTCTTTCTAGACCGTAGTTAAATGTCTGAAGACTTTTAGTACAATATAGCTGACAATCCAAGTGATATACAAGCGACAATGTGAGTTTACTACAATGCAAGTGAAAAACAAATAACAATTGCAAGCAAAAATTCCCAATCTTAAATTATAAAATGGAAGTTATTGAAGATAGTAAGAAAGAAATAAGTTTCATTACAAGACAGAAAAAAAAATGCAAATTAATGCCAGTTAAAATAATAAGTAATAATCGTTAGATCAGTATTTTGGCGTATTAATTTGTTTGTGATTCGTTTTACTATTATTATTTTAGTAGATTATATCCGTTTTTTATCTTTTGAACAATCAATTCGTTGGTAACTCCAAATAGCGGCCACCTCTTTTCATTAATCATATTCACAATCAATCATTTTCATCAATCATAGGCACAGTCCCTCAAAGAAACGTTTTTGATTTTACTGTATATATATATTAGGGCAAAAAGTATGTTGCAAATTTGTAAGGCACGTGTAGAAATATGTAAAGCACGAATCATAGCCACTGATAATTATTTTATAGTGGCCAGAGTTTTATTTTAGCAGTTCCGAACCACAATTAATTTTGAACCAAGCAGCATTAAAAAAAAATTTTGCTTGCCAAGTATAACATAAAATTTTTGAACATAAAAAAGTTGGAAAGGAACATAAAAAAGGAGAAAGCTATATAACTAATAATTACTGATCAGATAACAAGTTACCTCCATGAAGAGTTGAATTTCATACAGAACATTGAGGTACTTTAGCTTTTCTAAATATCGACAGGTTGCGAATAAATAAGAAGACCATGTGTGTAGTAATGGATCAACAGATGACATTAGTTGCTTTAAGGAAGAAAGTTGTACATTTTTCAATATTGGCATAAATAAAGCTTCAATGAAGACATCTGGCTCACACTTCTACAGAGTAAGTAAAAAAAAAAATATATAAATTCAGTTTCAGACTAATTAATATGAAATTACGTACAAAATCTTTTGTAAACATACCTTTTCAGTAATATATTCCAGTGCTTCACTGATGTATCCATGTTTACGATAAAATCCGATGGTGGCAAAATGTGTGCCATACATATTGAGATAATGGAGGCATTCTTGCTTCACAATCGCATCCAGAGTATAAAGTTTAGTTTCAAACTATGAAAATAAATAAATTGATGAAATAGATAGGCTAATTAAAAAGTAAAATATAGAACAATAATTTAGAAGTTATTCTTTGGTTGGGAGTTAACAATAATAACTTTTTTAATTTTTAGTTTAAAAACATTACTAAACATGAACTTTTGACTTAAATAATATTCACTTTAACATAGTACAATCGAACTCATTTATTATGAGCACTGACTTAACGAGAACCCAGTTTTAACAAACAAATCTAAAATTCTTGGATGGTATAATGTTAAGTCTAATGCTAAATTTTGTGATTCATAAAATTTTTTGGTACTTCCACTTCTCCCTGCTTGATAATACGTTTAACATTTCAAAAACAACTGAAAGTCAGTATGAGTCATATATCTAGCTAACATGTTGGCTTTTTCTGAAAGCAGGGGTGCCAATGTTTTGACATGACAATGTTTTTTGAGCCATGAGTCTTATTCGAAAAACAATAACACACAAATGAGAGTATAAGAAGATTTAAAGCAAACAGATTAATTTTGTTTTGTACTGTACAGAAATAAAAATAGATATAATTTATTTATAATTTAGTGGTTATATTTTTTTACAAGCACTCAGCTATAATGAGTAAATATAGCAGTCATGCTCGTTATAAGCGAGTTCGACTATATTACACAGTGATAGAGAAGATGATCATAATTGTAAGCCAACTAAAAAATATTATCAATACATTAAACACTATTATAGAAGGCAAATAAATTTTACATAAACAACTTTTAACTAAATTAATAATGATGGAAGAAAAAAAAAGTGAAAGGTAACAGATAGTAATAATAAACTTTTTGTTCACAAACAAGTCCTCAAAAGTGTTTGTTTTAATTTATTGTCTGGTGAATCATAAATATTCTTTTCTTTCTTTCTTCTTTTTATTAGTTTCTCTAATAGCTCATAATTAAAAGATTCGAAAAACAATAACACACAAATGAGAGTATAAGAAGAGTTAAAGCAAAGATTAATTTTGTTTTGTACTGTACAGAAATAAAAAATAGATATAATTTATTTATAATTTAGTGATTATATTTTTTTACAAGCACTCAGTTATAATGAGTAAATATAGCAGTCACGCTCGTAATAAGCGAGTTCGACTATATTACACAGTGATAGAGAAGATGATCATGATTGTAAGCCAACTAAAAAATATTATCAATACATTAATCACTATTATAGAATGGCAAATAAATTTTACATAATCAATTTTTAATTAAATTAATAATGATGGAAGGAAAAAAAAGTGAAAGGTAACAGATAATAATAATAAACTTTTTGTTCACAAACAAGTTCTCAAAAGTGTTTGTTTTAATTTATTTTCTGTTGAAACATAAATATTCTCTTCTTTCTTTCTTCTTTTTCTTAGTTTCTCTAATAGCTCATAATTAAAAGATCGGAAAGTCCAATTTTAGAACGTCCCTGTTTCAGATTTTCCAACATTTCTTTGAATGATAATGAGGAAGCATTTTCAAATAATAAATTAAATAATTTAAGAACTTTTAAACTAGTAAAAATTTAAATACCTGCAAAACATAAAAACATTTAATATTTACAAATTTATTATGTACTTCAAAGATTTAGTAAAAAATATATTTATAAATACTATAACTACCTGTGTCAAACCATTTTTGATATTTCTTAAAGAAGCTAATGATCTAGAAATAGCAGCAGCCTGAAAGAGACAAATGATTACTATATTTTCTAAAAATAGAAGTAAAAATTTATGTACAAAGCCATACGTCAAAACATTTTACCTTCTCAGTTCCAGGATATTTTGACTCCTCCAAAACTTTTAAAATTTTATTAAGAATTGGATTTTCTTTTGTTTGATCATTTTTATCTTTTACAATCTAAAACAAGAAAAAAAATTTAGATTTCTTGTTTTGTTCAGATGAAAATTATTTCACTTCAAATTTTTATAAAATAGCAAAAATACAGATAAAAACTTTCAAAGTTAATGTAATTTAATCTTCCGAGCAATGAACCCAATGATAAAGCTATATTGAAATTTATACAAAATTTTAATTTAGAATTGAAATTGGCACTATTTCTACATCGAATAACCTGGGGAAATTGGTTAGTGATGTAGAAAAGAAAGTTTAAAAGCTTCTAAAAAAATCCAGGACTAATGCTCAAAAAGTATAAAGATATTACAAATCAACAGTATTACAAAAGTACACAGATCAAATCAATCATAACAGAATACTTATAAATTGCTTTATTAAATGTGCCATGTGTGTAAAATAGACAAATCAGATTTGAATTCTAATAAAGAAAAAAAAATTTTTTTTTTAATGTTCCCACTTAGTAATGCAAAGTAGTGTAAATACTTTATGGATTATGGGATGCAATATCATTTTTGTTTAGCTAACTATGAGATTCTTCGTTCTAGTAACACAAATATTGGCTAGTTTTCTTCAAAATATTTTCAGTGTGGATGATGTTTTCATTACAATTTGAGACCTTCAATGTGTATAGTTCATGATTTCATTTTTAGCAAGAATTGTAAAAATAAATAATCATTTCTCACTTAAACAAACTTCTTTCAATGAATAAACATCAAGTTTTTGAGTTAGTTGATCGACCAAACAAAGAAAAAATAGGTGAGTAAATAGAGTAATAGAGTAAATAGGTGTCTACAATTAAAAGTGTAAATGGCAAAGACATTTTTAAAACTTGATTAGTTACAGGATAAAATCAAATTAAAAACGCAGATTATTCAGAATCAGATTCACCTGTAGTAAACATTGAATTGCAAAGGTTATTAATAGCATTATCTGCAAAGCTTAATTTATGAGTAAAATGTTTTGATATTGAACTGCTTATTTATATGGGTATATTGATGAAACTATTTTTATGGAAATTCCACTGGGCTATGAAGAAGAATATGATAAGAACAAAGTTTGTGAATTAAATTGCAGAATATATGGAAAACTAGTCTTCCTTTAACTAAAAGTAAGGATGAATGTTTAAATCCAACAAATGATTTAGTCAATCAGACATATTATCATGAAACTGTCAATGAACTTATATATATATTTGACAAACAGAACACACCCCAATATTTTTATGTACAGGGTATCTGCTACATTTTAGATTAGCTACATTTAGACCAAGAATTTTTCATGAATTAACGAAGTTACTATTTTCTCTGACAAAAGCACAACAATAAATTTAAAAAAGCATTATAATAACATTCATTGAAATGACAAGTATAAACAAAACTGTCATACTCTGCATCTTCATATTTATAGATTTTAAATTTAAAAAACAGAGTAAAGAAAGAGTTGTAGCAATAAAATAGCTGAAAAAATACAAAAGCAAATAATTTCTTTTTCTTTTAATTACATTCTAAAGATACTTTTCTTGTTCATCGGAAAGGATAGAAATACTCCTGATTTTTCCGATCTCATTTCGGAATAAAAAAATTCGTCAATGACTGGCTTGTTTCAGCTGAAATTTTAAATTCATAAAATAAAAATTAATAAATAATAACAAAAATTATGAAATCACAGAAGTTTAAAAGATAATTCACTCTAGAAATGTTTTTTCTTTCATTTTTTTGAAAGAACACCATAAGAAATTTCTTTTATAGAGCACAATAAATTTTTTAAATATTTTAATCAAATATGACTGTGAGTGGGAATTTTGTTACAAATCCAGATATTCGGAACACCATGAAATTAGGGGGAGGGGGTACATTCCATTTCAAAAATAAGATTTTTAGGCGACCTAAATCCATGACTTTTCATGATTCTTTTTTAAAAAAAAAAATTAAAATCGAGACATTTCATGACAAATTTTGTTCAATACTGAAATTTATGACTTTCCATGATTTTTCATGACTTTCCAGGTGTGTGGATACCCTGTACCTTGTATCTTAATAGTAAATGTTATTTCATCCTTGGTTCTCTGAGTCCACATAACTACAGAAAACATGATTTTTTAAAATAAATTTGCATCGAAAATGTATTTAAATACAAAGCAATAAACGTAAAAAGCTTCCATCAAACCTTTAAACATTGTTGAAATTTAGCTCTTGCAGTCAACCAATCACCAGCTTTTAAACAAAACAAACCCCAACAAGACCAGACACCATTCTTATCCAAATTGAATTTCGTTGAAACTTCGAGAGCTAGATTCATTCTTTCTTCTTCTAAGAGTTTATCTCGAAGTTTTCTGCAATGAAATAAATCAGGTTAATACATGTTTATAAGTCATTTGATTTTTGTAAAGAAATAAAAGTGGTGTAAGTATGTACCTAACAGTATCACCATTAGTAAGTGCTTCCCTAGGAATAAGATGCCTGCAGTTTGCAGTAACTAGCAATTTAATGATGTCCAAGTGCTGGAAATATAGTTCAGCTAAGGCTTCTCCGTCACTGTCCTGTACTTGGTGACATTTTACTTTGGCATTCATCAATAAAGATTTCATCATACTAAACGATAAATTGTAAATAATAATAAATCTAAATACTATAAATTGATAAAAATTATAATATGTATTTATTAAATTAAAAATCAAGAAGTTTCTGAGAAATCGAATTTCAAATAATTGTATTTCAAATAATTGTATTTTTCAAATTCAATTTCCGAGGAACTCATATAACCAATTTCACTGGAAGTTTGCATTTTGTTACGTAAAATTACATTCTTTAAAATTATGTAAAAAATTGTATACCTTACAATTAAAATTTTTTTTGACAGTTATTAATTAAAATAAATATATGAAAGGTAATTTTTGCATGAAATTATTTTTGGATAAAAGAGTTTTATAATGGTGTGCGAAAGCTTTTCAATCCACTTAAAAATTTCTTGAGATATGGCAAACCACACAAACAATAAAATTAACATTAAAGAGTCCAAACTTTGACTGCTCGCCTGACCTTACTATTGGGATCATATTTCCCAGATTGCAGTTACCCCCTATATTTTAGGGGTCAGGAATCCAAATCTGTGGGAAAAAAGGTGCATTCATTCAGAGAAAGTACGTTTTTATGTCTGATTTCATAATTTAAAATATCGTCTGCACTAATTAATTAGCATATTTGAGGCCACCCTTTAGAACCATTAAGATTGAGTTCTAAAATGTAAAGATCTGATCATTAAACCAAAAGTTATTCAGGAAGTTGGGTTTTTTTTCTTTGTACTTCCGCACTGTGCATATAAAAAAATTTGGATAAAAAAAATGTCCCTCTAATTTCATAATTCCCTCTAATTCAACATTTTATAACAATTAGTTATAGTATTCAATATTTCATTAATCAAATAATTAAAAGAGATTTTTAATAATTTTGGGTAAAAAAACAACTACTTTTAAATAACTAAACATTTTTACAAAAGCAAATTAGTAAATGGTCCTATCCCACAATTAGCTATTTTGATAATTCGGCAATCATTCAATTTTTAATATCAATTGTTTTTAACTAAAATGATAAAGAGATTAATTAGTTAGTTGAAATGATACAGTTGAATCATATAAGATTTGTTACTGCATATGCTTAAAATTTTAAATTAGTGAAAGAAATTCGCTAAATTTACAATTTATTAAAGTGTTAATCCACTTACTCATTTTCTTTTTCATAAGATAACTCAAGAGTACTAATATTTCTGATAATCACAAATCTAGCAAGATAGACAAGAAACCTTAAATATTTTGTGCAATTACTGCATGGTCCCTTAGTTGATATTTCAAAATTAAAAATTTTAATAACTTCTATCTTTATTTATTCAAAAAAGGGGAAAAAAATCCAAAAATTTACTGTTATTGAGAATCCCAAAACCAGATAAAAAATTTGATTTGCAAATGATTCATAACTTCAAGCATTTCATTACCAATCTGTAAATAAAGCAGTGCACTAACACCATCGGCTTTCCAGAGAAGCAGTATTAATGGATTTTTGCCAATAGGACTAGGACAGAAAAGGATAAGGAATTTTTCCTTTCAGGAAAAGAAGTTTTAAACATTCCCCCCTGCATTCAGCAGAATTCGGAAGGTTTTCAGCTAGATTCCAGAGGGCGGGTGATACAACCAGAAATTGCAAGTCAACAGTAAAATGCGAGAGAGTTGGTACACTTGCAAATCATTGTGTCCCACCAGTGTTTTTAAAACATTTTTCTTTAAATGAGAAGATAAAAGTTTTGAATTTTTTAAATCGCACATATCCAATTGCTGTTTATCATCGCCAGAAATGCTCAGGCATGAAAAAAGAATTTCAATAATCTATGAAGTGATCGTCTATTCGGCCATTAACTTTTCTTAAAAATATTATTTTGAGCAAACGTAAAACAAAAGAGTTAAATCCACCGTATTTTGCATAATTTAATAGGGAGAAAAAAAATTCCCTGGAATTTCAGGTTTTGGGGGTAAAATTACGTCTTCCCCAAACTTTTTTTTTATCCAATCTCCCATTACCTGACTTTCCTCGATCTTCTCAATGCATGCAAACCCTACAAAGATAAATAGAAATTTAAAAAAGCATGCTAACCTTATAATTAAACTGTAATCGACTTCTAGAGGCAGCTTTCCAGATCGACGAGTTTTAACTTTCCCCAATAGTCGATCACATAAATTCATTAAAAATTGTGCACACTTCTTATCATCGGTGTGCAGCTTAAGAATGGAATAGCATAGAGAAATGCTTGGTGTCTGAAAATACAGCATAGTTAAGTTGAAACATAATTTTTTATTGCACAAAATAATACTAGTGTTTTCTTAATGCTACAATTTAAATGAAAACTAAATAAAAAAGATAATATCCAAGTTACACACAAATAATACATAGATTTTTCAAACTGTTGTAAAGTACTTTTAAAAAATAGAGAAATCCGCACTATCCCTCATTAACCTAGGGTCACTCTTAATTTTTTTCCATCAAAATCATGTAAAACAGAGTAATTTAATTTAATATTAAAAATACCTTTGGATTGTAAAACTGATTTCAATCATTTCTATATTAAACATCTGTAACAAAAAGAGGTAAAAATGTCTTTTTAGCGCTTTATACAAAAAACAAATTTTACAGTTAAATTTTAATCACTGCATCATATCACGCATAACACATGCAATGTTAATTGAATCATTTGGACAAGTGCACCATATTTATAAATATTACATGCCAAACTCTGGTTTTGGAAGTGATTTGATACAACTAGAATAACTTTGAATTCACAAAAGTGGATAAACTAATGAATGAAATGACTCAAATGTGTGGGAGTGATGATCAGTCCTAAAAAGGGTTACTTTGATTTCGAAAAGATTAATGACAAAATTGAGTATGTAAGGTTACTTTGTGAGACAACTTTACATGAAAGTTAATTACTTTGTTTATGTAAGGGAAAACATTAAAAACAAAGCAAAAAAATAAATAAAATGATTTTCTTTAAATTACAACATAAACAAAAACATGACAAGTTTTTTCAACATAATATTCCTCAGTTTCCCTTTAAGAAAAATGCAATATGTTTTTTAACTAAATTTTATCATCCACTATGCATGGTAAAATAATAAGTGTTAAATGAATTATTTTTCTATGGCAAATATCTTAAACATCTTTACACTGTGAGTCGCATCAATTTTAAAAAAAATATTAATTCAGTTGTTTAAGTTGTCCTTTTCTCATATCACCACAGATTTTTTTTACCTTTGAGTATATGATACAAATGTACCACAATGACAAAGTTATTGAGGCTCCTTTCTGTTGTTGTGATGGGCTGAAGTTCAATTCCCAAAGGTGGATTGAAGTCCACAAAGCTTCAGGTCGATGGGTGCTAATTTATTTTGAAAGTATAGGTGATGGCATACTATGGTGACCACATAGACACCATATTGTGGTTGTTCGCCGCAAAATTAAGAAGCCTCTCAGGCTCATAACAAGCTGTAGAAGTAATCCTTCACTTTATCTAATACAGATACAGAACTCATTTATAAATCACTTTTGAATATTTGTAATGCAAATCTAAAGCTATATATAATCTAAGTTGGTAAGAAACATGGGCATGCTATACTTTGTTTCTCCACGCAAATGGTATAATGAATTTATTACAAAATATTAAAATAATCTCCAATAAAATCATACTATTTGTGTATTATGGAAAATATGATAACAATAAAATATTTAAATTGTTAAATTAAAATTATTAAATATTAAATTAATTGTTAAATTAAAAAAAAAATTTTTTTTTACTTGTTCATAAGAAAACTCATTCCTGACAGAGGCATTTTGTTCACTATCAGTAGAAAGAACCCATCTAAACATCTGCTGACTGTGTACACTACTTGTACGCCTTCTCGGACCAGATGGGTTTTCAAAACTTCGAGGACTAGAAGACATCACTAATAAAAATAAATAAATAAATGTATAAATAAGAAGTTTGACACAAGAACTTACAAAATATTTCATGTATTAGACATTTGTAGGATTGTTTGTAATAAAAGGTCTACCTAATTAACCTTTGAATTTAAACAAGTTGTTATGCATTTTAAAAGTATAAAAAATAATTTTCATACTAAATCATTTTTAAGTGTTAAAAGTTAGAGATTTACCAAACATGAAATTTTCTTTAAATAAATTCTGATAAGAAAATGATAATTCTAAGAGTTAGGCTTACCTCAAGCTTTCTAAAGTAGAAAGTTTACAGTTTAACTTGTTTTTGGTAAAGGAAAGTAAATTTTTATCTGATATTAATTTTTGAAGGAAAAAAAAAACAGTTAAAGAGAGTGATTATACTATATAATAGAAATTATTCTTACTCCATTATTGACTGAAATGTTTTTCAAAATTAAGAGAAATGATTTTTCTTTAACAACTTAAACTGAGAGTTTTCTTAGCATTAATTTCAGTTTTTAGGTAATTCTAATAAAAGATATAAAGATCCTAATTTGAATAAATTTCATTTAGAGAAAATACATTTTTTGACATATTGAAAAGAGAGTAAATAAATTAATTACTTGTTGATAACTTTCGATAACGTTTTTCAAAGGAGGCAGTTGTCAATGAAAGGCTACCAGTCATTCTAAATAAAAAAAATAGAAACAAAATGCAGAGCAAACATTAACAAAGAAAGAAGAAGCAAAACCAATTACATTAAAAGAATAATATATATAAAAAATAAAGTATGTTACATGCTTAAACAGTTTTATTGAAAAATATCAGGGTACAGTTAATAATTATAAAATTTATTTCAAACTAACCACCAGATTAAAAGTTCAATAAATCAGTATAAGTCAAATAACTTCCAGTAGGCTCATCATCAGGTTAGAAGAGGCTAATTAAAATTTAACACTTTAAGTAAAATGATTTCAAAGCCGATTTCGTTTTTATCCAAAAATAATTAGGAAAAATATAAAAATTTATATTGAAACTAGTTTACATAAAATATTTTTAATGTGTCTACATAATGTGTTTTAGCTAATGAATGCATTAGTTAATTATTATTTTGATTTTACAGTTGATAAATTTGAAAGAAACATAATGATATGTTTTTGTTATGTTTATAATGAGAAACATAATGATATGTTTGAGTATAGAGCCACAAAACAAAAAGCTCTATACTCAAAGAAATTGCCATTTGACTATATGAATCAAGTAAAATGTTTGTTCTTTCTAAAAGTTAAGTATTTTTCTTACACTTCGGATAAAAAACATGCTATTTTTTCAATATAATTTACAAGTCTTGACATATTTATTTTAGTATACCTTCAATTTCAAAGTTATTTGTGATTAAATTTTCTATAAGAAAAGGGAGAATTTACAAATTATTTGTAGATTTTAAGTTTGTAGCAGCACACCTATACAAAACTTTCTGAGTCAGCTAATAATTGACAAAATAAAATATTTTTTTAAGGAAAAATTGAATTTAATTCAATATTTAAAATTTTTCTTAATATTTAAAATAATCATGACAGAAAATGGGTAAACTGTAATTAGGAAGTTGTTGTCAAATAAAAAATAAACTATTTATTTTTTATTAGAATTAAGAATTTAATTCTAATAAAAAATAAGTGTAAGTGTATGCAAGTATCCTTTGTGGGAAAAATAAACGGTATCAATAAAATTAGTTTTCATTGGTTTACCCTGATTAACTAAATCTGATCTTAAAACATAAGTGAAATTAAACATATAAATATGTATATGCATAAAAAGTAACTGAAAAAAAAAGATTTAAATATGTAGCATTATAAACTTTTAGAGTTCACATTACCAAGAAAGCAGTTACAAAATGTATTTAGTTTTCAAAGAACTTAGGAATAAGCTAACAACAATAAGCTAACAACACTTAGAAATCTACAAAATAAATATTTAGTAGTTTATAACACAAGCTCTTAGAGTTCGTTTTCAAAAGTCAAATAAAGAAATCAAGCACGTTAGCTACAGCAAGAGTAATTAGTGATTAAGAGTAAGTAATAACTGAAAAGACTATTCACTAAAAATTTCACTAGTTTGTTCATGTGTCTTGGTAAAAATTTAAAAAAAAAAATATGTGAAAACATTAAAAACAAAATAAAATTACTATAGTCTTGCTTAAACTTTTGAAAACAAATACATTTTAAATGAAGTTTCATATAAATGAAATTTTAACATAATACTTTGAGAATATAATTTACAATTTCATATTTAAAGTAATATTATATAAAATAAAAAATTATTCAGCCAATTGAATATTCGATAAGGGGAAATACCGAATATTTGTTACATTCCTAGTAAATTTGTGATAATAATAATATATTATTTTTAAATAAAATAATATTATTTTTAAATAAAAATACTTACAAGTTATAACAATCATCACAAACTCGAACTTTGACATTTCCATAACCTTCTACAATCAATGCATGCTGAGAACAATTGGCACACACTACACGCCCACAGCGGCGGCAATGATGACGGCGAGAGAACTAAAAATGTTAGTTTATTTCAGCAAAGAAAACATTGTAATTTTTAAAGCCTAATAGCTATGGTATTAATTTTGCTAAATATGAATGCTTTTATTGAAGTGCAAATATTATATTCAATTACATAATGTATATCATGTTCAAATATTATATGAAATTACATAAAATATATTATGTGCAAATATTACATAGATCTTTAATCTATAAAATTTCCTCAATTTTTTTTTTAAAGATTTGCATTTGATAGAAAAAAGCTTGGTTAGGTTTGGATATAATTTCTTCCAGGTATTGTGGTGGCAACTAATTTGTTTTCAATATTTTTATTTTGTTCAATGATTTGGTACTATCGACAAGTAATGTAGTTGACATTTTGATGAAATGCGAATTAAAAACAGATAAATTCATTAAAAAATTATAATACAACACTTAAACTAATAATTAAATACAAATCAGAGTTAATTATCAATAAGTTCCTCAATTGTTTCACGTAAATTTACAACAGAGAAAGCATAAGACAACTTGCTAAAGCATTGATTAACTATTAATGTGCAAATTTTAATCTACTCCACTGCAATTCGCGACTTTTCTGTTTGAGTGAAATAAAGACACACTAATTATAAGTATAATTAGAATAAGAAATTTAAAAAAAGATAGCAAATGGTACTTTTTAACATTCAAATAAGTAATTTAATTTGCATTCATTGAAAGAATCAGATCAATAGTTCTACAGATATTTGAAAAAGGACAATCGAATTGCAACAAAGTTTAGTCCTGCTGTACTCAAAATTTGAAGAACGGATATTTCACCAAGCTTCAGTGTCAAAATTTAAATTAACATTCAGTTGGGTGAGCGTTAATAACCAATAGTGTAACTCTTATTTCTTTCTTTTCACTATACACTTGTTCTATTTTTCAATGTAGACCATTTTAAGAAAAGAACATTATAGGTAATAACAATTATGCACATATTTTCTATGAGATATACACTTAATATAGTTTAAACACAAATATAGTTTTACAGGGTGCATAGCCAAATTATTCAACAAAATATAAGCTCCTTTTAAGCACTCAAAAAATATTTTCAACCACTTTAAAAAATATCACAATTAGGCAGGGTTGGAAAGTTTTTGACAATTGACGGTTTTATCTTGTTTTAACTATAAAAAAAAACAAAAAAACTTTTGGCATTGTTTTTGACAATTGTGTCAAAAATCATGAAGTTTTGAATCATGTAAAACAAATGGAGTTTTCATACGCTATGAACTGGCAATACGCCGAAATAGATTGGGGTTGAATTAACTGTGAAAACGTTCAATAGAACAATGTGAACTGTGTCTTTTTGCATAATTAGTAGCAAAAATCAACATGGTAAAGGAAAAATCTCTTTTTGAAAAAGGGAAAATTAAGCACTTTTTAAAAACACCCAACAAAAAAAGCACCTTTCAGGGCTTTTAAAAAACGAAAATAAAAAATAAGCACCTTTAAGCACTTTTTAAAAACTCTACCTACCCTGTTTTAAATCATAATGATTAAAAAAGTAGTTATAATTAAAGCTTTGAAAAGTACCATATTAAAGTGCTCCTCCCGACAGACTTGGCATCTTAGAATTTTGGCATCAGGCACCCACTCCTCTTTCGTTGGCACTCGAAGTGGCATTACAAAAGGTTCATCAGTAACCAATGCATCTTCAGTACTCAGGACCAGAGTACTTGATGATGAGATGTCTGCAGTTATGAAAAAAATATAAATAATGTGCAGGAAAGTACTGGCCATTCCATAGCAGATCACATAAAGTTATGCTTTTTTTAAAAAATAATGTTATGGTATAGAAGGAAGGTAAGAAAGGAACTGTACAGTAAGCGAAATAAAAAATAAGAACACTCAATATCTTTTGATTTAGTGATTGGAATTTTAAATACTATAACTGAATTTCAATGTTTCATAGGGCATAAAATAGGAAATGATTTACAGGAATTTAACAGAAAATGGTTATAGGAATCTTGCGTAATCAGATACAAATGAATTGTGAAGTGGCAAAATTAGACAAGGTAAATTATATCTACTTTTTGTATAGTATTCCATCCAAAGTGAATTTTTTTAAAATTCTTAAACTTCTTTTTTTCCATTTAAGATCTGGTTATTTCACAAAAATAAGGTCATTTTTTGAAGAAAGTCTGAATATACAAGGCTTATGTATCATCCATTAAGCAAATTAAATGTTACCACATCAATAAATTCAAGGTTATTCATAATTCTCGCCATGGTTTCAGAAAGCTAGACAGGAATACATTAAAAAAACTTGCACTAAAGAAACACGATTCTATCGTTACACACATTCCTTTGCCCAGATAGCAGCAGTTCAGTTTCTGCTAGGCTTTATTCAAATGGTACTAAAAGTATTTATAGTACATATGATTCTTTTATTCAGTTCTGGTAAATCTCTCAGCAAAAAAAGCAGGAAAAAGATCTTTTACATAGCCCCACAATAAAAATAACATGTGCTGTCAAATCCATAATCTTATGTTAAATGAAGTCTGGTAAGATCTGAAGTATAGCATTGTTGATTGGGTTCATACAGAGAATACCTATAAATTAAACTCTATTTGTTTCAATATTTAGTGCGATGTTTGCTTTTGCTCTTTTTACTATAGCCTTTTGTAATGCAGCTTCTTACTACAGCCGTCAAAATTCTGGGGAGAATTATAAGGAACCATGTTTAATAACAATTTCCGTGATATTGCAAACACATTAAGCAAGATATAAGCATTATCTGCAACTAAAAATTTAGATTGATAAATAACCACCAGAATACTATTAAAAATTTATTAAAAATAAAATCAGTACTTTATTTCTGCAGCTTAATAAATAAATAAGGTAATCTGAACAATGATAAATATGAACCATATTTTATCAACACACTAAAATGAATAAATAATATTTTTCTCCAGAATTTTTTGCAGACTTTAACAATAAAACAATTATAATTTACCAAGTAATGCATCTAAGAAATGAACTTCAAGGGCTTTAGAAGCGTAATCTTCAACAAGTTGATTCACAGAAGATAAACTCATCACAGGAACAACTTCATTTGGATTTTTTAACTCTCCACGGATAGCATTTAAGGCATCTTCAGCATCTCTCAGCTTAGGAGGGAGGAAAAAAACTTCATAAATTACTCTGTGCAATATGAAATGACTGTGGCATATTGGCGTGCTAATTAGTTTAATACAAGTATTATAAAGACTTTTTAAGCTTTTCTTTAACTTTTTAAAAAGAAAATCTGATTTAAATAATTTTTATAAAGTAACTTTGAACATAAACTTAAAAAAAAAAAGTAACTAAATCAATTTTAAAAAATGTTCATGCTGAGCAACAGAACTTTACATTACTTAATGGAAAAACAATGCAAAACAGTAATTTTTTTAAAAAAAAATTTGGCTCATGGAACTTGACAATTACAGCACAAAATCATTGTCTGATTTCGTGAGAGCGAGAGAGATATAGGTTTAAGGGTGGCAGACATCGAAAAGACATTAAAGTTTGGGATTGAAAAAAAAAAACCATTTGGTTGATGAGAACAAATCAAATTTTAAAGTATTCATAAAGAGTAGATACAATTTGTATAACATAAAATAAAAGTAATGCCTGTCTATGAAAAGGACTCCCCTCACCATTCGTCTGGAACACTAGCAGTGATTATGGTTATGAGGTTTAACTATTTCAAGTAGGAATATTAGGTCAATATTTCAAACAGATTTTGGGCTGGGTCGGTGAAAAAAAGGGGATCAGGGGAGAGAGAAGTCCTCCTCTTTGAAATGCGCTATTTCTTGTTTTCATAGCTGCAGACAGCTTCAGACTTTGTGGCGAGGGAAGTTCTTTCGATAAACAAACTATAAAATTTTTTTTTAGTCTCATTAAAAAAGTGAATAGCATAATTTTTAAAAACATGGTTGAAGTATGAAACAAAACAAATAAATAAAAGTAATAATTGATATAAACAAAGAGTTAAATAATAATTTTATAATCTCTTATTTGCAAAGTTAAATATATTTTAACAACTCAAGAGTTATTTATAATTTTACAACTTTTTATTCTATATTTTAGAGTATCTTAAAGAATTAAAAAGTTAATTCTACTAGTATATTTTTGCGTTTAAAATAAATAAAAACATGTCACCTCAACATTCATAAGCATTTGCTCCAAAAGAAGATATGGATGACTGATGAGTTCTATGTACAATTCTTGAGTAGATCCTTTCAGAACAGATAGCATCTAAATAATATAAGTTATTAAACAACACAATTTGCAAAATCTTATAAAATCATTAAAAATAAAAATTGAAATAATGAAATCAAATAAAAGAATTAAAAAAATATTGAATTGAATACAAGTTTGATATGTAAACAACAATGGTGAGAGCCAGGTCAAATTCGATGTGCAATATCTGAAAATCACAATGAATGATCGATCTGAGAAAATAATCAAGAAAATTTTTAAAATTTTCACAAGAATAGCATTTTATTTTTAGGGTACAAATATAAAATAAACAATTTAGGAAAAGAAAATAGAAATGCCAAGTTTAAAATTTGTTAATTGATTTACATTCACTATAACACTAAACTGAATTACTCTCTCTCCGTATTTTATACTATTACAAAAGATGAGTTACATACATTTTCTATTTCATAACAATCCTTATCTTTACAAGCATATTGCATATTCGGTTTCAACATTCCATTGCTGTAGATTTTATTTCATAAACATAACATTTACTGGAGCAAAAAGAGGCAAAGAGAGTATGACTAAATAAATTGGGGAATATTAAATTTTATTCTTATTGTGATATTTACTTAATATTATGCAATTATTTATTGTTTTTTTTTTAACCTTCTGAAGCAACTTTGAAGCCATTATTATTTTTTTAAAATATATTGCTTGTTTGTAAATATCTATTTTTTCTCTTTCTTTTTGCATTCATTTTAGCGAAAAATTTTGTTAAAAAAGTTTTTCAATACTGTGAGAAAAAAAATAGTGTCATAATATAATGCTTAGAGATACAATTCAACCAAAAGATTATCAGAACAATTAAGCTATATTTTATATAATTAATTTTAAAAAAAATCATAGAAAGCCAAGTATTTAACCTCTTGATGATGAACACAATGTTTTTAATAAATCATACTCAGAATTTATTTAATATACACATTTTATTAAATAAATATATCATAAACTACATTCAATTCAAGTCTTATAAAAACTTTATTAAAAACAGAACAATTTATTTTGTTTCATTATGGAATATTTTATTATAGCTTTCCTTTTATACAGGGTGCCATAAGGTAGTACTGAAGTACAAATCCAAGTATTCTTGAGAAAGAAAAAAAAGTATGCTCTTTTTCTCAACTTTGTTTAAAATTTCCAAATTTTCACTATTTTTATGAAAAAATATGACAGAGGGCAAAATTAAAACCTTTCCTTAAATAAAGGACAAACTTTATTAAAACAGATTTTGAAAGGCTTTGCTTGGCTGCAAACTTGAACTTTGATACAAAAAAATATAAACAATTTACTAATTTTAGAAAAAAAATATGTTAAAAAATTTATGGCCCAATACAGCTAACTAATAATTATTGGAGAATAAGAACTAATGGTGAACTGGAAGCTCTTATCAAGCATAGAAACATTGTGAAAATCATTATTAAAACAGTTATTAAAACATTTTATTAAAACAGTTTTTGAAACAAAAAAATATAAACAATTTGCTAATTTTAGAAAAAAAATATGTTAAAAAATTTATGGCCAAATACAGCTAACTAATAATTATTGGAGAATAAGAACTAATGGCGAACTGGAAGCTCTTATCAAGCATAGAAACATTGTAAAAATCATCAAAGCACAGAGGCTTTCATGGCTTAGTCACATTGAGAGATCACCTGACAACCGAGAGGTAAAGATTTTGCATTGGAAGATCATGTGCAATAAGCCAAGAAGCAAATCAAAGAAAAGATGGAAGGATGATATCTTGAATGATTTAAAAACTTTAAAGATCTCCAACTGGTCAGGGACAAAGATGCCTGGAGAAATATTTTGCTGCAGGCTAAGGCTCTCCCAGGGCAGTAAGGCCAATAAAGAAGAAATGCTTTGTTATATATTAGAAGATTGATATAGTAATAATAACTATTATGTCTTATATTAATGCTGTAATAAATGATATGAACTTACTTTTAGGCCTAAGTACAAATTAAAATAGTAGTACTTCTTTTCAGGGGCAAGATTGTTATCCACTAAATACTGTACGATACACAATTTAGCTTCAATTGTAGGAAGTTCAGATAAAACTTTATCACACAGAACTACACAATCATGTGCATCTTCTAACAAGTTTATTATCTATAAAACAGATAAATTATTAAGAGTTATAAAATATAATTTTTTACAGGTCATTACAAGTACCAATACAAATAATAGCTTTGAAAGACAGAAAGTAAAAATTCAATGTAGTATGTCATTTAAAAAAATAAAAATTTAACTGAAAAAATATCAATTAACATTTAAACTGAATAAATGTCGATTTTTATTCAAAATATCTGAAAACTATATTTGTTTTGATTAAAGTAGTGAAATAATAAATGACAATGATAATGTTATAAAGAATCAGAATGATCCTAGATGATTAACTTCCTGTTGTATTTAAGGAAAAATGTGATGATATCAATACATGATGAAGTTTCAATAAATAAATAATTATAATAAAACTACTATATACTATATATTAATTCAAGGCAAAAAAAAAGTGTCAAACTTTACAGTACCTTACTAATTTTAATATATATTTTCTATATTAGTTCATTAAAATAATTTATAATATAAGCTCCTTTATCATCTAAAGCACTATAGCCTGTTACAGGCAAATGCCATGAAAGTTACAGATGGAAATAATTTAAGTTATAATCAACTTACATTACGGTGTTAAACAATGATCAATACTTACCTCAAATGCTTCTTGCTTTTGTGGTGGTGTTTGAGTTAAAAACCAAATTATGTTCATAGAAAAAGCCAGCTAAGGAATAAAAAAGCACAGAATATCAAATTTTTTCAACAGCCAATCCATCAAATTTTATATATCGAAAATTAAATTTGTCATTAAAATAAAACCAGTTTTTGATAATAATCCACAAGATTTACAGTCTCCTAAAGCCAAAGGACCAGCTATGGTCAGGTCATATCAAGTTTTCTAAGCAAAAAGAGGACAAAAAGTTGGTGAGAGTACCAATTATCCAAACTAGATATCAGAAGTACAATTACAAAAAAATCTAAAGTTAGCGTTTATGAAATTCAAATTACCAAAATTTTAATGTATACATATTACTTAATTTTAAATAGAAATATAATATTTATAAAATTATGCATGAATTTACTATTAAATTAAAAAAAGGATCTTAGGCTAAGGTACCAAATTAAAAAAATGTACATCACTTAAATTTTATATATCATAAAATTAAATCAATCAAATGAAATCAATGTTTTGGCTAAATTAGGTCAATTCCTAATTACTTTTTAAGCATCTTTTGTTTGAACTGCTAAAAAGTTTTTACTCACAATATTTCAGATTTGAGTTTATTTAGTTTTGCCTATTTATAGAATTGGAGAGAATATAAAGTTTCAGTTCTTAAAGCTGTCCAAAAATCGGTTAAATTTTTTTTTCTTTGCAACTTTTAGATGCAGTATTGATATGTAAAACAAGAAATAAAGCTATAACTCGAAGAGAAGGTAAAATCATTAATTGCAGCAGTTTTAATGAACCTTATAATTAGTCCCATTTTTCAATCTTCAATTTGATAATCTTTTTTCTTTTTAAGAAAAGTATTACAATTTTAAAAAAAAAGGGGGTGATAAATTTTTCCTTAATAAAAGCTATAGCTTTGTCATTGGATTTTCATATTTTTCTTGAATCGTCATATATTTGTAACAATTCTTCTCATTTGAAAATCTGTAACCCCCAGAAATACACAAGACAATGAATTTCATCCACAAATTATTTGTGTGGTTTTCACTTTTAAAATTTTTTAATAACTTCTGTTAGCAATTTTAAAAATTTTTCTGTAATATTTATCCATGTATAAATAGAAAAAAAAATTTATAAAATGAAAACCCAAACTTGGAAAAGAAAAAGTAAATAAAACAATCACAAACATTCTTTTGAAACGCCTGCTAGCATCCTCTTTCTGAAGAGCCCCAAAAACAGCCTGTCGGAAAGGGGAAAGATGAAACTTTTTTTAAAATTTCTTGTTTAAACATTCATTTTAATATTATTTGCTTTTAGTATTGTTTAAGGAGTAGGAAAAAATAAACATAGATTAGCTGCAACCTACAAAATTTTATAACTTTTGGTTATAAAAGAAAAAAAAACTATTTTAATTTTAAAGAGATTACTAAGAAAATTCTTAAAAAACTTAATTGTTAGTATTTAATTATAAGCAAAGCTGGGCTACGAAATTGCAATGATTGAGGATAAATCGTAATAGTTGGCAACATGTTACCATATTTAACCTTCGTGAAGGGTAAAAATTCAACATCTCTATTAGTAAACATTTAAACAGCTTGACTGCAAAGTCACAATTTAAATAATATTTATATTACACAGCATGAGACTAAATTAATAATCATTGAATTGTTGACACATTTCCATTGAATTGTTGATAAATAACATGTAGTATAAAGTACAAGACAAATTCACTTTAACTTAATTTTAACTTACCAGCTTTTGTTCTTTATTGATGACGTGTAACTCTGTCCACTGCACTGAGAGTTCATATTTTCCACACGATTTAATAAACTCTAAAATTCTTGATTGATCCCAAAAGGAGCAATCGGCCACTTCTTGCCAATTATTAAAAACATAAACACAATCCTTTACTTCTGAATCTCCAAACATTTCTGATGCATCAAAAATCTGTATAAACATAAATAAGGACAATAAACTATATGAATACAAGTTTACTTTAACATAGTTAATAATAATTATTATTATATATATAGAAAAAATATACAACTAAGTTAAAATAAAAACATGAAACTATGATTTAAATAAAAATGGTGTACAAAAACAAAAATAGTGTATGCAATGGTAGAGTCATTTTTTTTTTACACATTTACACTTGTACACAACACAATAATATAAATTGAAATTTTAAATTCAAAATATTTTTTTCTAATTCATAAAATTTACTTCAAATTCAAAGCTGATTTAGAACAATGAACACTTTTTAAACTTTTCTTTATCAACTTCGAGTAAAAATGCCATATTAAACAGTCATTATTAACATCGAATTTCAAGAGAAGCCCATTTTTTTGAGGATGAACCAATTGGCCTTTGCAAGAGTTTAGTATATGAATATATAACCATTCTATTATTTCCTTTTAGAATAAATTACTAATAATACCTTTAATAACAAAAATCTTTTTATATAAATCAAATATTTTTACTTTANAAGTTACAAATATTATTAGGTATCCCACAGCACCTTATTTGTCATTGCTGCCAAATAGCTCAATTAAGTCTTACATACTTTGGCACATTTCTAAGTAATCACATAATCTTTGCACAGTTAATTAATGATTATAATATCTTTATGATTTATATAGAGCTTTAATATTTTCTTTAAGGACAATTTAGAGATTTTAATATAAATTATCTTCATATTTCACGATGTTTTAAGTTTATTTTACATTACAAAAAAATATTTTAACCTACTGGCGATTTTACAAAATGGAAAATTTGAGAGAATATTTTTCTTATACATTCTTTGCCTATGATGGAAAAATTAGTTTTGTTATTTTCAGAAAAATGCAAATTAAGATAAGACATTAGATGTGCTCATAAAATTAGATAAAGATCAAAACTATAAGTGCATATCTTGTTTAAGTTAAGAAATGAAAATGTTTCGAATAGGGTTGGGTTTGAGGGAAAATGATACAATTGTTACAAACAGTTTAGTGTCTGAAACTGTTTAAAACTCTCCAAAAGTACATTAAAGTGTACATAACATGTAATTAAAAAAATAGTTCACATATCCAAATGTATTCATTCCATTAAAAAAAAATATCTAATTATATATTTTACTGATATTAGTTTCAAAATTTAGTTTAATTGAAAGATAACTTTTTTTAGATTTTCTTAAATTATAAAACATTAGTAAATTAGATGTAAGGCAAAAACTAAAATTCTACAAAATTTTGAACTTAAATTAAGTTTACAATTCGAATAATTATTATATAAGCAGCTATTTATTTTTCTTTAAAATAATAAATCTTAAAGATATAAAACTAAACTATTTTCACGGATGATTTTGCTATTTTCTTATTCGTTTATCATTTTTTTGTTACTGTTGCTGAAACTGCATTATAATATCTTATTTTCGAAAATTCCAGATAAAAAGGTTGAAACAAACTATTTACAAGTATATTGTTTCTCATCAAATAAAATTTAAAGACAAGGATAAGCATTTGATAATAGTTTAATAAGTTAGTTGTTTTTATTTCTTAAAAAAGTTTATACTATTTTTATACTTAAAATGAAATTTTTGCAAAATCTAACTGGAAAAAAAAGTGCTTTGGATAATGGACTATTGAAAAATTTTAAGACAATTTTGAAAAACATGGCTTTTTCCTTAAATTTTACTACTGTGCTAAAACCTTTGGCAGAACTTCTTTTTTTTTTTTAAAATAAATGTATCTGTGCTAAAATAAATGAAAGGAAATATAAAAATTACTAACTTTTTTATACAACTGTACTTCTTTCAGCTTAACTTTCAAGGACCCTTGTATATCTGAATGATGCACAATGTCAGAGTCAGATAAACAATATTTCAATGCTTGAATGGTGCAGCTATCAGACCACTTATAAACATTTTGCAACACAGTCAGTGCTCTATAAACAGGATCATTAATTGCCAATGCATAATGGCAAGGATCAGTCACATCATAAGACAAATCATCACAGGCAATGTGTTCCAGAATTATCTTTCTCAAAAGCATATAACTCCAATCCTTGTCAAAGTGTTCCAAATACAGATCAACATAAAGCAAGGCTCTATGCCACTCATCATTGTTAAAGCAAGTTCTTATTTGTTGACTGAAATATTCCCTATCAGGAGCTGGGCTGAGAGCATTTGAAAACCATGACTGGTTTTCCTTGCCAGTCATGAGCATGTTGAGATAGAATGTCAGTAGGTAAGTCACGGGTGTTTTCATGAAGGATTCTTGAAACACAAAAAGATTCTGAGCGCATGATTCAAGACAGAAATTTTCTTTGGAATTTATTTGAGGAGAATACTCTCCTCTGAATATTTCATATAAATCATTCAAGAGAGGACATTTTTCTTTTAAATAGTTTAGCACAAATGGTTGGGTTTCTTGAATTAGAGTAGCTTTTTGAGTGATTTCTGCAGATGGAAATAAGTGGTCAGTGGAATATTGGAGCTTGATACCAATAGAGAGGAGAGGTTCTTTGAATATTAAAGAAAATGGTAGTTGTTTTCTTCCTGAGACATCTATGATGAAAAATAAAAATAAATTGTAATGAAGAAGAAAAGTACATGATTATACAAATTATTATCTTCATTATGCAACTGATTTTTATTTCAAGAGCAGAAATGAATATGAGTAAATGAATATTGCAGAAATGTATATTTTCAAAGCCTTATTTAAAGTGTGTGCAATAATAATAATAATACCTATGCTCATAATGTTGGCTTCTTTTAGCAATGTTTTAAAACAATGTAACTCAAACACAATAAGTGACATTTCGGATTGAAATCATATACAGGGAAACCTCTCTTAAGAGGACACACATTGAATTGAAAAATTGTCCGTTTATGAGAGTTGTCCATTAACGGGAAGTTTACCCTAATAACAAAGTTTAACACTGTAAATTATTTTTAGAATATTTTCAATGATATAGAAATAACTAAATAATCTACAATAGCTCTCTACAAGGATGCTTATTTAAACTTAAATTTTTTTTTCCATACAAAAAGAATATATTAAAAAGTTTGATATAAATACATAATTCTAGTTGCAGCTACAGATAAATTAATATAATTTTCCTATTAACAAAGATATTCAAGTTAGTTATATGATACCAAGTAGCAGATTTTAGTCCTCAGTCAGTTTCAATTATTAGGTTTACACCTGGTAACACCTACCTATCACTTGATAAGAAACGTGGTTAATACCTCGATGAAAGTAAATCTCCCACGATTCACAGAACGCAACGTTTGCCTGTAAGGCATGAGGACCTATGGAGTTGATATATTCACAATTAATAATCCATAAAGCGTCTGAATAAATGTTTTATTTATATGAACGCCTCAAAATTTTTATTTCTGTCATCTTTTTTTTACCCCAGCTGTATTAAATGCAGTCTTTAAATTGATAAGAAAGTGAAAGAAATTTCAGTGAGGGAGAAGCATTGAGAGCATTTAAGATGTCATATCAGCTAGTGGGGTCTCATAATCTGTGCTGTACAGATGAATAGATAAAAGATTTGCACACACAAGTTTGTTTCGTGTTTTTTTAAAAACAAATACAGTGAGTGCATACCAAATATTTTTTTATCTTAAGAATTAACCAAGAAAATTTAAAAAAAAGCCACGTATATTCTTAACAAAAAGTTATATGTTTCTTTAACTGAAATATTAAGATATAAACTGAACATAACATCATATATAGTATATATCTAAAATCCAGATTAACAAAATTAGTTTGAGGGAAAAAAAAGGAAAAAAATTGCAGGTCAAAGCAAAAAATGACATTAGATTTACAATCAAAAACTTATCAACAAATGAAAAAAAAAAAAAAAAAACATCGTACACGTAGAAACAGCTTAATTTTATATTCATAAAATTAATATGCTATAAGAAAATTTTGCTTTTCCCCCAAAAGAAAAACTTTTCTTAATTAAATTTCTATTTAATATTCTTGATGAAATCTATGGCCAATAAATCAAAATAAGATTCAAAATTAAATGACACTTATTATTTTCTTATATAAAAATTTAGCATATTTCTTTATTTTTGATTCAGATTAATATTAAAGATGTTAAAAAGCTTTATTGTTTAACATTAAATAATATGAGTGAATATAAATACAGTTTAGTCTTAATATTGATAGCACCCTTCTTAATGACTGTCTTCATTTAAACCACAATATGTTGTGGTGCACCGGCTTCTCCATAGCTAAAATCTCTCTTTTAAGAGGACAGTAATCTCTGTTCAGAAGCTAAATTTTTGAATGCAATTTTTTAAAAAAGCTTTTATACATCATTGAGACAATTTTCTGTGAGTAAACGAGTTTGGTTAATATGGAATGAGAAAGAAGTTCCTTCAAAGGACTTATTGAACTGTAAAGAAGATATTTCTGCTATTAGAAATGCAAAAGAAACTTATGAAGATCTTAAAATTGAAAATGACAAAGAAAGGGATGCTTAAATAAAGTAATACATTAATCAGCATTGCCTTCTCATACAGATGCAACTATTATTAATGATATTTCAGGAACATAGTTTGATATTTCAGGAATCTAACAAGGAAAATACTTTCTTTAATATGCACAAAAAATGGAAGAAAAAGTTATAAAAAAAGATCACAATTAAAGTAATCAACAATAAAACTTATTTTTTAAAAAGAATTTTTTTAATTTTATTCCTGTTTAAATTTTTTTTCTTTATTTAATTTTACTTTTGCATAAACATAATTCGTATATGAAGTATAGTGTCTTTCATGGCTTGGAACTTACTCCTATTATCTATCAGTGATTCAGAATCTACTTTAATGTAATGACCTTGAGAGTTTTAGAGTTAGAAAAGCCAATGAATGGTCGGAGAGCATGGTGCTGATAATGACTAATTACTAATACTATTGAAGATACAATGTCTCAGTAGTTAAGGCACTGAACCGCTGTCATTGTGTAGAACTGGGGATCGATCCCAGGTTTGAAGCCCACCAAGCTTCGAATGGAAGGGCCAAGTTTGTTTGAGGAGTAAAGGTGGTTTGTGCTCTGTGCTGACCACATTGCCACAATCAATGGTTTATTTATTACTACCACCTATTTCTTTGACTGAAAATGTGATAGTGTAGAGTTAACATGTGTTAGTGCTGTCTTTAGATCATCACTATGGGTGTATATCTGACACATATCTATCTGATCGTTACCAAAAGGTAACAAATGTAGCTCTAAATTAATATTACAGGGTTCCCACAAAATATTTAAAAAAAATGTGATTCAATAAGGAATTTAAATTAGAATAGCTATGTGTGATAGATAAACCACTTTGATGAGAATTGTGAGCGGTAATTCTTAAATCCCTTTTATGCTACTTGTGATGCATGAATTTTAAATCCTTCTAACATGAATCCAATGTATGATTCGTAAATCACTTAAATGAGAATTGCGATGCATGATTTAGAAAACACTTAAATAAGTATCATTTTGTATTCTTCAGAAAGCATTTTAAGGCCAATCCTGATTACTTTCACTTTTATAAATGAGATCGTTGGCACGCAATTTATAAATCTCATTCATGTGAATCATGATGTTTGATTCATAATTCATGGAATCTGAAGAACTAAATTTCATCGATTAGCCATAAAAACTAAATGTAAAAATCTGAGCATAAAGATAAAAAAATTATTGATCCATATTAAAAAAATTAATTATCTAGTATTAAGGATGTTAAAAATATTTATCTGTCATAATAATAAAGTTAACACAATGAGTATATTTACACTGCATATCAAGTGCAAACTAAAACTATGTACAAAAACGAAAATTATTTGCCAGAGATTCCGACTTTCTTAACATTAAGGTGAACAATAATCAGGCGAGAAAAACGTAGGATGGAAAAATTATGTATTACATTTCTCTTTGAAGAATTTACTAAATGGAGCTTTTTGAAAATCGCTATCAGAATTTACCAGACTTCTGGTATTGACAAAGAAAAAAATATCGGAATTTCAGTTAGTCCCTTCTATTCTCTTCAATCGAAATAAAACTTCAAAATAAAACTTCTAATTGAAATAAAACATTACACGTTAGCAAATAAAAAAAAAATTCAAAAGCCATACATGTTTTAAAAATTCATGCATGCTGTACCTGGTTAAAAATGGCTAATATTAGGTATGTTTTTGTTCAATGTTTCCTTTTCACTATTGCTCTTCCCACACCCTACTTGAACTTTGTAATCCAATCTCAGGAAAGGGGTAAATCAGGATAAGAGTCTTTTTCTAAATTTTAATCAGACTCCCACTAAGCTAACCTGGAACTATTCTTTAGTAAAGAAAACAGTGAAAAGATGGCGAAGGATTAAAATTTCTATAATTTCGCTTGAAGTTTCGTATTTTTCCCATGATCTTGAGTAAGATATTATTATCATTTTGAAAATTACTCCCAGAAGATCAAAAACTTTTCAAGGACCCTATCACAGAATTCAAGGACTTTTCAGGACCCTGATTTTTTCCATCAAAATTCAAGGACTTTCAAGATTTTTCAAGTAATCTTCGAACTATGTATTAACATTTAAATTAATTTGACTTAAAACCCTAGTTTTATAAATTTTTTTGATACTTTGTATCTAAACAAATAATATATGCATATTTACCAGCATTTTCACTGTGGTTGTGAATAGATTCATTAGAAAATAAAGTCTTAAATGAATCTGCAAGTTGTGGACTAGAATGACTAGAAATCAATTTGATAAGACTTTCATAAGGTGCTTTTTCTATATCTTTCTCATCATCTTTAGAAAAGTCGGAAGAATACCATTCTATTAATTTAGGTAGTGAAACCTGAAAAAAAAAACAAAAAAACAATGGTTCTTAAAAATAGTTTTCACAGCAAAAATAACTATAAAAATAGCAATGATAAAGAAAAAATAATAACTATAAAAATAATATTCATAGTAAATGCTTCATTACAAAAACTGCAATACAAATAGTTAAAACTTATTAATACAGAGATTCTAAATCGGAAAATAATATAACTCATAAAATATATGTAGAATATTATAACAAGATGATTAAAACTTTTATTTTTTTATATTATAAATAGGAATTTTAAGTAATGAAAATTAAAAACAAAATATTAAACAGTAAAAGTAACAAATTTACCACAAATAAAAAATTACCACAAATAAAAAAAAGTTAGTTTAATAAGCTATAAGCAATCTAGGTTAAACAAAATTTTTTTGTTAAGTTTAATAAAAAAAAAATCAATGAGAATATTTTCCCTTTCTTTTAAATTTAAATAAAGTAAACCACTTTAGCTGAACAATATTTAGCGAGGTTGTATAGCTTTATTGAAAAGTTTAACTTACAATTTCTTTTTGCAAATCAACTTTTATAGAGTAATCAAAGTAATCTTTCATTGCTTCCTCCAGTTCTTCATCAATTATTTCACTATGAAGAGCCTAGCATCAAGTAAAACAACCACTTAAAATAAAGTATTACATTTTAAAAACAATTTGTATTACACACTATACATAACATAAACTATATTTTAAAAACAGAGTTTGTTTGACTTATTAAAAATATAATACAGTACAGAACCCATTATCTGGAAATCAGAAAACCAAAAAACCGGAAAGAAATTCGATGAATTTTCCCGCCATTTAAAGAAAAAAAAATTTTTTTTTTCCTCATAAGATTTTAGGATTTTTCTTTCTTTTTTGAAAGATTTTTACCTTACCATCATTTTGGAAATAATCATTAGTATATTACTTCATCGTTTTTTTCTTCTTTTTAAGATTATTTTCCAACTTTTTTTTTTAGTTGGGTTTAACAATAAAAAAAATGGCTTTTTGTAGTGATTCAAAAAACCGGAAAAATCAGTTATCCGGAATAGCGATGGTCCCGATCATTCCGGATAATCAGTTCCCTACTGTACAAAGAACATATAAATACTAAAGAAATAATAAAAAAAGTGGAATTTAAAAATATTTTACTGGTTTCTATTCCATGAATTTTCCTTTTTCTTATAATTATCTAGTCAACTTTCATGAAATATAAGTAAAATTTGCATGCTTCAGTTCAACTGCTGAAAATTAAAAAAAAGAAGGAAAAAATATACAGAAATGGATACATAATTATTTTTAATTTTAAATATACAATATACTCTCGATATCTTGAAAACCAGGTTTTTTGTATTTAGACTTATAGTCAATTATCATAACTTACATATATATAAATAGTTATTTCTCTGTTTCATGACTCTGATTTTTAGAGCAATATTTTAAAATATATTCTTCTGCTTTTTAGAACATATTTCGTTCTGAACTTTTTATCTTGAAATTTTTTAGAGACCCTTCAACTTTGAGAGTATACTGTGGTTTAATCATAAAAATTCGCTTCATCGAAATATTTTAGTTAAAAATTTTGTAAGCTATAAATTTTCTTTTAATTTATAGTCTCAACAACAAACATGTCTGATGGTTTGTTGTAATTAAAAAAAAATTGTAACAAGTTAGAACCCGTGAGCTCTAAATGCAACCTAAAAGCTATGTTATTCCTTTGTTATTTAAGAAGAAAATTGAGAAAAATTAAGTTGATAAAATTAGCCTGAAACAAAAATAGTAAAGTAGAAAATAGAATATTACTTTCAATTTTGGAGAATACATTAAGCCATCTATGAGAACAAAGATTAGTCTTGTTTCTAAAGGAGGTATATATTTCTCCCACTCAGGCTTAGGGTCACCTAGGAAAAATATCAATTGAAATTTAAAAAAAAAAATTAAAAAAATACATCATATATAAAAATATAAGTCTAATGAAATAAACTTATTATTATAGAAATTCTTAAAGTACAGTAGACAAGCATTTTATTTTTAACATCCTTTTAAAAATGCTAGTTAAGAAAAACAATGCTAGTTGACAGTTCAAAAAAAGCTTCTATAATCTAACCCTTTGTTGATTTAATGGATGTATTTTCAATTAATAAATTCTTAGATTGTAACAAATGGGTAAAGCTGGAAAATATCAGAAAATTAAATAAAACATACAATAGTTTTTAAACATGTAATTTGAAGAGTAAAAAATTACTTTTTGGAGGTTAAAATATATAACAAAATTAAATAGAAAATTAAAGAAATTTTTTTAAAGTAGACGAATGACAGAAACATTTGATCAAAAAATAAATAAATAAAATTAGTATAAAGTTTCATAAGAATAAAAGAAAATATTCATATTAATAAAAATTCATTCATCTTAATATGAAATTGTAATTATGATTTATATATAGAATTTTTTCATTAATGACTTTAACTAGATATTTTTATTATGCATGAAAAAATTGACTCCCTTTTATTATAAGTTATTATTTATAAACTGGAAAAAAATGTAAGGTCATGAAAGGAAATTATATAAAGTATAACAATTATTTCAAATCAGCAATGAAAATATGTATAAGTTTTTTGAATAAAAATAAGATACCTAATAAATGATAAAATGGTGGATTTTCCAGATGCTTTGGGTTGGGCAATTGAGCATGAAGTAATTGATATCGCATATCAAATAGGCTTAAAAAAAGATAAATTAAAATAATTAACAAGTAAATATTATAACATTTTAAAAAGCTAAAATTAACAAGTAAATATTACAAAATTTTAAAAATCAAAAATCAACAATCCAGTGACACTTATTTACTACAGCAATGCAGATGAAGGAATAACGTTTAATATGTACAACTAAGAAAAATGTGGACAATCAGGATTTTTACATAGTGGATTTTCACATTAAATAATTTTGATTAAACATTCAATATACCAGGACATAAGAGAAATAAATTAACCATACATATAAACCAATTCTTTTAATAATATTAATGATCATAAATGCTAAAATTTTTGTAATTATTATTAAAATTTAAAAGCATTAAAATTCTGATTAATGTTTCAATTTATGTCCCACCTACTTGAGATTTGATTACAGAGGACATTACTAAAGAAATGTAAATGACCCTAAAAGAAACTCATTTTTTTGTTTGTTTGTAGAAAGGCCACATAAAATAAAACGTGACATGATTTAATCTTCTTTTTCACACACATAGCAGCTTTTTGAAAGCCTTGGCTGTGCAGTGTAACTACCATTACTAAAATACAATTCCAATTCACTAGTATGTAAGACATGCTATATCGATTCTATCTCATCTCAGTTAACTCAATTCCTATTGACATTGTCGACATTACCCCCCCCCCACATTGGTGATTCGCATGCAATAAGAACTCGCCGACCTCTAAAATAAATCTGCTTCCATTTGAACATGTCTACTTCAATGGATGATCTATATTGAACAGTTGACTAGCTATTTGTGATTGCGACATTGCCCTCCTTGCACAGTTGCGACTCAGACTTGATCACACACCACTGAAGCTTGTGCACGCTCGACTGCTATTGGCAACACAGGAGCACCCACGACTGTGAACTTAATATAGCTCTCACAATCAGCACTCAAAGTCAGGTAATCTTAATGCAGATCTCTTGGCTTCTCCCAAAACAGTAATGTATCAACTAGTGGTATTGGTTCATGGAATTCTACCCCAGACAAAATTCTGGTGGGGGAGTAATGTAGCATAACTGCCACTACAATAATACAATTCCAATTCATTAGTATAGAAGACACAATAACTTGATTCTATCTTGGCGTATTTTTTGATAGATGAAGGTTGACTTAGACATATTACTCTCCTTCTCAGCCGTTTGTACCACATGCTTTTTCTAGTGTTTTCTATCTGCAACAATACCTCTCTAATTTTTAAAGTCTTCTGGTCTTTCTGATGTCAGTTGATGGTCTTCCTCTAGTAGAAGATCCTTAAAGTTTTTGAATGTTAAGATTTTAGTGGGATCATCTTCCAAACTTCCTTAAACGTGGCTCAGTCATAAGCTTTAATAGTAAATATATTTACTTTTATTAAAGAGAATTCAGAAATTTTAAGTGAATTTAAAAGATTGATTGAATTAGTTTTAGCTTTTCCTATACTTAATTTCAACTACAATACCCAAAACTAATTTTATTTTAATCCACATTTTTTTTCTAAATAAGAGTAAAGCTGAGGTTTATAGAAACTTACGGTAATTTTATATGCATGCAAATGTTTCTTTTCCATCAAAAAATATATGTAATGAAATATACTTTTGTATTATTATTATAAATTTCTAAAATATATTTTATACACTAAGATAATATGGAATCAGCAGGGATATTGCACTGGTCAGAATAGAAATAAATAGAGTAGCATTACAAAAAATTCTACAAACGCAAAATTTTTTTTATAAAAAAAAATGGATATTTTAAATAGTTATTGATGTGAGGTTAATGGAACAGTTATTTTCAAAGCAAATCAAAGAAAATTGAGTGCAAATTAAATTTTAAAATCATATGCAGCAGGTAGTAAAACTTAAGTTTTCAGTAGTTTTGAAATTTGTTTAATAAGCATATGATTAATAATGACTTATAAATAATTCTTGATACAAATATAGACATATAAAATGTTATCTCAATACACAGCACAATTAGACAATTGCCAGACTTCAGTCTGCAGAAAATTGTAAGAAATAATACAAAACTAGCATTTACCTCACTGGTCCTAGTTGCCCAATAGAGTAACCCAACACTTTCTGTGTTGTCAAACGTTCTAATAAATTTGGAGAGAGCAACTGCAAATATGAGTTTTTTATAGTATTTTGAAAATTTGATCTTGAATAATCCATTAAATTATCATTTTCTTTTTCCTGAAATAACAAAACTTTGACATTAAAGAAAAAAAATTTCTGCAAACAAAAGTACTTAAACCAAGCATCATTAAATTAAAATACATTTCATCTTTCATGCCATTATAGTATATCAATTAGTTAAAAAATAATAATTAAAAATAATATACATTAAATGGTGGAGAAAGTACAGTTAAAAATAAACAGAATTTTTTTAGTTGATTTTTATCCTTTGAAAAATAAATGCATATAGTTATGATGGCAAAATATTATCAATTAAAAAATTTTGTTAAAAAAACAACAAAAATAAGTCAATAAGAATTTTTAAGTGCTGAAAATATTAACCCCCAAAAAAAAAACGTAAATTTAAATTCAAATAAAGATGAAAAAGAAAAGACTTATTGTTCAAGAGCAACACTCAGCATCACTTGATAATCTTAGGAGGTATCCATATGATTTCTATAATCATTTTTCTAACAAATGAACAAATTTAATTGAATCCAACAGAAAATAGATAAGTTCAAAATTAATTACAATAAACATATAGTTATCACAAGAAGATATATCTCGCAGTGTTCTCCCCAAGCGTTATTAGAAGACAGACTGCTCTGCTTGCTCTTTGATCCCTACAAATGTGTCCTCTTTGCTATTTTCGTAAAAATAAGCTGCCCTCCCTTAAGAGCACTGAATTTTTATTCCATTTTGAAAGAAAAAAAATGAATTCACTGTTTAAATAATAATTACACACTGGTAAAATTATCTGTGTCTATAGGTTTAATTCTGATTACTATTACAAACATTTACTTTGTTAGAATTATTCTCAACTGGCTAAATTTTTAATAACTTAAAAATTATTTCTTAAATAAATCTTTTTTTTTTTTTAAATGCACCTTTTAAAATTTTATTGTCTTACAAATTTCAGTTTAAATTATAGAATTTTTTTTTAATGAAAATAAGCATTAAAGAAAACCATGAAAAAAATTAAGAATCCCAAAACCTGCATAATACACATACATATTGAAAGTTGCACATACACAGAATTGAAAACTAAATATATACGCACACAACCTATAAAGTACAAAACATTAAATATTTAAAATGTATTAATAGAAATATACCTGTCAAACAAATAGCTACATAAAAAAAATATTGCCTGCTTTTTTTTAAAGATTAGTTGAGATATGCATATAATCATTATATGCATATATCTATAAAGATATATGTATATGGTATAGATAAAATAATGATTATAAAAAAGTATAAAACATTCCATACTTAAAAAGTATTTATAGAAATATATCTGTTTAACAAAACGCTACACAAAAAAATATTGCTCGCTTTTTTTAAAACTTGAAAAAATGATCTATATCGGATATATAAATTATAAATTCATACGATGTATGTTTAAAAGTAGAGCCATACAGCTTACCAGAAAAACTGAAAATTCTCAAAAACCTCCTTTTCTTGTATGGGAAGTAACCCTGCTATAGGAAATAGTCGTTTTTGCGAAGGCACCTCAATTTCACTATTGCAGTGATGAACTGCAATAGTGAAATTGAGGTGATTACATCATAGAGGGAAAAATATTAATTCAAAAGAAGAAAAAAAAAGTTAGACTGAAGTATGTTAGAGGAACTTACAGATTACCAATTCCAGGTAAAACAACTACTCTCTGCCTCAGCAGAATATACTATAAATTACTTTTTGAATGCATATTGTACACTACACAGATTATTTTAGAACAATATTATATTTGGTTTCAAAAGGCTCTTTCTACCCAATGATATTACAATGTTTCAAAGTAAAATTTTTTATTCTATAATTACCTGAATATGCCAAGACATTATTTCCAATAATATAGCATGAATCCAAGCAATATTGGTAACATTGGAAAAAAAAGCTAACTTTTCTTCTCTAGTTTTCAATAAAGTTAAATCGACAAAGCATAGCTCAGAACAATCTTCCATCCAGTGTACCATTTCTGAATGCTCAACTAAAGAAACCAATTCTTTTCGTGTGAATATACCACAAGAGTCATTCGCCATAGCAGTATCTAAACGGTAACAAGATTAATATTTTTTAACTATAGATAAAGAAGATGTTGAACAAAAGAATTACAGTAATAAAAATAGCAAGAAAATATAATGATAAAATAAGGAAAGCTTTGGAAATGGTGAAAACACCGTAATTGATGGAAAAATACTTAACTGGTGAAAAATTGAATAAATTAGTCTGAAAATAGTACAAGAATCATACAACATTGCAGAATTTAGATGGTAACATAATTAATATTTTTTAATAATAGATAAAGAGTATAGATAAAGGTAGAGCAAAAGAATCACAGTAATTAAAAAAATAGCAGACAATATAATGATAAAATATTTAAAGCTTTGATATTGATGAAAATACCACAATTGGTATAAAAATACTGAGTTAGTGTAAAAAAGAATTAATTGGTCTAAAAATACCACAAGAATCATTTGCCATTGCAGTATCTAGATGGTAACAAGATTAATACACTTTTTTAACAATAGATTAAGAAATTGATGTCAAATAAAGGAATTACATTAATATGTAGAGGACACATGAAAAGAAAGAAAATTTTATAAAATTAAATATAAGTTATATTAAAAATTTTGTTTTCAAAAGCAGTTGTAATGAAAGTAAAATTTATATTTTTATCTAACCTTGAATCATAGATATCATATCTTTTAATAATTTTCTGGCAACTAAATCTGGATGCTGAGGTGAAGGCCACTCTTCTTTTTTCTTATTTAAAACTAATAAAGGATAACCTAAAAAGTGAAGAAAAAAAAACATAATCAATCTAACGTTAATTAAATAACTTCTATAATCCTTTTTTTTAAAGGGATGAAATTGATACACATTATCAATCAGTTTAATAATTTAAAAAAAATACAAACATTAAAACATTAGAAAAGAAAATGGTAAAATATTTTGAAAGAAAACATAGAGTATTTTAATTATGCTTCCTTACTATGAATATTATATTTAGTTTTGTAAGTAGAAATGTTACTTATAAAAAGCAAAAAACCATCAATGATATATATGAGCATATAATTAGTACATTTATATCAGGATGCAACATTTCCACCTGGCAGTTGGCTAATGGTCATCAGCTCGAGAGTGACTTTTGTCTACTAAAATGCTGTGTAGCAAATTAAACTACCATATCTTTCACAGGAATTGCAATAATTGGGGATGCATATGTATAAAAATTTTAAGACCAAGAGAATTTAAATTTGCTCAGAATTTTTATAAATGGACCCATTAACAGAATTTGACCTTAGGACAGCGACCGAAAAATGGTATTTTAAAGCCAAAACATGACACAAACATGAAGTGTTAAAAGTATGGAAACAATTTGGAAAGTTTTCTTATTTTAATGAAATGTGGATAATATTGGAACGACTGAAACCTTAAGGCAACCTTATTTTAAGTAACATTAATGTTATATTTTTTGCAATGAACATGATTCAGTTCTTTTAGTTTCTAAATTTGTTCCTGTTTATTACTTGTCATTTCTATAATTTCAGTTATCACATCAGTTAACATTTCAAAAATTGTTCATTTATTTTGTGAAAATAGAGGTGAGCTAACATTTTAGTCTGGCTAGTACCTTCGGAACTGAAATTTTATGACCTAATTTTTATTATGTGAGCACAATCTTGTGCTTCAACAGGCAAAACTTATATAAATAGAGTAGAGCTGTGGTTGTGCAGGATATAGAATGTTCAGCTCCCAATGAGGTAACACGGGTTCAAATCCCAATGGTGGCTGGTTGACACAAATTCTACTTACAACGCACCAACTACAGAGCTGATATAAAATATCCTCAGTGGTAGACTGATCATGAATTAGAATTCCCTTGCCGTCGGAAAACGATGGGAGATTTTCATGGGTTTCCTCTCCATGTAACGCAAATGCAGGTTAGTTTCACTAAAAAGTTTTCCACACAGGCCAGTTTGCCCCAATTCTTGATCTATGTAGGTTCACAATTATAAGGCTATAGTAAGACATTGATAGTTGTAAACTCAGAATTGGGTTGACTGTTTATCGACAGTTATAAAATAAAATAAAGTAGAGTCATGATGGCTCTGGGGACAGAGTGTTTGCATCCCAATGAGGTCACCAGGTTCAAATCTCAGACGCGGCTGGTTGAAATGAATTTTTCTCCCAGCTCCCACCGACCATAATGCTGACCATGGGTTAGAATTCGCTAGCAATTGGGCAAACTGTAAGAGATATTCGGGGTTTTCCTCTCCATGTAATGCAAATTAGTTCCTCCATGATTACTAGTTTGTCACAATGTATGATTCAGGAGTTCCCTTGTATTCTGTGTTGAGTTCAAAATTACAAGGCTACGAATTTAACACTAATAGTTATAAACTCACAATTGGGGCGACTGTTCAATGATGGTTATAAAATAAAATAAAATAAATGTAGTAACACGGAAAAAAAAATAAAATACATGACATGAGATATTAAATTAAAATAGTAAACTATAAATTGAAGCTATATTTGAAAAAAAAATCAAAAGCAATAACATAAAAATCTTTAATCTGAAATCTTACTTATTTGTAAGTGAGAAATTAAATCTTACCATTACGATTAACATAACAAGAAGGTGACATCAAAACATCTGATGAAGCATTCTTGTTTAAGAGAGGTACATGGGGAAGACAAGCTTGAGCAAGAACATGGACAAGGTCTACTTTCATTCTAATAGCGAATTTCTCAATTCTAAAGACAGATACAGAGAATTAATAAACTCAGATTTTAAATTCGCTTAATAAGAACTATATTTGCATGTAAAAAAATGAATAAATGTTAAATGATTGGCTATTAGCATATTATAAAAAATACATCAGAAAAAAAGTTTTGATAGGAACTTTAGATAGAATTCAATGGCACAATAACTGAAAGCATCTATGTTTTATTGCGAAAAATGCAAAGTAAAAAGAATTCCTTATTATGATTTAAAAAAATACCAAAGAATATGTCTGTGTGTTGGTTTATAAAATCAGAAGAGGAAAATAATTTTTGTTTCTGAAAAATCTGCCTACGTTTAAGTGACATTGAGGAGAAAGCATGTGTGGATATAGACCAAATTACATGGAGTGACCAACATAGGAACTAAACTAAACATTATTAGCTAATTGACCATGACATTTTTTATGTGAAATTTAAAAAGCAATTTAACATATCAAAAGCTGTTTTAGAGCATGTGAAGCCCAAATATACTAAAATAGTATTCTCAGCAAAATTTATACCTTCATAAAAAAGGACATAGATGTTTGGCATGGTTTCTGAATATAAAATATTGACAAATGTTTTAATTTAAAAATAAAAATAGTTATAAATGCAGGATAAAAAGAAAAAAAATGAAAACTCCAAGCCGATTGAAGGTCTTGAGAGTAAAAGTGATATTTTAAAGATAAACAGACAGAAATGTCTGTTTATCTCTAAAACTAAGTGGCTTTTAAAGAAAGTATATTTGTATTGTGTTGCCATCTCTCAACAGAAATTTGTACTACTTTAGCAGACTGAACACTCTAGTTAGATTGAATTATTTAGAATAGGGAAGTTGAAATTTTTATAAGCTCACTTTTTAGCACTCAAATTATTCAATATATAATGATCCAACATACTTCTCGGGAGTTACTCCACTTTGCAGGATTATTTTTTTCAGCAATTCAACAGGGCTTTCTTTAAGAATGGAGAAATCAGATGTATAAATAACTGAATCTGAAATCAAAAGAGAAGAATATGAATAAATTAAGCTGCATCAATGTTGAAGTAAAATAAAACAAAGGCAAAAAGCTTTACCATTATTGCTGCTTTGCTTCTTGCAATCTAAAACAGCTGTTGTGACTTGATGTAAGTGAATTAATAGCTTGCTAAGATAATTGTCATACTTAGTTGGTTGAGGACGAATTGTTTCTGATGACCAATCCCTCAATTCTCTAAGAATCTTTGATAATTTTTTGTATGTTATATGTAGACGGTTTTCTTGACTTATGTCTTTTTGAAAAATACCACTTCTTTCTTTGATTTCCTCATCTTTCATTAAAACAATAAAATCGTGAAGGAAAGAAGCTGCTTGTTTCCAATTTATGATTTGAGATCTAAAGGCTTTACAATCAAAATTGCCAATGAAATTTGATAAAATTTGTGAAAATGAACCAGAGCTACGTCCCAAAGGCCAGAATACTTGTTTCAGATCTTCTTGCACATCTTCTTGTTGGAGAAAATGTAAAAATTCTTTAAGCATTCCATTCATCATACCAAGAGTTTTGAAGTTTCCCCTAATCAAAGGCATTTTCTTTTTTGATAACACTTTAGCATCGAGATCTTGGATGCTGTCAACTGAATTTGTCCAGCTCCTACAAGCCATATCAAACAGTATGGAAGTAAGTTCGAGAGAGGATGAGGAAATGTATCCCAAATCAGCCAGAAATATGGAGTAAATATTTTCAGATCCCAACATGAGTTCTGGATGTCTTATTCCATCAGTTATGTCTACAATTTCGGGAATTCTCAGAGTACTCAGCTCATGATGAATTATCAACCCTATTTCAGATGATTGAAGCCCAGCTGCAGCAGCATCTTCAATTGCCTGAAGATTGGAAAGAAGTGAATTACCTTCAGGTACAGATGAGTTTCTTCTATAAAAAGGAGGCTTTCTTTTAATCTTCTCATTTTCAGCTAATTTTTTTGATATTCTTCTCAATTCCTGAGTTAGAATAACTTCCTTGGCTTCATTTGAATCCTCCAAACGAAATGACTAAAATAGATGAAAAAGTAAATTCTTAACTACATCTGAGATACTTTTAAATTATAAAATCATTATAACACTTTTTAACTTTTACAAGCACACACAAATAATGCACTAATATCAAATTGCAAAGATACATATATATTTTAGTTCTTGATACAAAGCATAAAATCTGTTACAAGAAATATTTTTAATTTTATATTTCAACAACTATACACATAGATATAAAGCAGTATAGTTTTGTAAAAATTAACAAAGATAATGTAAACTAACAAGCAATGAATGCAGGAATTATTAATTGAATAAATTATTAAATCAGACGGAAAGGGGGGGTGGCGGTAAAGTGGATATCTTGAATAACTTTTTTATGAATATATTAAATCTCCACAGTAAGATATTGCAAATTAACAATACTGGTGTACACTTCCATGTGCAATTGCATAAGCACACTATGAATACTTTAGTAGATATTTGAAAAAGGTGCAGAAGTAATTATATCTTTACTCTATAATATGTCATAAATGATAATGCTTTTTTACCTATTTCAATATTAACTTTTGCTCTGTATAGTTTCGATTAATCAGCATTAGGCCTAATTTTTTTTAAAGAAAATAAAAAATATTTATAAAATGAACCAAATTTAATAATGATTTTCAAATGAATTGATTTGCATTCAAAATGTCTTTCTTAGTATCAGACTTCAATAAAATGAAAAACTTTCTGCAAACACAAAACTTCAATAAAAAAAACTTTCTGCACACATTGATTTACTCTTGTAACTAGTTTCAACGTTTTCGTTGCCACATCATCATTTTGGAAAAATTTATTTAAAAATCACAGATTTTTTAGAAATGATTAAGTTTTATAGAACTCAATATTGATTCCTGCCACAGGGATGAGTTTAATAAAAAAAAAGTTAAAAAATAGAAATCCAAAAATACTATGTACAATAACTCTTTTTAAATAATTGAAAAAATACCTGAAATTTGAACAAGGAAAAAGTATATAGGAAGCATTTATACATTTATCTACGTTTTAATAAAAGTATCAATATGAGTACTTTACTTATTTAAATTGTGTTTATATGAACCTCAATGTGTGATTTTTAAACCGCACAAACACATATCTCCAAATTTAATTTTAAAATTGCATGAATACAAATTCCGATACATAATTTTTAAGTCACTAAAAAAAAACACAAATTATAATAGTGACATTCAAATCACGTGAAAATGAAACGCTATATTTGGTATAAAATAGTAAAAATACAAAACAAGAATACGTGATTTTAAATTGCGTAAATATAAATTACAATGTGTGATTTTAAATCTTGTGAATTCTTGTTTACATGAGCAGGAAAAAGTATAAAAATGAATCTTTTTTTTTTCTTTGGGAATTCGAAAAAGACAAACTTTCCTTGAAGAAGCAGATTATTTTTGTTGTTAATAAAAAAAAAAATTCCTGTGACGGTGACAAATTTTCCGCAAACGATTCTCGCGTATTTGTATATATTACACGGGTCTGTTAAGTAAAGTGAAATGCCCTATTACAAATTAGTGTCGTAATTAATATATGTCAATATTCATTCTTCAAAGAGGCTTATATCGAAATTTATTTTACTTTGGCTTTAAATATACCTCTTTGAGTTGTAATAAATGATACACATAGTTGATAATAGAAGTTACACAGGGGAAATGGAGACAAAAGCAACTTCTTTAAAAATATTTTTCATAGAAAAACTAAGCAACTTTTCAAGTCCAGATTTAAAAAGGAATGCAGTAAAGCATCCAAATTATTATTAAAAAAACACTTCATGGGTCAAAAATTATATTTTAATATGTTTTTTTTTAAAAAAACAAATTTAAAAAAATTTCCACATTATCTCTCCTTATCACAATACATATATATTCTCCCAGAGCAGTAAGCATTGAGATAATTTTACGCGAAATTTTCCCATTTCATCAACTAACATGTAGAGAAAATCAGTTAGAAAGCAACTTAATAAGGAAAATTTTAAGTCAAAAGCCCTGAGGATTGAATGATAGATCATGAATAAAATTATTGCAATGTATGAATCCAATTTGAAGTTATAGTTAGGAAAACTATGCATGAAAGTAATCAATACTTTGGAAAGTTTACAAATAAACACTAATACTCGCTAAATGATTTAAATACAACATATATTAATAAATAAAAAGTTACGCACATAAAACAGTTAATTATTATGAGGAAAGCATATTTGAAAGAGAAAAAAAAAAACAGGAAAGGTGAATTTTTTTTGTTCATACATGGATAACTTGACTAGCTTGTCCCAAATTTTTGCTCCATAGAGAATAACGTAAAAGAGCCTCAGGAGATGACAGCATACATTGAATAATACTAGACTCTGCAAATGATTCTTTTTTGAGATTTGAAAAGCTTCTTTTGTGCTTTCTTTTCCTTTTATGCTTCCTTGTCTCCTTATCAGTCCCATCTAGAAATTAAGAGAATATAACATTTCTAAAGCATGAGGAATATAGATTTATTAAGAATTGCAATAGAAAATTAAAATTATTTTATAACTTCTACAAATAACTGAATCATTAAAAAAATTTTTTTTTGAAGAATGGAAATTAATATTCTTTTCTTTTTTTTAAAACTTCAATTTTTAATTGTGATGGCAGATAATTCAGAAATGGCAATAGTTATAAGCAAATTTCTACCTAAACAATTGAGCAATATATTTTCTTTTGAACACTAAAATGTAATTTTGAATGCTTTGATTTCTTTTAAAAAAATATAAAATTTAATTGACAGAAATATTCATATTTATTTTAAAGTTATTACTGTAAAAAAATTTCAGATCTCTGCCATCTTCAAGTTTATTTTTGAAGCTTTGCTAAAAATTTTAATTTCACTTAATTGTTGTCACAAACACCATTGGAAGAAGTGTGGTTATTTGTTATTATTCTTTTTAAAAAATCGAACACCATGATGTTTAAAATGTCCTGCATATTTTCTTCCAAAAAAAGTGCTCATAATTAATATAAAAAATTCATACCGTATCTGTATCACTATCTAATAAAATACTCTTTACATAAGTGGAGTAGAATCAGAATCATTAGCAAAGTTGTAGGCTTTCATGCAAAATTGAAAAAGTCTTACTGTAGATTTTTATTGGTCAAAATAGAAAATGGTTTTTAAAATAATATAAAGAAAATGAGGTGAAATCTTTTAATTATAAATAAGTAATTATGAATTATATAAAAATTTTGGGTTTAATTTCAAACCTGTAAATACTTCAAATGCAGAAGGTTATTTTATCTCTTGTTTCAATTTTATTTTAATAATTAAACATTTTCAATCACCAGGGAAGAAAATTTAGATTGATTAATGGTTGTTTATATATTTGAGTTAAGAAATTTAAAATTAAAAAAAAAAGAAGCTTGAGCTGAGATTTCTTTTCACTCTACCAATGAAACATTGCAGTTTAAAAATAATTATTTTAGAATTATTGCACTGAAAAGTTTGTAATAATTTATGTTTGAAGTAGACTAACCTGATGAAGAGGCACTTGTGGAATTAATGAGATGCTTTTTCTTTAGCAGCGAGAACACCCCATAGCGTTCCCGAAATATTTCTGATTTCACAACTTCATAACGCCAAATTGCTTCGTTTATGTACTGTAAAAGCTTTGAGATTCTTTCTGGAAGTTCGGAATTGGAAATAGACAAAAATGAATTTGTTTTGGTGAGAGAAGGCATATTTTCGGAAGTTGGAGACACTAAAGGACTCTAAAATTAAAACATTTTTACTATCATTATTTTTAATAATAAGTTATTGTTATTGTGTTTGCTATACATTTTTGTCATGCATAAAAAATTTAATTTAAAATAACTTCATACATTCTATCATCCGTTCAGAATGGAAAAATGCGCAAAAACCTGCATTTCTTAAAGAATAAAAACTGAACAATTTTTGAGAAAAACTGAAGGTGGTACTTAAGTTGTCAAGGAAAGTTAAGAGATTGTATTATTCTTAGCTTAAAAATAACTCTTAATTCTAACAATTAAAAGAAAAATTTTAAAAGTGCTTTTAAATATAATAAATCAAATTCTTAAAACAAAGACCAGTTAAAGTTTTCAAAATTTTGATATGCATTAAACTAAAGAAAAAATCAATTTCAGATTAATAGCTATATCAGAAATTTGAAGGGAAAAAAATTTTTTTTTTTTAGAAATTAGGCAGGCCAGAAATTTAATGTATTACTCATCCTAATCCAGATCTTATTAAATAAAACATAACAGCAGAAAAATAAATGAAATATAGCGAATAAAAAAAAAGTTTAGAAGTAGAAGTTGCATTTGCAATAAGAACAATCGAAAAAATTAATTCCGAAGTATCAATCAAAGAAAAAGATGTTTTTACCCGAGTAATAGTGCTTATTAAAATGAAGAAAGATCACAATATTTTCATGAAGAAAAAAAATTCATTATGTTTCTGACTCATTAGAAATTTTGTAGAATATTGGGTTTTTTAATGGCTCAAGGTCTAAACACGATACCAAAAGAAATTTTTATTCTAAAATGTTAATTGCAGATGCAATATGAACAAAAAGAAAAGTTATGTTTTCAACAAAAATAAAAGAATGAAATTCAAACAGAATCATTATTGTATAATTTTATTAGATTCATATAACACTTACTTTCTGTAAGGATGTATCAGTTTGTCCAATGATTTTATAAGCTTCAGCATTGGCTTCAAGAACAGAATCTTTTAGTAAAAACAATAAATCCCTAGTAATTAATTCATTGCATAGAAAGGTATATGGTTGTATATTACAAGAGCTATTGCTTTCTGTGCTCTTTGAGCTCTGATGTCCTGACAAAAAATCTTTTTTAAGGTCTATCGGATCTTTCAGTTTTACAGTACTGATAACAAATCTGCCAGAAAACCTTTTCTCACTTTCAGAAGATTGACTAGTTTCTTGTGTTGACGGTACATGCTCATTTTGAGAAAAGGGGACAGAATAATCTCCCTCGTGACCTTGATCTGAATCGGAACAATGGTCGATGGGATTTATTAAAATGTCTGACATCACAAAAAGTAAAGAAAAAATGTCTTCCAAAATTTCAACACGGAAAGCAACTGGAAATATTTGCTTGATTTCGCTCCTTAAGAAAGAAAGTTTGGTAGTCACAAATTTAGCATATGCACAGGCAGGGTTGTGGCTTTTGAGATATTCTTCAAGAGATTCTAAAGATATTTGATCATCACATGGTTTATTATAATTGATACATTCTTGGACATTAGAAAATTCTGAAAAAGTGTTTTTCTTGCGAGAGAGCAATTCTTTATATTCACAACTGAGATGTATAGCCTCCATAGCATAATTTATAGCTTGATATCCAGAATAAATAGCTTTGTCGGTAAGAATGGAGAAACCTTTAGATACTGAATCATTCCCTATAAATATATGATTTCATTTAATAAATAGATAAATACTAGCATTATACTACTAAACATATTTAATTATATTAGAGTAAAAATATTGAAATGATCAAATTTCTTCATTTTTCTGCAATTGAATTACTTAGAATGGAGTTTATTAAGGATACTTTTACAATTTACACGAATAAATAGACATTCTTAAAACTGTTATTTTCTAATTATTTTTATTTAGAAAATCTACAAGTAAAAAGTTGTATGTTAAGAAGTATAAAACTTAAAAATTTATAGTGAAATAATAATTATACAGTCATTTATTGGTAATTTAATAATAATAAAAAAGGACAAATGAAACTAAAGCTTGGAAAATTCTATTTTTCAATTGTTTTAATATTTTTACACAGCATAAAAAAATAATTTAAGTTGATATTTCTAGTGAAACAATTTGATAATATGATCACTATTTATAGAACTTGCTTTTTTATTATTAAAATTTAAATTTTAAAAGGGGAAAAAAACTGGAATAATAAAACAACTGCACTAAATCAAGTCAGAACCAAGGAATCGTAATGTCACATATTAGATATTTTTTCTGGTATAAAAAAGTGTTTAATTGCTTGGTTCATATATTTTTAAATATAAAGACAATTATAGGATAAATTGTGAAGATATTCCAAAATATAAAAATTATATGCTCTCAATAATTTGTAAATTTAAATTTTACATTTCAATTTAAAATTAATATTTATACAAATCATTATTTAATATTTATACAAACTATTTATTGTTAATCAAGTACAATATCTTAATATTTATTCTAAAATTTAAATACTAACTTCAACTCAAATTGCTTTTAATTTAAGTTTACATCTCATTAGTTAAAAGACTCATAAAATAACTAGAGGAGAAACTAAATTTTATTTAGGTAATTAGCTACAAAAAAATTTAAAATATTCTTGGTCAAAACAAAAATGTGAATACATAATTATAATTTGAAAATCTAAATGCCGTTATTTTCTACTGAAATGTTTGCAGGAGGAAAATATTCAGTTTTGAGTTTCAATGAGCTAGCGACTAAAGCACTGAGCTGTCGACAACATGAGGAAAGTTATCATTCAGATAAGCAGCCATATAAAATATTTTATATCAAATGTTTAGGATAAACAAACACATTTTTTTTGTGCATAAAATATGAATTTAGAGTTCAAATATATTTTAAACATTAATAGAAATAGGTGTAAAAATGCTAAGTAAAGATTAAAAGGAAGAATATCAGAATTTTTATATAAATAGTAAATTGAAACCTTCATTTAAATCCAGAAGTTTCAAAACATTTTCATTTGATAAGCTTTTCAAACCAAAAGTGACATGAATCACACGCAAAGGAGACTGATTCTGCAAATTAGACAATATATTTCTAGTCTTGCTATGCATTTCAGAAGGGGAAGCATTAGGGTATATTTCTCTGAAAAATAAATAAAAAAAACTACCTTTAGTAATAATAAATAGTAATAAATAATAGTAATAATATTAACAGCAATAATAATAGTAATAATAATAAATAATAGTAATAACTAATAAAAGGAAATACTTACTGGTAGAAATTCTGGCATAATTCAGTAAAAGTAATGTTTGACTTAAACTGCTTGAAAACTTGGGATAAAAGAGCATCTGATGGTGGCTTTAGGGAAAAAAAGGGGATTTTTTTTAAAACACAATAAATAATTAAACTATGCTATAGCTTTGTTCAACTTTGAATAGGTTTAAAGGGAATAAAATAAAACATTAAGTTAAAAATAGGTAGTACATATTTAAAAGACCAACTATAAAGCGAACTGCATTTTTAACCCTATAAGCGTTGAGCACCTGGATAAAATTGTACAGAATATTTCCTGTTAAGCATTATTATCCCATGCAATAACATGGAGAAACTTTTTTTTGGATGCAGGAAAGCCTACATCTCAAAGTTCGGAAAAATTTGGGACTAACGCTTGGAGAGTTAAAGTGAAAATTGTTTCAAAACTATTAACTTTCAATAATGACAAAAACTGCATTTTTTTAAAACAATTCTTTTTTACATGCATTTGTACAACAGCTGGTCAAATGAAGTTGAAGAATTAGTTGAAAAAAGTTACAGTTATTCAGCTATAATTACACTGAGTCCATTAGACATGGCAAAGATAAGTTACCGAAACAGTTGCTTTTCATTTTAGTGGAGCAGCAGTTAGTTGTTAAAAAAAAGTAATTTAATTTAATGCTTAACCTTTACTGCGAAAAAAAATTTAGAGCATCAATACATAATAACGAAATATTTATCTTTGATCGTTTACAATTTTGTGGGTAATTAAGTATCAAAGCATATTTATTGAGAAAATTTATATTTATTTCCATCCATTTGAAATATATTCATAGTATAGCATTTCTAAAACATTTTTATAGTAATAATGTCTAATGACCTTAATTTCTATATAAGAGAACATTCAAATCATCCATTTCTTATTTCATTTCATCAGTCATAGATATCGGGGGACTTTGTTATAAAACAATGACAATTTTTTAAAAAAATGATCGGAAGTCATCTTAAATTTATGATTATGTGTTATGGATAGTTTTCCCTTCTAGCTACCATACAAATAAAAGTTATGCAAGGGCAATTTCTAACATAATTGTATGTGCTTTTTCATCATAAAAATTTTCCTGAGAAAATTATTGTGTTTTGCACCGACACTATCAAAAGAGTGGAAATTTTTCTATATTATGTTTTTTACTGCATAAAAACTTTTAAAATGTGGCTTGTTTTTTTCTCTCCCTACAATAAGCCTTGTGTATGTTGAATGAGATAATTCAACTGAATAATAATAATTTTTTTGTAACACAAGGTTCAATAACCTTTGCACTAAAGCATGTTTTGCATCAATTTCAGCCATAGTTTTGTTGATCATGAGTCTTTTATTTTATTAAAAAGATTTTTAAAAATATAATTTTAAGATAACTTTCATAAGAACTGTAAAACTTCGAATTAAAATCAATTAGAATATTGTTTTAGAAATTAAACTTTAATTTGGGATTCTCATAAGATAATTGACATTTTATTGATTGACTATACCAAAATGCACAGATCCTTTGAGATTATTCACTTAGCTACTTTTTATTGGCACCTCACTATAGTGACCTTACAGCATGTCACAAGATGCATGTTAGTGCTTCTTTTATTTATTATTATGCATTTTATATGAATTATAATTATATGAAAGGTCTGTAGTTCTTTTTCAGTACAATTTTTGCAGCATTATTACAATAAAAATTATTTAGTAAAAATACAGCAGTCACTCTGACTAAACTTCTTTTTTTTTTCTAGCTATATCAGCACAAAAATGAATCATGAAGGATGATTTTATGTATTCGATGTAAACATAATGAGCATTGACTATAATGGAGTTCAGTTTGATATTTTAAGCAACTGTTGTGTGGTGAATTTATATTTGTTGCTAGTGGTATTGGAACTGACAACTAATTAATTACTGACCAATGAAAATATAATTCAAATTGGCTATTATACCCAATGACTGTGGAAATATCTCAAGGGTGAGAGGGGGGGTTCACTATCTGTATATAGTATACATATATATTAGTATTAACCAGGTCTGAATTATCTGAACCTCACAAAATGGCAATCAAGAATTCGAACTTGCAATTTTAACTTCATGATTCAAATTCTTTTAAAATTAAACTAATTAATAAAAGAAATTGTTTAACTGCAAATTATTTATTGCTCATTTAATGATATTTTTAAAAATTTGTTTAACTGGTTTTTTTTACTGTTATGCTCGCTGTGATTTTCGAGACTAAGAATTTTTCAATTGGTCAGTAATAGGGACGCATATTTCCTCTTCGAAGCGACGAGTAACAGTTGATTTGGCAATAGTTTTCACCAAGGAAATGTTAAAGCTCGCTTGAAATAGAGACATTCATTTTTAGAATACAGACCAAAAAAAAAAAAAAAAACTTTTTCTAATTGTAAATTTAATTATACAAATATAGAGTGAAACATTATAATCTCCAATCTCCCAGTCCCTGGTTGTACCACAATATCTCACTTTACATTCAGAAATGCTTTTGCCTGTAAACTCCTGGAATGCTTCATAAAAATTATAGTACAGGGCTTGAAAGTAATGATGGTCTATTGGTCAGAAAAATTTTGAGTCGACCATCATAAAATAATTATCAGTGGTCCCTCACACTAGCTATTGATTTAAAAAGATGGTTTATTGATCTTCAGTCTGTGTTTTTACCACAAAATAGCATATTTCATCATAACTGTGAAAATACATATTCTTTGTATTTTAATTAACATTTACTCTATTAAAATTTCTATAAAAAAAATCTAATATAGGCCTGAAAAGAGAGCAGCGAAAATGTGTATAAGCTAGTAAATTTGTACATCATTTAGTTACAGGGTCTTTCAGAACAGTGACTAAATTTTCTACCCTAGTATTATTTGGGAGAATAAAAGGTCCTGCTAATTCCTAAAACCAGACTGCCTTTATTATTTTATGTAACAAATTACAATTGTTAAAGAAATAGCTATATAAACTATTAAAAGGATCTTAAACATATTCTGTTACATATTAGACAAGACATCTCTAACCTTACACCCATGAGCACATGCTAATTGCTTCATGCATATGATCATGATAAAAAAAGTTTTTGTTTCCACTAAATTTCTACGTAAAAGTATTAACTTATCTTGAAAAAAATAAATGCTGCCTAACCTGTATTCCATAATGTGCTCTTACATACAAAAAGTTTGGGGACCCTTGTATTCAATGTCTGTATGCAATTGCATCAATAATTTTGGAAAAGTTATACTCGTAAATAACAATAAAGAAACATTAACATATGTTAAAAATAAAAGTATACCTCCTCCCACATTTTGATAGCATGTATAAGATTAATTGCTGATATATCATCATGGCAGCTCCCCCACGATAAGATCAATGGCAGTGGATTTAAGCATGAAAACAGAGGATCCTTTAAAACTATTTTTGTGTCATTCCAGTGACCATGTAAAATATTGTTTATACAAAACTCCTGAAAAAAATGTTAATAAAAAGAATTAAATCAAAAACACAAAGAAAAAAAATATTAGCATAAGTATAAATTTAATAACTTACTATCATGCTATGTAAAAAGTGTTTAGAGGATGAAATACTGTTCAAAAAAGCAATTTGATGATTAAAGTTATAGTCAGATGAATAAAAAATTGGGATGTTTTTATTCAAAGCACTTTGTTTCTCGACTTTTTTTAATTCACAAAAACATTTGCCAAGTTTAGGAGAAGGACGGCTTAAAAGAGATTGATACACTTTGGTAGAAGATAAAATGTCTGATTGGCACAACTCTTGGATATCTAATAAATTATCTTTTAAATTATTTTCTTCTAATTCACCATCTGGAATAATACTTAGAAGTAAATATATTCTGGATGCGAATTCTTGTAAGCTTTGCACCTTGTTAGATCTGTCCTTAATTGACTGCAGAGACTTAAGACTATTCAAAAGTTGCTGGTAATATATGTCCCATACACTGTAATTTATATTTGCACCACAGTTAGCATTTTTGTTAGTCTGGAGCATATTGAGCAAAACAGAAATTGCTGCAGGATTTTCTTTAAATGCATTCTTTATGGATGTAAGGCACTTGTCAGATATCTTAGAAATATGAGTTGCAGATTGGTGTAAATTTTCAGGCTCTGTCAGATGATTGTGAATGGAAGACAATTCCTGAAAGCATGAATAAATTTGAGTATGCATTTAATATCATATTAAAATATTTTTTTAACATTATCACCAGGATTAAGTTTTTATAATGACAAAAGTTTAAAGAAATGACAAAAGTAAATTAATAAATTTTTAAAAAATATAGGGAAGATACATAATTGCTGTGCAGTTAACTTTTATAGTTATTTTTTTTAAAAACATAGTACACAAGCATATCTTTTTTAATAAAGATAATACTAACATGTAAATATATAATCAATTACTATAATAAATACATAAATTATGATTCAAAATTTACCCTTACTTCAATCTCAATAATCTGATTTAATTATAAATTAGAGCAGGTAATTTTATAAATATGCAAATATTTCGTAGCAGTCAAAACTTCAAATATATAATGATTTTATATATTTAAAACAACAAACATTTTCTCATAAAAAAATAGAAATCTTAATTGTAATAACAAAAATTGTTTTGCAAAATACTTTTTATGTAGTTGAATATAACGTCGCTTTGAAACTAAATCGTGGTAACTCAAAAAAGCAAGTTTTTCAGGAGAGCAATTTCTAACTTTTCAGGAACTTCCACCGCAGCTTGACTCGAAGCTATGGTGACTAATGCAAAATAGTTTACATTAAAAAAATCCCGTTTCTTTACATGTTTCAATGAAACAGGCCTGGTTCTTGTAGCATTTTTAATTTTGTGGTAATTTCGAAATAAGTTAAGGTACTATGAGTTGCAACAGTTTTCTCTAAAACTTTTATTAAAAGTGGAGAGTTATTTCAAAATACAACGATGTTCTTCAAAATATCCTCCCGAATATTAGATATATTTCATTTCAAATTTTGACATACAACAGTGTAGGAAAAAAATTTGACTTATCTCCCCCAAGGTTTTGTTGCAACTGGCACACTGCTACACTATTCCCTAAAACCAAAATAGCGAATCGCTCCAATGAGATAACGATTTATCTGCTCTCTAAATTAATTTTATGGAACTATGAAGATAACACGTTGTTTCTTTAAAAGGCTAATTTTTTTTTTTTTTTACAAAAAAATGGCCCAAATATCTAATTTTTCGATTTTTTTGAGTTACTACGGTTTAGTTTCAAAGCGACAATAAGAAAATCAATGTAATAACATGAGAAAATTATAATATTTAAGGATTCACTTTAAACACTGAACACAATGTCCTATTTAAAATATAAAAAATAGAGTTTAAAATATTATTATAACATTAATCATAATTTTAAATACAATTTTTGAGGCCACAGATTTTTGATGCTCCACGTTTAAAACCATCAAAAAATTTATGTGTCAAAAATGTGCTAATTTAAGTAATGTATTCATAAACTCCTGAGATCCAGACTCCGAGTTAATATTAGAAAATGACAAATTTAAATTGGAAACTTTACATTCTAGAAACCCAAACAAGGGTGAAATAATTAGATTTTTATAAAATTATTTCTAAGTCTGATAAATTTTGACAAGGGAAGTAGATGGTTGGTAAAATATTCTTACTCAGTGTCTACATATTTTGAAACAAAAATGATAAAATCGTAACTGTTTTCAAAATGTCTCTTCTTCTTTTTCTGGGTAATTATTTTATTTTGGCATTTCTAAATTTTACTAATTAGTCTTTCAATCATATTAATTGCAAACTAAGGTAGACAATGTTAAAGAGCACAAAAATATTATTATTATTATTAAAGTTGTCTACCTTAGTTTGTATTTTAGCACAAAGGTCGCCCACTTGTGTATTCATATTAATTGCAGTTCTACATTTGGAAACACTTTGTAAATGTGTACATAGCTGCCAACATGGATAGGAAAAAATCCAGTAGATTTTACAAAATAATATAAATTTAATGATAATTGTTGAATAATGTACTAAATATTTTACGCGTAGGGAATTTTAGGGATTTTTATAGTCATTAAAATAGGATAACTGCAATATTTTCCAGATATGATGGACATTAAACATACTAAAAATTTCATGTATTATGTTTACTCATAATTTCGAGTATTAATAGGCATTTAATTCATCAAATATAGTTAAAAGATTTTTTTAAATAATTTAAAAAGAGAGCTCTGAATAAAAATAAATTGAACATTTCAGAACAAAAAAAGTTTTGAACTGATTTCTATAAATGAGGTCAATACTTCATTATGTATCAGTAATACTTATTTAATTATTCAAGCAAGCAAGTAGTAATCTATACAAAAATTCTACATCAATAGGCATTTTTTTTTTTAGGAAGCTTATTCAATTTTAGAGAATTTTCTAAAATGTACAAAAACTAGGAGAATTTTAAATAAACCAGTAGACCAGAAGAAACTACCAAAATCCAGTAGTCTACTGGAAAATCCAGTAGAGTTAGCAGCTATGTGTGTATGAATAATGTTAGTTGAAATATAATTTTGCATACGTAAAAATTCATATTAAAACATCAATTCAAATAGAGGAAGAAATTCAGAAAAGAAAAAACATTATTAATATGTTATAATTTTACCTTATTGAATTTAAAAAGATAAAAAAATAAGTCACAACTAAGTTTCTACAAACTTTGCAAGTGAAAAATAATGCAAAACTAAACTATAACCTAAAAAAAGATTTAATTTGTTTGCAGTTATTTAATAAAGCACAGAAGTCAAAAATTATAAATAGACTTACTTTAATAACCTGCTTTGAGGTCCTGAATAAGGTTTCTAACAGTATGTTAAAATCTGCCTGATCTTTAAATTTCGATGACTCCTCCTGAAAAATGATTTTCAATTAAAGTTTTATGATAAACAATAACAATTACCAAAACATTTGAAATTACAAGTTGTAGTTTAATATAGGGAGTAGAAAAAAAATTATACACTGGAAGAAAATAGACTTGTTTTCTATTGATAGCTGCTACATTAAATTTTAAAAAAGGTTGATAATGAATTCTTCTAGGTCAGGGAGATTTAAAAAATTAATGAGATTTTTTTCTTGTGATTGAGATACTTAAGTTAAACATTTAGAAGAAGTGATTATCATTTCTAACCATTTATACAAAATAAGCAGAAAATACAAACCAAATGTCCTAAGTCGAAAAGTAACTGGCAAGCCCAAAAGGAAACGTAACTGGGACAAGGTGTAGTAGTCCAGCATTCTCTAGAGAATAGTTAAAATAGTTAGCAACTAAACAATACACTAGACACATGAAACTTATTTTAATAGTTATAGAAATTTGAGAATTCTACAAATGAAACTAATGGAAGGTTGTGGTAAAAAAAATCCTTTACTTCGTAGAAATTTCTACTTATATTTTCATACACAGAACTCAGTCTTTGATATAGGTGGATGAAATTGACACAGGAGAAGGTGTTCTGTTTGGATTCAGTAGATATTTAGGGAATTAGGATAAGTAAAATCTTATCTAATACCCTATTTAAAGACTAAATCGTTAATTTATTTATTTTATTTTGCCTACAAAACATTGATTTTACCTCTTTGATTGGTCTAGTTAATTGTATAATTTAGTAAATCAGCATCTGGATAAATTATGTTCGACTCAACTTTGTATATTTTTATTTTGTTATGATGTCTTAAGTAATCTGGTATCTAGTAATGATTTCTTCGGAGCCAGCCAGAATATACAAGTATATATTTTTTTTTTTTAGTAGTAGGTCAAATAATGTATAGAACAGTATAGGTTTTTAAAGTTAGTCACAAAAGGAAGTCTGTCACTAAACTTCTAGGGGAGAAAATAATAAGGCTAACAGATAGGTTAAGATTTATGGTAGAAATATATGGGCCAAGTTAGGTGCAAACCCATAAGACTTTCAATTATATTTTACAGAGCTATCTTTAAAAAGTTCAAAATGCTAAAAACTAATAATTTTTAGAAGTAGTAGCTCATATTCTCAACAATCTTAATTTCTCTATGCAGTTTCAACCTCAGTGACATAATCATGAGAGCATTGTTGCAGAATGTTACTGAGTTCTTGCAGAAAGATTTTTTTTATTTGGGATAGAAAACATTTTGGTTTTCTTTTCGGCAGAATTTTTTTGAAACATGCTTATCAGAAGATTGCCTTTCATATGCACAGAAGAGAGACGAAATGATTGTGATGTAGAAATGCTATAAATTTTTGCTTGGCTTTTAAAACCCTGATGTTTTTTATTGTGCGGTTATTACTATTGATGTTTCCATGATTTTTTTTAATTTTAAAAATACCGATATTATTATGACAAGCAAAATGTCAGGCAAACACTATCATCAGAAATTCATGATACGCCAAATCACTTAATTGTTTATCTACCTTAATAACACAATTCCAATGTTATGGTAACCCGAGAGTCTTGCGAATGAAAACTAAGCATATCATGGTCACCAGAAACGGGATTTTAGAGAGGTTGAGCAAAATTTGTGGACAAACCAATAGGCACCCGATTGCACACTTGAAAAGTATTATTATTTAAAAACTTTGAAAAAGATTTTAAAACATTACATTATTGGAACACTCTCTTCTAAGTGGGTATTATTAGTCACCAAGGCGTATAGCATAAATATATATTAATAGCAGAAGTTAGGAGAACATGCAATTTAATATTTCTCTAAAATTATAGTATTTACAATGAGGATATCAATTTCAGTATTAGATCAAGACCATGACAAAATATGAACACTTCGCTTAGAAACTCAAACACGACTAAATAGCTAATTTAAAAGAAATTGTCTTTCTTTTAAAAATAGACTGCACACAAAGGAATATTTAACTGCATGATTAGTAACTAAATCTAATATCTCTTTATGTTATTGTCACAATTTTATTATTACCAAGTACTTTAAAAATCTTAACGATCATATAAGTTATTTTTTTATAATTACCTTACTAAATAAGGATTCTTGGCGATAGTTTGAAGAGTTGTAAGAAGTTTTAATTTAGCATTTGACTTAGTATTGTAATTCTCAGATTTTATTAATGAAACAGCGAAAGCTCTTGCTAATTCCCACTGTCCCAAATAAACATGATTACAAAATTCTCTATACAAAAATTCACCCATTTTGATCGTCATCTATGTTTAATGAGTGAAGTTTCTTTCCAATGACATTTTTTGAAGATGACATAAGCATCCCACATTCTGCTCAGAACAGCACATGATAAGTTTGTTTTCGTAAACAACAGGTGCTGTTGCCAAATCAGAAAATTATGCAATGGATAAATCATAAAATTATGTGTCATCATAAAATTATATATTGGATTATTGTTTCTGTATTTAAATATTTTTTAATGCATGAAATAAATGATCTATTTCCCAAATTAAATAACATTCATACAGTTTCAAATATTTATTTGCTTTGCAGGGAATGGCAACACATTGTTCTCATTAACAACAACAATAACAACAAACTGTGAAGGGTAAATTTTGTATTAAATTATTTATTCACTGCGGCTGAATTAAAAACAATTATGTATTCTTCTTTGACTCGATTTATTCGACCCTTGAGGAATATTCGATCTTCTGTTCTGTTCCAAAGCAAGCCAACATTTGCCACCACTGCTCGTATTCTCCAAACTCCTGAAACTTCTAAAACTGAACACAAACCTACTATTAGACCAACGAATGATTTGAAAACCGCTCAACTCAGTGAATACGGAATCTTTATAGCTGAATGTCTGCCAAAATATGTACAAAAAGTACAAGTCGCTCTCGGCGATGAATTGGAAATTATGATTTCGCCTGAAGGTGTTATCCCTGTCCTAACATTTCTCAAAGATCATCACCTCGCACAGTTTGAATCCTTGGTAGATATTGCTGGTGTTGATATCCCTACTCGTGCATACAGATTTGAAGTTGTCTACAACTTGTTAAGTTTGCGTTACAATGCCAGAATTCGAGTTAAAACTTACACTGACGAACTTACACCAATTGATTCAATTTGTGGTATTTTCAAAGCAGCCAACTGGTATGAACGGGAAATTTGGGATATGTTTGGCATATATTTCAGTAATCATCCAGATTTAAGAAGAATTTTGACTGATTATGGATTTGAAGGGCACCCTTTTAGGAAAGATTTCCCTCTGAGTGGTTATGTTGAAGTTAGGTATGATGATGAAGCCAGACGTGTTGTCGTCGAACCATTAGAGTTGGCTCAAGAATTTAGGAAATTTGATTTAGTTGGACCTTGGGAACAGTTTCCTGCCTACTCAGCGGAGGCTGCTAATGTTCAAGAAGTACCATTACCCACTGAACCAGTTGAAAAAAAGTAGCTGCTTTAAATTTGTTTAATAAATTTTGAAAATTTTATTGTCTGATGCTTTCAAATTATATAGTTAAAAATTATGTAAATAAATTCAGAATAATAGTTTTATTCTTCTTTTTTATAACATTTTCTATTGCAATTATTTTGGAGGTATGTTTTTGTAAGCGATGGATTTTACAAATGCTATGATAGCATCTGTAATATGAGCTTCCAAGATCCTATGTAACATCTTGCATGCTCAATTACATTTCAAGTAATAATAGCACTACACCGAGCATAAGTAGGGTGAAAGTGTGGTGATATTTCCGTATCGTGATCTGTCGTGCCAACTACGATAGCCAAGGTGCCAAATTGATTTTAAACTTGCAAATTTTAAGAAAAATAACATGTAGATGTTTGCTCTAGGGTGGCTATGAATTATACCTTTCAAGCTGGTACCTTTCTGTGATGTTTTTTTTTAGTTTCTCTCGGGCCACTGCCCAGAAGTTTCCAAGACTTGGCGATTATTCTGCCACAGATCACGATACGGGAATCTCCCTGAAAGTGCTAAACCTCTTAGTTTATATCAAAGATTCTGATTCTATATTCTTGAACATCAAAATTAGCTTAGGTACCACAGAATTGTTCTTGAATAATGTGATTGGACATTCGGTTCTATATCACCCAAGTAGGTGCGGTCTGTATATCATTATCGTTTTATAACATTTAATGTCTAGTGTAACAGGAGTAGTAGAATGACACGCCTCGGACTTATTTTGGCCTTTCTAGCTAAAATATAAACTAAATATCAAAAGAAGAAAAAAATAGCTGAAATTTTTTTTTAAACTTTAAAAATTTGTTCTTTCTTGTATCTTCAGCTTATCTTTTATCATTGTAAATGAAGGTTTCAAGATAAGTTTTGTATAGTTAATTTATCAAGTATTGTAGCAACAGAGATTATTACCTTTTAAAATTTGTAAGCCTACCAAGTGCAGCATTTAAATATAAATATTTTATCAAATATTCTCCTGATAAATTTTAGAATTTCTTAACGTTGCAGATTAATATAGAGGTTCTGCTACTATAGTTATTTTATAATAACTTTTTATTTTATTTGTTACCATATTTTAACTATTACTATTATAAGAGTTGACAAATTTATAAATCATATTAATTTTTTGATGGAATGTTTATAATATTGCTATTTAAGTTATTGAAAATGGTGGGGAAAATCTTATTACTGCAAAAGATAATAAATTTAAAGATTTAATATGAAATAAAATAAAAGCATTACTTTATTATATGCTTCAAATTTGAGTACATGAAAGTGTCAGCGAGACTCATCTTGATATCTTTAAAAAAAAATTGAGATTTTTTAAGTTTTTTTTTTAATAACAAGTGAAGAAATAGATTATAGACTCAATAGGCATTGTTAACTGAAAGCTATAATAGGCAGAGTAGCTTTCAGCTAACAATGCATATTGAGTATCAACACTCTATAACCACAACGACTTTAAAATAACGTACAGATTTAGAGATAAAGTTAATAAACTAGTAACTTAAATTGCTATTTTATTAAGCAAATATGAACTATGTTATTAAATTACTGATTCCTAACGTAATTATTGATTCCTAACGTATATCATAATATTTTTCACCTTATAACTTTTAATTGCTAAATTCTGTTTATGTTGTTGTTGTAGTTCCTTTACGTCGCACTAGAGCTGCACAATGGGCTATTGGTGACGGTCTGGGAAACATCCCAGAGGATGATCCTAAGACATGCCTTCACAATTTTGATCCTTTGCAGAGGGTATGGCACCCCCGCTTTGGTAGCCTGACGATCTGCACGCGAAGTCGAGCCCTTTACGGTAGAACAGTTTAGTGAGGGCCAATACCGCACACCCTTGGTCCTACGAAGACTAATCAAAGTGGTCACCCACCTGCACACTGACTGCAGCCAGTGATGCTTGACTTCGGTGATCTGCTGGCATCAGTTCACTGCGTGACAAATTCTGTTTATGAGAAATAATATTAGAATAATCATGATAAGATGAGAGTGTTGAACTTGTGATTGCTTATCATAAGCAATAGTGCATTATAATTTTGGGAGATACCTAATTTTTAAGTAAATTTGGATGCCAAAATGATGGAAAAAGGTTTTGAACTTCTAAAAGTTATGTAAACATAGCACGTTTGGAGTTTAAGGTAAAATAAATTTTCTTGCTTTCTTTTGACTCGAAATCAGTTTCCGTACTTGTTATTAAATGTCAAAAAGTACATAAAGTAAAAATCTTACCTATTTTTAACCAATTAAGGACTTTAAAATAATTTGAAAAATTTTAACATAATTGAAGGGGAAAATATATTTTCTGTATTTTGCACTTCAATCGTTTTTTTTTCTTCCCTTCCCTGCTGGTCTTTGCAAAGTTAAGCTACAATGCATGATAATGTGGTATAATTTTTGTATATTACTTGTTTATCAAAAAGTAAATATGATTAATATTTAGTTTGAAAAAAAAAGATCAGAGTTCCAGAATTATTTATTAACTATAGCACAAAAACCTGCAGTCATCATCATTGTTCAATCAGTAGGGCTAAGTTCTACATGAATAATTCTCTGAGTGTTAGTCCCAATTGTTAATTTTTTTTTAAAATTTTCGGCTGCAAGTTTTTCTATATGATAAAACTGGTTTTCGCCTTATTCATTGGGAAGGTAGTGCATAAAAGAAAAATTTTAGTGCAATTTTACCCAAAGGTTCAGCATTTCATTGTTTAATCCACTGAGAGATTGCAACGCTTAAACATCCTTTCACCTTTTGTGTTTTCTTCCAAAACGCCTTGTTATTCAATGAGCAAGTAATGCATTGAGAATAAATATCTATAAAAACTTTCCAATTAGCGGAATGCTCATTTGGTTAAGATTTCTAATTAATTAACTTATTACCGAATTTTGTTTATAGAAGTATACAGATATACAATTATGTAAACCTACAGTGTATACAAAGATTGAAAGTTCCTTGCATAGTGTTAAAAAAAACTGCACTGAAAGAAATAACTTTCTTCCATTTGAAGAGAAAGGAATAGAAGACACTCTTTCTGAAAAATAAGATGTTAAAACAATTTTTAAAGATTTTATTATTACAATCTAGTTCATACAGCTTGTCCCAGAACATTCATACAGGACTAGCTTTAAGAGGAGATAGGGGATATCAGAAGGATTCAGATTTGCATAGGAACCCATGGTTGGAAACTTCTTTGTTCACTGCTAGGTGAAGTTTTTCACAAGAACATTGAAGAAAAAAGACCTGCATTGCCACAGTCATTTGTGCTGTCATCGTTTGCAGAGGAGTTTACAATGTTTTGCAAACACTGAGCTGTCAGATTTGCACACAATGTAGGGAAATGCACAAGCAGCAAAGAGATTGAATCATGAAAGTTACCCACAGAAATAAGCATCAGACCTCTACCTGATTGTGTAATGCATGCATCGCTAGCAGTGGTGGAAAATTTCAAACTTCTTTTGAGAGATTTTCACTTATCATCTACCACAGCGCTTGTAGTATCTTTACTGGATAAATATTTCAGATGCAGTGGTCTCACTCCTTTCCCATGACGTTTGTTTCTGACCATAGGTTGCTATGCAATTCTGAATCCTTGAGATGCCCCCTTTCTTCCCTTAAAATTTGTCCCAATAATCCTGGGAAATCTTGCATAATAATATTAAATTTCAATATATTTAATGTGTTATTTTTAATAAGTAAAAATTTCGTAAGAAATAAAAATAACTTTAGTTTTTCAATATTTTTTGTCAAAGAGTAAAATGAAATCTAGTTTTATAATTATATAAATAACCTAATATATTATAATCAAGTATACTAGTATTAATTTATCTTACTAAGTTTAAAATTACATTACTCTGCATATAAACTACTACAAATAAATATTGAATTCATAATCGTAAGTAGTGTAAATTTTTATAACAGAATTCTGTTAAGTTTGAATCATTAAATTGACACACACTAATATGTAATATGACATATAGAATTTAAAATTCTGCATAAAACTAAAATAATGTGAATTTTTTTTTTTAAATAGTAGTTATAGTTGTGAAAAACATTTTACTTTCTGATACTATATTTCTTTTTATAATATTTATTGCTAAATAATTGTATGGTCATTTTTAGTTAATTTAATTTTGTCTAGTTTCTTCCTTTTTGTTCAGTTTTAAGCAGGTTCTGGAAGAAATAGGTTCATATTGGTTAAAATATCAATCCTAGGTGTATGGTCTTGAAAATATAGGCATTTCTTTTAAGGTGTTCTTTTAAGCTCTTTTGTGAAGGAAAATAAAAAAAGCCACTGTTGGAGTATGCATTAAAATCAAACTAAAGCTTAAATTTAATGATTTTGACTTGCTCAAAAGTAATAACTTAAATTAATTAGAAAATTAATTTAAGTTAACTTAAATTAATTAGAAAATTGTATGACTTAAAATAAAATAAAATTTTTTCTTGAGGTTTTCCCTCCCCTATTAAAATAATTAAAAATAATGTTTATTGAAATTATAATATTAATGCTTATTGAATAATGTTTAATGAATTTTGTTTATTTTTATGAGTCCATTAGAACATTAGAGTAACTTTTTAAGCAATAAAAGTTAAATCACGGAAATTATCAGTTTCCACAACACTCTGGATTTTTTTTTCATTTTGAAACTTTGTGCTATTTTCTTAATTAATATAGAACATTCTGGTTAAAAATGGACAAAATTTAACTTGTCATAAATAAACTCACAGCACCTGTACAAATCATAAGTTTATTTTCAAAAAATATTATTTCTCATGATGTAGAAGAAATCTTGAAACAAAGGGATTTTTTTTGTTATACAAATATTCACAATGATTTAAAAATAATAAAATTTGGAAAAAAGGAAAAAAATTTGAAAATTTGCTCAGCAGCTAGGAGCATTTAAAGAATTCACTCCTCGCTGTGCCTGCATTGTTTCACAATTTTGTTTGGTAGTCAACCTTGTACGAAAAACTGTAGTATAGTGTAAATAGCATTAACTTTTTATAATGATGCTGGCTGCTTGCTTAGCTGTTCTTATGCAGTTCTCAAATTGTTCTGAAATAATAAAATTTTTTTCAATTTCAATAATTCTGAAAATTTTGTTTTGAGTGGCTAAGACTGTGAAACAGTTAAAGAAGATCTATTCCCGCTTGTCTGTGTCGGTTTGTGTGTGATGCTTTTTTGTTATACACTGGTGGACAAAATTAAGAGATGGAAAGCATTTTCGCACATGCAAGATACCCGCACACCGTTCCATGTGTTTGACAATGGTTCCGTGAATGCCCAGAGGTACAGGCAGGAGAGGTCTTAGAGCCCTATGTGCGTCTTTTCAGGGGCGCTGTTGGCCCTGAGTTCATTTTTACGGACGACAATGCGCGACCACATAGGGCTCTCATGGTTGATGAGTATCTGGAAAGCGAGGATATTCAACGAATGGATTGGCCAGCCAAATCCCCTGACCTGAATCATATTGAACATGCTTGGGATGCTCTTGGGAGAGCTATTGCGATGCGCCAACCTCCCCCCAGAACTATTCTGGAATTAAAAATTGCTCTGGTGGAATACTTCAGAGCCATATTGATGAGGAAAAAAAAAGAATTATTAAAAAAAATTAATTGATTTAAAATAAAGGAAAACATACTCAGTTGTGGATTCTTTTTCTTAACACCCTTGGGGCTTTTGCAACCATCGGCTCTCTATCTCCAGTTCTTGACTTCTAAAATCCTAACGTTCTTCTTCATCTGGTTCATCTATTTCAGTTTTGGCCTGCTTCTTTTCTCTTATTAAGTTTTACTTTCATAATTTTATTTTGCATGTCTGTTTTTTATTTTTTAAATTTCTTCTACATATCCACCTATTGTATTATTTTATTGTTCTTATAAAAATCTCGCAAAATCTTAATTTTCAATAAAATTTTCAATTCCATTTTTCTATCTTTTCCTTCACCTCTTTCCTTCTCCTTCTATTAGGTTCATAGGTTCCATAGATTTTCTTATAATTCTGTATTCGAAATTTCTCCCCTTTTCTTTACTACGTTCAAGAATTTGACCTCTGTTGCTCAAGACAGATCCCTCAGATCTGCGGGGAAAGTATTATCGACGATGTCCACTTTGTCAATGTTAGCATGCAAGAAAGCAATAAAGGAAAATGATTATATAGTTTTTCACTTTTCTGTATTGATACCAGAAATATGTAAAAAGGTCTCTCATTTTGCCTTTTTTCGTATTAAATTTTTTCACTAAACTGGAGAAAAATATATTTTCCAAAAATAATAATAATTTTAAACTTGCATAACTATATAAATTTTGAGTCGTTAATATTGACTTTTTGACAGTGAAATGGAAACTTGTCTTAATAGTGGAATTTTATAATAGCCGCACTGGTTACATCAGATTTTTAGTATACTTAGAATGAAAACATTGAAAAAAAAAAGCAATCACAAAAATATGCACACTAAGGCCTTAAGTAACGTAATATTTATATCAGGAAAAACGAAAATCGCTATAGAAACGGAACGAAACGGTTGAGAAGAGCATTCCATCGTTTTTTAATTCTCTATAAAAATGTTCATATTATATATATATAAAGGTTGGTGTTATAATAAAACTATCTCAGTCTGACATTAGGTATTTTTATGTAAAACTTCTAATTTTTCTGTATATTTTCCGGAATTTTATGAAAAATAAGCATGATGAGTAAAATAATTTTTTTAAAATTATACACTGAAAAATGTGGAATTTTAAGTACGAGGTATGTAAAAAAATTCACTCTTAAAACTTTTTTTGGAAGTAATTCTTGTTTCCAGTGTGTAATTTTGTTTTTTTATTATTTATTACTACAGGCGTTTTACATTTTTTGCTTACAAATCAACTACTATATAATAAAAATACAACTACTATATATTTTTTATAATAGTTTTTTTATGTATCGTTTTAAATAGCAGACATCTTTGTGGTTTGTTTGATATATTTTTATCTTTTTATACGGTACTTTTTTTTAATTTAAAATTTTCGCTTGAACAAAAAACTTTTAAAGTGAGTAGGCCGGGATAGCCTGGTCGGTAGGGCGCTGGACCCATGTCCGAGAGTTCGTGGGTTCGAACCCCGCTGGCTGAAGACTCCCCGTGTAGTAAATGGTGAATGATGCACGTTAAATCGGTCGAGTCGCAAAGTCCACCATGTCCCCATAACAAATCAATACCTCTGGGGTTACTGGATTGGAGATCGACCGTTCTCTGATTCAGGTCAAAATTACGATCTGTGGATGAGTGAATGAGTCCACCCTATAAAACGGACTATGACGTGTGTGTGGCTGAAGATGAATTCTTGGCCATAGGATGGAGCCACTGAAAAACAAGAAACGCGCTCTCTGCCTTGATATTTGCTCGGTTTCACCAAGCAGGTTTGCCCATGTGGCAAGTCGCATTAGAAACAACAGCAACAACAACTTTTAAAGTGCCATAAGTGAAAATCAGTAAAAGGTTTGATATTTCGATATTCAGTTCAGTACTTAAATCAGA